GAAAAGAAAAAAGAAAAAACAAAACAAAAAAAACCAAGCAAAACAAAACCCAGAACAACCACACCATACTAATGAATAGCTTATGTCTTTTGGAAAAAACACTTATCTTCCTCAGATCCATAGGACACTTGAAAGGAAGAGTCAACACGGTATTCTTTTCAATTACTTCAGTTTTTTAATGGTTAAAGTCTTGAGGTTGTGCATGATCTGCCACTATCCCCTGAAAGACACATTCATTTCCCTTGTGCCAGTGGATCCCAGGAGGATCAACAATTGGAAAAGTCAAAGGAAACAGGATTGGCAGGTGCCTTGCAGAGGTACATGTGACTGGGAGCAACACAGAGAGGAACACCCTCGTACCTGGGTTTGCTGCTGAAGGATCCTGGGAATGCTAAAAGCTCCTAAAGTATGAGAGTGATAACGTGATGGGATTTTCCACCCCTCTTCCATGGTTTGCATTTCCTGAATGTGGCTAGAAATGACTCAAAATTCTATGATGAGCCATACTTTGGTGTACTAAAGGTATTTTAGGGTATGCAAAAAGGTGTGAAAGTAATAAAAGCTAGAAGCAGAATTCCCAAACCACTCAGGAAAATCCCATCCCGTATTTTTTAGCTTGAAATAAGCTCATTGATTTGGAGTGGGATTCCTTCTACTTGAACTAGCCATCTGAAGATTAGTTGGCTAGGGCTGAGCCAGTCACTGCAGGATCCCCACTGCAGCATCAGTGGAAAGCAATGCACACCCCCAGGAGATGCGATGAGTCACAGAAACACAGCAATGCTTTTTTCCAGAGCACCCGTCCAACAATGTGCACTTCAGGAACCTCTGAGCCAGCACTTGCAGCTTTGTGCTAAAACCTGTCAAGGGCTCCTTTGCAGAGCTCTTTCCTCTCTTAAAACTGAGCATGTTCTCCTGCCCTGTCTTTCCTAGCTTGCAGCGTGCTATTTACCCTCAGTAAGCCCTTTCTTCTGATCCCATAAGTGCTCACTCCTTTGAGAATTTACTGATTTCTTTTGCAAAGCCATGTGGTCAATCTCAACCTTTGTCCACATTCACTGATCCTTTCAAGGACTTTCAGGCTGCTTCTAAGGCGTGACATCCCTTCAAAAGCTAAGCCAATTCTTCCATAGTGTATTTATTCAGGCTTCCACTACTATCTCACTTATTACTGTGCCTATCATTTTTCCAAGTCTAAAACAACCAGCACTTTTCTTAAGCTAACCAGTGTCTTTCTGGAAAAGACATCCATTATGTATTAGACAGTCCTCTCATGCTCACAAGACAAGAGGACTCCAAGCAGCAGCTTAGCTACTTCAGTCTTTGGTGGACATTACCTAGCCTAAATTACCTTATCTCATTGGTTTGGTCTATAAAGCTTCAAATCAGTGTTGCTTAAAGTTACATCCCCTCTTCTGATAAGCAAACTGGAGTTCCTCAATATTTCATATTTACAAGCCTGTTTTCCTCATCCCCACTGGTGTCTTTTATACTTTATACTTTGATATTTTAAGTTTTTAAGTTATAGAGATATTTCTTTATCAAGTGAACTCATTGTCTTTAAAAATAGGACAGACACTGCAAACTCTTTCATAGATCCCTACGTTCCCATTTTTCTGCCTAAAGAACAGAAAGATCTTAGAGGTCTTTTCCAACTTAAATTATTCTGTGACTCTAAGACTTGGAAGAGGCAGGATCAAAACCCAAAAAGAAGAAGAAAAAAAAAAAGAATGGTACTGAATAATTTTCCAATTGTTGTAAAGATCATCATGACCCCTACAAAAAGCTCCACATCAGCTTTCCCTGAGGACAAAGCTATCACCACTCCATCTGCCTCCTCTCAGAAGAACAAACAGTATTGTAAATGCTGACAGGGCCTGATTTATAGGTTGAGGTTTTTACTCATATTCAACTATCCAAGTGCTAATAACACATGTATTAACACTTTCATACTTACTCAGCCAGGATTCCAGTTAAGTTACACAAGGCACCTTCATCATACTTTCCTATACCCTTCCAATAGACAAATACAGTTTGAGCACCCCAAGATGCAATTCAGACTATTTAAACTATTTCAGTTGATCAGAACAACTAATAAATTATGAAAAAATAACCCCCAAAGTTTCTTTAGCTTCAGGTCAGATACCACTTCATTTGCAACAGCAAAACTCCAAACAATTCTTTAGCAGAGGACTTAAAAATACCTCAATACTAACAACCACCCAGTATTTTTGTGTAAGTTCCACAGAATTTAAGGTGCTGCTGCATCCATTTCTGAGGAGCTGCCTTTCCCTTTGCAATGTTTCTGTTTTTAGGAAATGTAAGGTTTTTATTTTCCACAGGCACGAGTAACCTACCTGCACTGTTGAAAAAAAAAAAGCAAGCAAATAAGTCAACCATCTCTTCCACCTCCGTGTCTGCAAACAGGTTATTCAAATTCAGCAGAGAAAACAAGCTTCATTAGGGAAGCACGTTTTCTTTCTTGTATAAAAGCCTACTCACCTTGCACAAGTCTATAAACCTCCTAACAGTTACCCCCAGTCAGGGGGAGCATCTAGCTAAAACCTCTTCTCCAGGGTGAGCTCAGGTGCCACCCAAGGGCCTGAGAATGGGAAACACCTGGAAGCAGTTAGGGCAGCTGGTGTGCAGGGAATGAAGCACTGCTCATTTTCCATCCCCGTGGTCATTCACAGACCATTAAGAGCAAGTGCTCAGCAATGTATCTGCTTGCCACACACTTGGGAGGAACACACCTAATGCTAGAGCCCCTGTCTCATGTGGGGTGCTGCTAGCCCTGTCAGAGCTGTGGCAACCATGGGTCCAAACCCTGCTGCTCACTATGGTATGGCATAGCTGCTTGCATCAGTTTGTTTTTATGAAATGCATTAGTTTTTAAATTAAGATTTAAGATAAAATCATTCATATGCTTTTGTAAAGAGATGTGCTGGAGTCAAAGCCTGAATTACTGTTATTGATTGTGTTAGCATGTAAGAAACACACAATATACCTTAACTGAAGCTGAGGATGCCTAGACCAGGAGGTATCATTAGATCACTACAAACTTCATCTGCAGATTGCAGAAAATTTATGGAAACTTTCCCATTTTGAAGGCAACAGAACAGAAAGGCAGAGCGCTGAAAATGAAAAAGAAGCCTAGAACTGAGCAAGCTTTTCCAAGTGCTAAATATACATTATTCACTTAACAATATGGTTCCCATAGCCACAGGCTGTCCAACCCTTCTTCCCAGCCCATCACCTCAGCTCCTTCACCATGCAGGACAATCACAGAATGAACAGGTAAAGGAGTCTAGGCCACACTAAGTTGTAATTGACTCATGGTCACCTAGCAGGCTGATGAATTTATGATCAACTCCTGTTGTTAAAAGGAAGGCAATAAAAGGGCCAAAAACTCATCTCCAATGATGAGGTGAAATTCTCATGCAACTGAATGAGGTGGGGATGTACTTGTAGGGCTGATCCTTCATCTCCCATTTATGCTGGTACCAAACAAGAAATGCTTTTCAATTACAGAAAAATGGATATTGAATACCACTAAGTTCTTTTCAAAAATAGTTCACTAAAACTGAGCTGCCTATCACTTATCCATATGTTCACAATATGCCTTTTCCATGAAATGCTGCAGATTCCTCCTTGGGTCACAGAGGTATACAGCATCCATTATCTATTTTCAGACTTTTGTCACTATAAACTTTGTATCACAGGCAACAGAATTTTGAAAATTCTCTTAGTATCAATCTAAAGCAGTTAATTTTTGGAAGAAGTTAATTAAGGTATAACATCTGGAGGCAGATTTAAGCTTTTTCACTGAACCCCCAGTCCTATTTAATTTACCATTAATTTGGTTTCTGACACTGGATGATTCTCTCCAGCCAATAAATGAACTTTCCCACTTTACCACTTCCATCCTCCCCCATTTTGCAATGACTAGCAAGTCACAGTAATCTACTTTGTCCTTGGGTTAGCTGGCATTGGATTTCTCAGAGGCTGGTCACCCCTCTAATATTTCTATAACATTACAATGTAGCCATACAAAAATTCCATAAAGTTGCATAATTAATGAAGCATTAAAAAGATATTTGAGCTAAGACTGCAATATAAAAGGTGCTTTAAGTAGGTGCCAACACTACCTCCTGTGTAGGTAGGTTGCTCTTGGGATACAAAGTACTGATCTATGTATGTACCCTTGCAAAGGAGTGAGATTTGTCCTCCCCACACATCCTTTGAACATCAGTCTTGTAGTTAAAATGCACCAAGAATTTTCCACTGGGCACCACCACCTCTCTGTCAAATTATCCATGCAAGTGCCCAAATTCTATCCTTTTCTTTTCTCCTGCTTACAAGTAGAGATATTTCAGCTATCATTTGTAAATAGTGAAAACTATCCAAGGGTGTTGGGGGTTTTCAAAAAGCACCAAAGTCATTCTGATCTATTTTAGTGTTCTAGGAGAGCAATCACTGGATGAATAGAAGCAACAGGAGAGGTGAAAAATGGAAAGATAAAATAGTGCAGCAGAGACTGATGCTTCAGTTATCAGTAAACACTTGTGCTGATTCCCAAGCAAGGTAGGACTGGTTGATCATGGCTTTCTATAAACCTTTGTACAACTCTGTGTTGAAGGAAATCCTGATACAAATGGATTTTGATTGATTCAATTATCTTTTGAGTATTATTTTATCTGGCCAAGTCCCACACAAGTCTTTCTGATATTATTTGAAAGTTCTAGAGATTCTGTCTTTACTTACCACAGCATCTATCCAGCCATGCTACAGCACTCCCATTTGAAGCTGCACCTTTTTTTCCAGTGAAATTGAGCTATTAGCTATCCTTTCAATGAATCCATGCATGGCTAGAATGTTTCACTGACTAACAGAGCAAGTGAATTACTCTATGCATTTTATACATGGTATGTAAAAGACACAGTTTAATATGGAGAAAATAACAGTCGACACATAATAATTACATATAATTTCATATGCTCTGATATGTGCAATTTAGTGTTTTATTAAACAAATACAGTAGCTAACCAAAATCAGATAGCTGATAATGGGAAATAACATTAAAGCCTGTGTTCCTATGGTAATTATTGGTCATCTGAAATGGCATATGCTCTAAAACATAACACAGAAAATACCTTCCTGTGAAATAAGAAATACAATAGAAATAAAGTTAAGGGACATGTTTATTTCTGAGCTTTCTGCAAGCAAAATTGCTTTGATACAAAATGAGTTCAATGATACAGTGCTACCATCCACTCAAGCAAAAGAAAACCTCACATTTACATGAATGCACTTTATATTGATATTCTTACAGAATAATAGTTCAGATATCCAGAATTTGTCTGGCCTCATTGAAAGCAATGGCACAGAAATGCTGCAAGGTATTGGAGTATCATATTATTGGCAAGTGCTTAATTAACTCTGTGAGTTCTCTGAGAGATGCTGTATAAATAAGGGTACTGTGAAGGTGTGTTTGTATTCCTTAGTACTTTTGACATACATCATTTAGTGTTTGTTTAGTTAGCTCAAAATGTGTAATTGTGTCTTTTGGCTTTCAGTATTCTCTTTTTCTTTTTTAAAGAAAAATCATGAGGTATCCTTTACTGTTAACTAATGACATAGTGATAGGCCTTTTTTATTGAGGTTGCAGAGACTTACTGTACATTCAGTACACTGTACATTCAGCAATTATTTTTAGTGTACTTTCTACATGTTACTGTGTACAACTGTTAGTTTACATTAGAACTCTTCCCCTTCTCACAGGATATGGCAAAACAAAACAAAAAATCCGACAAAAATTATACACATAAAATAAGAAGACAAATACACAAATAAGGCCATCTGCAGAATTAAAAATCCACCTCTTGCGATATTTCACAGTAATTTCTACATAATATTTTACATCTTATGAACTTAAATATTTAATGCAAAAGGAAAAGACCTTTATGGAGCCAATCATATTATCTCTTCAAGGACTTGTCCGATTTGCTGGCTAGTGGCCTTCTCTGGGGGGTTGGAATTTTCGAAGGCTTGGCGGATCCTGGCCGAGAGCCTGCTCGGGGTGTCGGCCTGCTGGTGGCAGGAACAGTCTCTGACATATCTGAGCACACAGACTGGATTTCTGAGATGTCAAAGTCAGACGCGTCACTGCCGCGGCGGCTGCTCGACCTGCTGCCAGCCTTGCTTCCTGCTCGGCTGCCGGGTCTGCTCGGAGTTCTTCTGGTGTCTAAAAAAGAGATGATAACTACCAGGTTTAATAGTGAGGATGGGAGACCTGTGCAGGTCTTTCCTAGGTCTTTGGCACCCCCAAAAATTCCTCATTGCACAAACTAAACTTTAGACTTCTGCTGGGCATTAGACACAGGCTAACGGATGCTGTGTCTCACACTAAAGAAAAGGAAATGCAAGATCAAATGCTGACACAGAGTTAATTCATCACTAGCCTATCTTATCAAAAATTCATTGTCCTGGCAGCTTTTATTGACTTCCTAGACATGCATTGTACCTTCACTCAACAGCCAGAGGCTTTATTTCCCCTGCCATTTTCTCAGCTATTAATTGGGAAAAAAAAATCAGTATCTGGTCTCTTCATGCATTCATGATTTCTAAGTATAGGCATCTTGGAGATGCAAATGAACATCCCAATATTTAAATGTGTAGCACTTAAAAAAAGAAAAAAATTCAAATCCATACAGATGAAAGCTGCAAGTAAACAAGGGCAAAGTAGACATCCTGCCCAACAAAGGGCTGAGGAGATGAGCTCTCAGCAAGCCTGCTAAGTAAAAGCCTGCCCAGACAATGTGCTGTGAAGAAAACACCTCAACAAGGAATCTTAAACAGAAAACAATTAATGTGGTTTTTCATAATTTTCCAATTACTTATTAAGCATTTTTGATCTTCACAAATCTGGTTCCCTGATGTATGAAGAACACTGTGTTGCAAAGCACAGCTTCACTGCTTTCTATTTTTGTATCTGCTTTTAAAATCTCTGTGGGATATTCCATTAATAAGGCAATTTACAGCTGCTCCCTGCAGTTCTTCCAAAAGAAATAGACAGGTCATGACTAAGTGACTCCCCTTTGCTCCATCACAATTGAGAACAACTTGAATACTGTAAAGAACTGGATCCTTTGAGTAAATGCTTCTTCCCTAGTTCCTAGGGCAGATACATTGAAGGTACCATTCTCAAGAAGATTGCAGGCATGAATTCACACATCCAGAGCTGAACATGTGAATGGAGGGCCTGATTATGTGCAGCCTCAGCAATGGGTAGACTGTACAACTTTTATTCCTTCTCACTCTTCTGACATTTCCCTTGACCCCTAATGTGACCTTAAGTGCTCAGGTGGAAAACAAAGCAAGTGGTAGATCAATCTCTGAAGTCAAGACACTCACCTGCAAACTGAGCTCTGACTCTGGTAGCTGCTGTTGACAGGATGCCACTGTCTTCTCCTGAGTGGAAACCCTTCCCTGATAGATACCCTGGCAGTCTGAGTTTACTTCCTTGAATTGGTGTTCCCTATGTAAACCAAAACACACAAAAAATGCTTTTTTAACTGAAGACAAGGACTAGTATTTGGGACTACATAGCTTAGAATGTGATCATCATAACATTCACTGTGAATCTGAAATATTGGTTTAAGCCATTGTGGGCATTATTCATAATGTGAAGTTTAGAATGCTCCTTTAGCAGTTTGCATTTGAAGTAGTCCAAATGTAAAACAACAACAAAAGAATCATTTTAAGTCTGCTTAACATTTTAGCATATTTGTGTGTATTTCAACACATATGAAGAAAGAAAAAAGCTACCTTTTTATAATTAGTCAAGCAGGTAAGATTAGTTGATGGTACATACTGAGATTTCGTATCTGCATAACTTGAATTTCCACCATTCTGGCTGTAGTTATAGGTGATGAAAATATTTTTAAAATTGAAACAAGGCTATCAAATTTCAGAAACCTTTTGCTAGGAGGAAAAAAAACCCAAGCCAAAACAAGAGAAAACAGAAAAAAGGGCATAGGACTAATTGTAAAAGTTCCAGTTGTCAGTATACTGCCTTACAGTGTCTCTACTACCCAGTCTTACCTGCCTGCTTTCTTATTTCTGAAATGAATCTTGATTTACAATCTGCCCCAAATCTGCCCAAAATTTCTTTCATAGCCACAAAAACTGAATTGTCAGATTTCAAAATGAGTGTCACTCACTAAATAAGAGGTGTATGCAAATAAGAGGAAAATTACAGTATTCACAGTAATTTAATAACACAAAAATAGATATTCAAAAATTAGAAAAAACAGTGCAGTGATGAATGCAGTTTGTGGAGTAGCCTGGATCCCAGGATCCTGCATTCTGTGCCTTTGATCCCCATACAGCTGTAGGTAGAATTAGGTACTGAAAACCAAGATCCAGAGAAGTGTGTTGGAAGCTGCCTTGAGCTAAGAACAGAGCAGAGGCGTGGGAGGAGCTTGCCTGGCAGCTGCCAGTTCAGACCACTTCTAAACAAAAGAGTGCTGAGATGCTACAGAGCAATCTGCTGGCTCTGACAGGGCAGGTCACAATGTAAAACTTTCATTACAGCCAAGTACAGTGCTGGACATGGAGCTAGCCCTGCCCTGGGAACCTCTGCCATACAGACACTGCTTGGGAGGGTAAGGAGAAAGGGAACATTGTTACCTCCACTGAAACTGCTGAACTCTGGCTAAGGCATTGGGAGAAAATCACCAGTGTGAAAAATAAAACTAGCCTGTTCAGTTTTGCCCTAAGCCCAAATGCAGTTTACATAAAAAATGAATAACTACTCTCTTGGGCAGTAAATGCTGCAGAATGCCTTAGAAATCCACTGAACCTACCCCACCCTAATCATTCTGTTTATAATCTTAAACCACACTGGTTTACATAAAAGAAACTCACTGAAACTACTGGCAGTTGGAAGAGTAGATAAGAAATACAGTGCCCCCATATGAAATCAGACCAGCTGCTTTCCTGTCATTGTAATTCAATGAAAACAACACCTTTCCATGTCTATAAACCCTTTAATGTACCATCAATTAATCTTTCACTGCAGTTACCAGCTAAGAGATGAAAGAAAATACAGGAATATGTTAGAAACTGACAACTGACTAAACTCTGTGCTGTTAATCAGTCTAAGGCACAGCCCCGTGTGCTTGCAGCGCTGTACCCACAGACACACCTGCAGTGTGCACAACAACACTCACAGAAGGAGGGAGGAAGAATGTTGTGCATCTTTGAGAAAAGCCATGCTGAGGTTATGGAAACTTCACAGCAGAAGGTGTCACATGAACAGCAATAGGCATCAAAGTGTAGATTTGTGAGAAGCAGATACAACAGAGGGGGTGGTAGCACAAGCTGCTCCGCTCCAAGCCCTCCATCCAGCCCAGGGCAAGAGTAACTCCCACTAATGACACATCAGTGTGCAGCCTGATCCAGCTGCAATCTTTTCACTGACTGTAATGACATTGAAGCAAACACTTTGGCTTCAAGCCCCTTTAAATTTTGGTCATACAGCCTAATTGCCAGCATAATCCTAATTGCTATACTAGCAATTTCCATGTAAGCCATGCTAGCTTCCTGTTAAGTCATCAAATAGCTATCCTATTAGAGCAATAACTGGTCACTACCCCCTAAACAAAACTTTCAGTTGTTGTAAAGATTTATGTATCACAGCCAGACTTTTTTGCCATCTTCTTCACTGTGATTGGGTATTTCTTTATTTAGTGGTTTTGCACTAGAGATCATCATTTATTAATCTCGTGTCTGCAGTTCAGAAACATTGTAGTACTTAATGAATTCAAAGTAAACAATTTTAGGAAAGAAACCTGCAAAGTATATTGAATGTTTTATTTTTCTTTTAAAAAAGTACTTTTCCACATTTACTCAACTATTTCATTCCATATTTTCCTGATTTATTAAGCAGTTGAGATTTAAACATTAGCTCAGTGAGGCTGTATTTTCCTAAAAATTAAAAAAAACCCATGAAAAATAGAACATTAAAAAAACCCAAAAACCAAAACAAACTTTGGGGAGGGGGAAAAAGTAAGAAATAATTTGACAAAGGTCTAAAACAAAGACAATGCATTAATATACACAGGATGTTGCAGCTTAGACGTACTGAAACTCTAGTGACTGTTAGTGAAGTGACAGTTTTAGTGAAGGAAGTCATTAGACTAGAATTTCTGTCCTTACTGTACCTCTGCAGATGACCCTTGATAGTCTGAGGATTCTGGTGGCTTAGAAGGAGTTGATGTTTTGCTGTTTGTCAACCATGGTTTACCATAGTTGCGTGTTAAATGATGTGGTGTCTGTATGAAACAATGGTAAATCAAAATGTGAAGGACAGTAGAGGAAAACTATGGCACGGAGAAGGATACCCAGGCTTTCAAAATCTCAGTAGAAATAAAATCTAAGCAGAAAAAGTTAATGACAAATGTTCTAAAATGAAGAGATGACAGAGTTTATTTTTCAAGTGAAATGGAGAGGTTTGTTGATCTTTCAGAGCAGTTCCCAAACTGCCGGTTAGCTTATGTGACACCTTACACATAGAAATTCTTCTACTGCCATGTTGCAAACAAACAGTAGAGAAAACATATTGAAAACACTCTCATATCCACCTCAGACTATGAAATAAAATGGAGATACTTTTTCTCCATCAGCTAGAGAAAGCAGCAATATTACTGGAGTGAGGAAAAACCCAAAAATTCAATCTATATCCCATTTGTTAACCAGGGCAGTTTTGTAGGTTTCTCCTTACCTTCGGTGTACTTGTAGCAACAGCCTGTGGGGCAGCTGCCTGGCCAGCTTGACTTGACAGAGAAGTGGATCTGTTGGGAGAAGCACCTCTTGAAGAGGGTCGTGATCTACGGCCCCTTGGTCGGAAAGCTGCCATGCTCTGACTGGCACCATCTGCCAAAATGAATTTTTCACGCAGCTCCACGTTTGTCCTCCCTTTAGCTGCAAAGAGAGGTGTTCATTGACTCAGACATGAAATCTGTCACAAGGCTGTTTATTGCCATTTTTGCCATGCCAACTCCAACACATTTCAGCAATAAATAAAATGCATTACTATGTAATGCATTTATTTTAGACACAGAAGAGTTATGTGCAGGACTCACTTATTCTAATACTTTATGCCAGCAGGAATGAACCACTGTCAAAGGAAGTCAGCGTGATAATGGAATGCTCAACGTGCTAAATCATTGTTAATCAATCAACTATTAATACATAGACACAACCTGATGGGCAGTTTTGCTAACTCTACAGCTATTCATAATAAATAATACTTGCTTGGACGTTCTAGAAGAAATTACAGGAAAGCAGCAAATATATTTATTCAAAACTATGAAGTTATGTAGTTTGGCAACATGCAATGATGAACATAAAACTCAAACTATGATGAAGTAATTGGTGGCTAAGCACTCACACACACACATACAAACACACATACAAGAGAATGTTCTGCATGAATAAATGCAAGACATTAGCATTTAACTGTGTCAGTGTGAATGGCAATTGTTTTTGAAACACTCTTCAAGCGTGTCAAAAAAATTAGCTTGCAAAGCACCAGCCCATGTAGGAACATGTTAAGCTAAATATGAAGGGTGAAGCATATAGCTAAAAGTATACATATATTAAAAAATGCGGGAAGGAAATTAAGAGAGAGAAGAAGAGGAGAAGGAGACAAAGAGAGGGGTTTGCCAACCTATAGTAGGCTGAGTGGTAATTGAAGAGTTTGATTCCGAACGTAACATTTTACTCCCGTGATGATGAACTAGAAAAAATGACACAGGACATGGGTCACATTAAAGAAAATCGTTAGCAGGAGAAGAAATCAAGTACAGCAGCTGCATATGCAAGAGACTTGGAGCACCAGGCCAAAAGACAGGACTTGAGCAAAAGCTGTCCCTAAGTGTTCTGAGGTGAGCTCTCAAAGGTCCCCTAGGCAGAAAGGAAATGGCGTTTGGACAGACTCGGCTACAGTCCCAAGTGTACTTGTGTAGCAGCGGTATTTATCTGCTGACATAAAGAAGTAATACAAGCTAAAGAGATTTTATATGACTAGGTGCAGTACTTTGGAAACTGTTTATGACAACAGTTCTTTGCGATATGATTCATCTGAATACACGAGAAGCACTTGGTGGAAACGCAAATTTGCTAGGTGAAGTGGTTTAGGAAAAGTTTGAACCTGCAACACTGATTTCAACCAGGCAAGGATTAGGTAGCAATGCACAACATCCAGTGATGCTGATTTTACAGAGTATTCTTACAGGTATTCTTTAGACCCTCTGTGTTGACATCTGCTCAAATATACCCAAGAAAAAGGGTCCTTCTTTTATTCCTTTCTACTTCTATTCCTCAAAAGAGTAGTAGAAAATAAAATGTGCCTCAGAAGATCTGGCTACATTGAAGGGTTAACTTGGTTAGTTCTGTTGTACCCCAAACATTTTTCTCATGCCTATTGACGGGTAGAGTGTTACAATTTATTCCTAGGCTGGCACTGAAAGATACAGTACTTAATAAATATCCAATAATTTATTGGAATTCCTTATTACAGTCCTCAGTATTGTGTCCTGAGAAAACAGCTCATCTGATGCAATGTCCTGGAGGGCTCAGTGATAGAGCACTCCCTGCTCCCACGGAGCACAATGTCCTCCAGACCAGAACATTTTCCACTTGCTTTGTGTAAGGCTCAGGGATCTACAAAGTGCTTCTGGGGAAGATGCCAAGGAAATGACAAGGTTACAAAGGTAGAAAGACTGGGAAGAGTCACTGGCCAGAGGTTTTTGTGGTGGTGGTGTTACTCATCAATTCAATTGCCTTATTTTGACTTATTGTGTTGCTGAGAAGGTTTTATTGGACATATCTGTGTGCTATTTCTGCCAAGTCATACAAGCCACTTACATACCATCAAGTCTATTTGGGCTAAGTTCAGTTTTTCCTTGCACCACTATTACACTGAAGGAACTGTGCAGAAGACACCACAGTTTTTCCAGACATACATCAGTGCAACTGAGAGGATCTCAACCATGTGATTTAAAGTTCACAAAAATGTGACATTTAGTGAGATGATGTTTACAACAACTGGCATTTTATACAAGTCCATCTCCATCTTGAGACAATGAATGGTGACTGCATCCAAATAATAAGCTGCAAGTCTTTAACAGTTCTGTTACATACCACGGCAAGGATCATTTTTCACTAGGAACTCATCAAGTGCCATCCAGCCACCTCCAACACGGACCATGACCGTACTTCTTAGGATACGAACAAGGCGCAGTTGTTGAGAGTCACCAAACTGCAATAAAAATCAAATGACAGCCTGAGCTTCTCAAGCATTCAGATGCCGTTCAACACTGATAGGTTAAAAAATCAGACCTTTTAAAAAGTTTATTTTGATATTTAATAATTAGTAAATGCTAAAAAAAATCAATTTATTTATGCAGATTATTAAAGCTGTTAAGATTTCAAATCAGATGGCTCTGCATTAATCAAAAGAAGATGGCAGGATGGTAAGGAAGAAACTCAGGTTTCATTTTATGTTTGATTCTCAAATGTCTGAGGTCATAAAAGAAGCAAAATTAGTAGTACATTATTTGATTGGTTACAGTCTGCTTTTGTGCAAATTAATGAAGACCTATTTGCGTTATTTCACTGGTAAAATCTTAAGCAAACACTCTTCTACAACAGTCTTGATTTTTAATGTTGTCAGCTGAAAGGAAGGCAGCATCACTTCAAACAAGCAGTATATAATCTGGAAATTCAACGTTTTATGAGTGTTGCACAGTTCTCTTGATTGATTAATCTATGGGAATATTTTCAGGTATAGCACTACAGTGCTGACACTGCTTACCTATAGCAAGGTGCATGTGAGGAAGGGAACATTAAAGAAGCAATGATTGATTAATAACTATAATTATGTTTGTCATTCCTCTGACTACACATCAAGGTTCTTCACGATTCAGAGATAAGAGTCTGTTTCATACTAAGTTCTTGTATGAGTCCTTTGGGCCAGGCCTAATGCATATTTTGCTCTTGAAACCTGTGTAACAAAACCTGTACGCAGTACCTTCACTCAAATTCAGATCAAAAAAAGCATAACCAAAATGCTGACCTCACAATCTCAAGAAAACTAACCAGAAGAATTCAGTACTTTTAAGCCAGCACTACTAAAATATTTTCATACCAGATGACCAGGCCAAGTGCAGTGCACCCTCACACAAACATGCAGAGCACTCACTAAAACCAATGGGAGTTGAATGCCCCTCTTTGGGACAATCTCTGACCCTTGGAGAAGGCTGGCCATAATTCAACAGTACCTACTTGCTCCAGTGAGGGGACTGAACAAACCACACAAAAATGTGCTCCCTACTTGTTAGATGACTTTAGTTGTTTGGTACTATTCAAGCCAAGAAGAGAGAATAAGTTTAAAGGAATATTACTTTTAGGAACCAAACAAAAGCAAAGCTTGCTTCTCAATTCAATAATAAATTGTATTTGTTATAAGTAAGAACATTTACATGAGCATTATTTCTGAGAGTTTTTTAATACTGCATTCAATATGTGCCAAACAAAGAACCATTTTATATATGTAGATCACAGTTTTTTTTTAAAAGGCATCCAAATTAACACTGTTTATTTTCATTGGCTTGTTCCTACCAAATTTTTTTCCTAGTTATTCTGAAGATAGTATCTTTCTTCTTTTCTTTATTTTTTTTTCCCCATCACAGACTAATTAGTCAGTTAGACCCCATCAGGCAACTACACCAAGGGTCAAGTGGGCTTTGGAAACTGCCCAGCTAGAAATTAATTCAGAAAGTGGGGCTGGAAAGTAACATGGTAATGCAATAGTACCTATCACTGCATTTCTTCTTATGGTAACTCGGTTGATTTCCTTCCTAAAATAGCCTGGTACAGCTTTATTTAAACAGTGTTTAACATTATTTCAAATAACCAGAGGTAAAAACATAAAGGAGTTTAAGATACAAAAAGGCCTGTTCTTGACAATAGCCTGTAGGTGCCGTTCTGCATCAGTAAGAGTTTTTCAAGAAATGCCCTATGTTCCCCAGATCTGAGAGTACAGATGATAGATAAAAGGATTAACATAATTTCAAACAGTTCTTTCAAAAAGAGACTTGTTCTATACATGGAAAATATTTTAAATTATTGCTTAGATGTATTGCTTGAGGCATGTGGCAAGGTTATCCACTGCTCTATGCTTTCTTCTATACTTCAACAGGCTCTGCTAGTAAACAAGAGTGCACCCACGTTTTCAACATCTTGAGATTTAAAATGGCTATTGCTGTTAACACTAGCATGTCCAGAATGGATTACATCCATTATTGCCTTTTTAAAAGTATAAGACTAACCTGATACCTAGTTTGCATAGAGTGTTTCCATTCTTACTAGGCAGATGTGATTTAGCACTTTGGGAAGCTGTGTATCAGTGTGTAGCACAGGAGTAAGCAATGGGCAGCATCTCCTCCTGAGGGAGGACTCACCAGTGACCCAGCTGACACAAAGTATTCTTAAACACGGCTCCAGCACATTATAGACTCGCCATAGCTCCTTGAAAAGACTCTGGGAGAGGCATTAGTCTACTGGGGAACAGCAATTTTATTTTGCCTATTTCCAAAATATGTATTTAAAGATTCACTGTGTTAGGAAATAAAATAATAACTATCAGCTAGGTTCTTAATCAGTCTGCTTGATTGCTTAGAGACTGTACCTTTTTTTTGCAAAGATGAAAGTATTTTTTGTGCAATTTGGAATAAATAAGTGATAAGACACTGGGATCTGTTTGCCATGATTAGCCTTTAATCAAATAGCCTAAAAATAACACTATGGAATTTTGAAGAATTTGAATATAAAACTGATTAGATAATAATGATCTCTACAATTGCAGTTTAAATGCTCAAGATTTTTCACTATAGGAATTGCTGCTGACCATTATCTGGTTCCTTTAAAAGTAATCTCCTTAATGAGGAAAATGACCAAAGAAAGCAGGTGAGGGATTGTATAGGAGGGATCCTGAGACAAGGAATGCTCCATAGCATTTAAAGAAATACCACAGCTCACCAGCAATGAATTAGCTGAAAATTAAAGGATGGCAAGAAGGCTGACCATTGCAAGCTTAAATATGTGTTAGCGGGGGGGGGGGGGGGGAAGAGAGAGAGAAAATAACAAAAAAAAAAACCAAAACAAAAACCAAACCAAAAGGACCCAAAAAAAAACTTCATAACACATTCCACTGGTTTATACCTGATTTCCCAGGAAGAACTGATAAGAAATGAAAAATGGAAGAAAGACACGATTAGTTTACAGGAAATTCTCTACATGACCTAGAACACATGCAAACTAACACATTAGACATACTAAATAAAGTATCTACTTGAGAGATGAGCAGGTAGCTAGCCATCCAGAGACTGAATATTGGAAAATATTCAAGGCCTTCGTTTCCTTCCCATTGCTGTTTCTGTGGTCTTTTAAAATCTAAAAGTACTTATTAATCTCTCTTAGCCAAATGTTGCATATTTTACCTCAAATTTTTCTGGTTATTGAATCCAGGGGTAGCAGATCTTTGTCTACTGTGTGATATTTATTTTCCTGTGATCTAAAATAATTCTGCAGATATCTAACACTTTGCTTATATTCAGAAGTATGCGTGTTCCAATAAAATGACAAAAGGGTGTAAAAATGGTTGAATACACTTTGATAAAAGATTTTTGAAGTACAACACAATACCACAAGAAAATATCAGTCACTGTTTATATGAAACTAATAGAAAAACAGCTACAGTTTAAACACTTAAGGTATCTAGGCAGAAAGACCAGCCTTTGAGGATATATTGTACATATGTATTCATGTGCACATGCATGTGTAGAGATGTGTGCTGTTAGCTCTTAAAAATTCCTATGACTGAAAACAGCTTCAGTAGTTTGAGTGAAAATAAATACAAGCATCAGCAGTTTTCCATATTTTTAGAACATATCTATATGTTCTAACAAGAAAAAAATATTTAGACAATCTCAAAGAAAATGTGTAATTGTCATACAAGATTCTTGTGAATTCATATAGCCTAATTCCTTGTGTAAACCATGTCATATGAAGAAAGCTGAAAGAACTGAGGTCCTTAAATGACTTACCCTGTACTTGTTATCCCCAATCTGTTCCACTTGAAACCGTTTCGCACATTTACATTTCGCTACCTGCCTTGTAACCTGCATAAAACCACAACAGGATAATTACTTTAAATATCACAGTTACAAAGATTTGTGTACCTAGTACGCTTCAAATTAACTAGGAGTGAAAATAAAGTGGATTATCATAGAATATGACCCCAGTAGAAGAGAATGCAACCTAAGAAAGCAGAGAATGTACCTCATCTTCAATTTTGTCAGCATCTGTGAGAGGCTTGTATGCATCCTTGTTTGGATGAAGAGCTGCTACAAATTCGTAATAGTCAATATATCCATCACCATCTCTATCAAAAATGTCTGCAACAGCACTCATTTCAAGTCTGCTTGTAGGGAACTCTGCAGGACAAAGACAGCAACACAAATTTTTTCACTTTTCAATCCCACTACAATGAGAAGCTTTATCACAAATATTAGAAGGTGATTAGGCATATGGTGACAGATAGTGCTTATCAAAAAAATAAGGACATTCAAACAAGTGAAGGAATATTTCTGAAAAAAACCCTCAATCTGAATCTTCACTGTTACCCAGATATTGGATAAAAATGAGTACCATAGTGTGGCTTAAAGACAGAGACAAAAGCAAGGGCACAGATTAAACTGTAAAATATATGGGGGGTGGGGGGGTGTTAACATTTTGACCTCCAAAGTGCATAAAATACCAGAAATTAACAAGACAAATAGTTAGTGAGGAAAGGTCAAGCAAGCATTTCAGTGCTGATTAAATCTGGAATGTGAAGCCTTCTCAGTGCAGATCCATGCATGGTGTTTCATTAAGTCCTTCTTTAGATGAAGTTCACAGCAGAGATTCTCAATTAAATGGTCAAAGAAAATTTCAAGATGATGAACCAGGATTATATCAGGAGTGTTTGGTGGTCATAATAAATTGATACCAACTGAGTTAAAAGAGTAAACTATTTAACCTCTTGGTGGTATTAGTTTTTTTCATGAACTTTTATTAATTCAAGCAAAACAGCAAAATTCAGCAAAATAGTGATCCTTTACTGCATTTCCTAAAGCAGGGGTAAAATACACAGAGTACAATATTTTCCTACTGAGTAACACTAAAATGAATTGCTAGAAGCAGCCCAATTCTGAATCATTACTGTTCAAAGCAAAAGTCTCCATGATCTGAAGATAAAGGATTATTTTAAGTATTAGGTCCTTATCTGTTACGAGTCAGTTCCTAGAGGGAAATATCATCACATATACAATGTGGAAGACGTACATTAGCACCATAACTAAGGAATACTTATCCACCAGGAAAGCTAGGAAAATTCCTTTCTAAGAAAAGGATCACTATTTTGATTGCTTGGCATTTTAAGCCTTACTATATAGGTATATTAATATTGTCATGGCTCATGAAAACACTGGTTTCAAAAATTACAGAGTTTCCTTCTGTAATTGAAACTATTCTATGTAAGTTCTTTAATAAAAATCATATGATCCTGTGAACTGATTTTGAAAATCATCTGTAAGTTACATAAGGTGCTTTTTACTATTATGAGTAATCAATCAAAAAGTAATTGTTGAAGTAGCTAGTGTACTATAGGAATGACAATCTGAGTTCAATAAACCAGCAAACTACTAATTAGACAATAATATAAATGTGACATTTGTAACCTGATTCACAATGCAAAAAACTAGAAAGAGTTTCTAGAATCTAGAAATAGTTTTAAGTAAAATAATTACAAAGTAATAATAATTAATAAATTCAAAAGGAAATCTGTGACCTTCTAACACAATAAAATGCATAGGTCACACTATCTAGACAATAAGATTTCATGAGATGTTTGTTCCAAGTTCAACATCACATTAATTTTAAAACTTACTTGAAGAAAGAATTCCATCAATGAATTCCTGTCTTGTAATCTTTCCATCCTGATCTTTATCAATCCTCCTAAAGAAGTCCATCACTCGAGACTTCTTATGGTTCATCCACCGCATGTATTTTTTCCTCCAAATATCAAAATCAAAGTTGGCAAATTCTCTCAGCTTAATAAAAAACAGAAAGAACTTTATTCAGCTGAAATCCATCAATCTAGGACATCAATGAGATAGATACCATCCGTGTTTTTTTGAATAATTGATTTTTTGAGGACCTACACAAGCATTTTAAATATCTCAGCTCTCCTCATTTAAAATGACAATGACAGCTGTTAAAGCACATTAAAGCACCTGTACCAAAGTGTTTTCAAGTTAGTTGTGTCATAAAATATAAAACAACAATTATGGGAGCTATTCACAATATTGGAATTTAATCCAGGGTAAAGAAAATTATGCAAAAAGTATGTATGTTCTGTACAGTGCTTTTCTGACCTCTTCAAGTCTGTCCAAAGCATCGTTAAGTTTTCTCCTTCTTTCCAATGCCAGAAGCCAAACTTGCTGCCATTTGCTGACTAAAAGGTTTACCCGTGGATTCTTGGTTTCAATTTGTGCCTGGGCTGCTGAGGGATAAATGCCTGGTGTTGGGGAACGCTTTCCTGTTAAAACATGATAAAAGGCATAGGGCTCACCCAGTTCAAACAAAACAAATGTTCACATGAAATGCACTTAAACTTCCTAAAATTATTCCTTCCTGTCCCAAATAAGGAGGTCATACCCCAAGATGATTCCATATAGTGGGATTTTTCTTCCTGTTTTTACCATTGCTGGGGAACAACCCAATGGTGGCTACAGCCTCTTTTATCTAGCCAGAAGCAGCTAGTGAGGGCTCCACTAGTCAAGCTTCACAGTTTAAATTAAATCTTCGTAAATCTCTCAGAGTTGCAAAGTAAACAACCTCATTTCAGAAGCAGGTCCCATGTATGGGTAAGTATAAAATACAATGGGTAAGTATATCTAAAAATACAAAAAGCAATTTCCTCACTTGATGATTCACTTTCCATTCAACTTCCCTGAATACACTTCTAACTGGATTAATATAATTTTATAGACAGTAAGAGCACAATTTTGTCTCTATATCTCTCTGTGAAGTTGTCTGCACTTTCAGATAATGGAAGATTTGCAAAGACTCAGCATGTACTTGCTCTTGGAAGTTTAAGGGCACAGGAAAGACTGCACACTTTAAAAATAGCTATTCATGAAGATTAGGACAAAATGTAAAAATACATGTCTGGTCTGAGAAATTTCCTCACGCTTTATAAAAATGAGAGATAATTAGAAAAGTCAGCAAAGAGAACTTTACCCCCTTTCACCAGAAGTTAATCAAACCTATTGGATTATTAGCAATTTGTAAACTTTACAGATAGAGCAGTGGCACATGACACACCCCAAAATACGCTGTTACTTACTTCCTGCTCTCCCCTTATCAAGGACAGGAATATGAGATTGTACTGGAGAGGGTTCAAGTGCTTTCCTTTTATAGGTCTTTGTAACTTTATCCACATCAGGCTGTTTTCTGGTCATTTCTTCCATGAATGTCTGCAATCAGATAGAGGGGATCTTAATTAACAATACACAAAAGTAACCAGAGGAATGAAAAACATACACAATAGCAAAACACCAAAGTTTAAAAAAACCCACAGAAAGACACTTATAATGCCAGCCTCACAATATAGACACAGATGAATGTTTTGTAGATAAGAAAAATCAGCCATATAAGCTTTTAAGATCACTATGGCCTGGCTTTTAAAAGAAGGCTAAATCTAAAAACCAATCTGTCAAACTTCTTTATTAACTGTATGAGAGACAGCTCTGGTGTTTAAGCTGAGGTAAATCTATGAGCATTCACTACACCAGCAGCTCCCTCTGGCACTTCAAAACCTGTTTTGATATTTAATCAGTAAAGCCACACTGCAGCACTGGATCTCAGGTGGCAGCACTATCATACATTTCATGTGGGCTTTCTTTTATTCCTAATACTATCCTTGCTTGTATTCAATTATTATAAGAAACAATAGCAAAGGAGATTGTCACTTGATCATGCAGCGTAGCTGAGATGTGAACCCCTTGTGAGTGACACATGTCCCTCTCTGATCCTTACCTGATGTTCAGCTATAAGTGCTTTAACCTCCTCAATCTCCTGGGGGATGACCTCTTTGTCTTTTTCAGTCAGTGTAGTCTCTGCCCACTGCAACCAGGACAGCAAGGCTTCCAGCAGCTCCTGGTTAGCAATGAGTCCAGCCAGAGCTCCTGCCAGTCTCTGTTGATGCTGTTTAGCCCATGCTAAGACCTTGACAAAGGAACCAATATATGAGTATGTGCAGATCTGAAACTCTTCATCATGTTTTTAAAATTGCTCTGCTAACTGTGAACCCAGAGCTACTGCTTAGGCCTACTGATATTTGCATATCAAAGGTGTTAAATGTAGTGGCTGATCACTAACAGTAGCTAGGTAACTACAATTCCTAGTCCAACACATTTCTTCCACAGATATTCAGGATTAGGTGCTGCTAAACACTGTAACTAGCACATTCAGGCAACATATTAAAAACTTTAACTATATGTGTGAGTTAGTGAATCACACAGGATTTGGTGTCAGTTTTCCTGCTGGGCACTCCTGAAGCCACACTTTGCTACCACTAGTATTTTGTTTTTCTTTAAGCTTAATATAAACCAGAAAATATTACCTTAACAGCTGAGGGTACAACCTTCCTGTAGCCACTTAAATCATTTAGATATCTTCTAGATTAAGAATATTTTGGACTGAAATCTTTTCTAATATAATCAGAAAATCCTTCACATTTGCCCTTGTATTTTCTTTCCTTTGTAACTTCTCAATTTCCTCCTAGAAACTATTGGTTTTCCTCATTTGGGAAGTGTCAGACAGTATTTCCTTTAATACATACAAACAAAGGAGCTTGACCATCTGCTTTAGCTCTTAAAGCCCTGTAAGTTTTGAAAGAAAGCCTAGGGAAGCACAGTATTCACATCCATCACCATGGGTATTTTAAATGTTTAGTTCTCAACAGCTGGATCATTTCCTCACAGTGTAACTACCATGTTAGTTGTCAGCTGTGTTCTAATCAAAGATGGACTGCTGCAACGAAGATGGTTCAACATATACTGACCTCTTCAAACCTGGCTCTGATGATGGTGATCCAGTGCTTAATGGTGGTGATGGAGTCTGGGTGGCAGATAGCCAGAATAGCTTCTCCCATACCTGTTGCTTTATTCAGTTCTGCCTTTTTCTCTTCCAATTTCTTCATAAATTCCTAAAACAGTGGTAATAATTATAATTAGATGCTGACAAAATTTGCAAGAGAAATCTGAGTGCATAATCTGGAAGGTGATGAGCCTCTTGACTGCTCAAGCAGATTCAAATTGCAAGAGGAAAGTTTCACTTGTATGAGAAAAGCTTAAACTGTTTAAAAAGCCTATTCCACATAAAGTACTAAAGAAAGCTCTAAAACCTTATCCCAGCTTGCTGCTCCTTAAAAGCCCACCACAATCTAAATCCTTGGAAGATGCATGCCCTTAATAAAAAAACAAAGGAAAATCACAGCATTTAGAAGTGCTGTAAACCAGCTATATGATGGTTAGAATCACTATTGGCAACATTTCAATGAACTTGGTTTGTCAGTTACAGTAATTCTTCATAATAACTACCAAGCTCCTTCCACAGGCTAGAAATGTCCAACAATTGCATGCTCAGACAAGATGACAGAGCTCAGGAGCAGCTCTACTAAACTAACACAAATGTGACAACTCAGCAGCTGAAGGGGAGAGACACAGCATGTGGAAAAAATCTCGTAAAAGCAGAAGGATGTTTACAGCTTTAGGCATCCAAGCTCATAGTTATTGGTATTCCAATGATAGCAGGACCAGAAATGGATGTGGTGGGGGGGAAACAACAATAAGAAAAAGCAACTGAAAGGAGGCTCCTATCCTTTCTAGAGCTTGCATTTCTTTCTCTTTTTTTTCTTTTCCCCTTTCCCTTTTGTTTTTGTTGAACATTGCTACTACAATGGCTTTACTTTTCTGCCTAAATGTTATGCAAGTCTGTTTGTCTTTATGAGCATCCTTAACTAGAACTGCTATTATCTCTTAGTGCCTAGTGGAAATTTTTTTATACTTTAACATTTTTAATTAGGCTACAAAATGGAAACATGTCTCTGAAAGCTTAACTCTTCCTCTCTCCAGCCATAACACCATTTATTTTGGATTAATGATGAAGTTAAAGATGAGCCAAGTCAGGTCCTAGACAATTCAAAATCACCGAAACATTGTACAAATAGGTTCTTCAACAACTCATAATGACATTATCCTGTGCCTTTACAAAGTATGAAGTTATTATGAAATAAAATGTAAAATATAATCTCTTCTACCTTGTTCTAGAAGCTTGGAATATGTAGGCTCTATATTTAAATGTATTTGTTGCTAATTGACTTTGATTTAAGCTTTAATTATTGCCAGACTTTAAGACCCAAATCATAATAGCAAACCTTCTCTCACAAAAACACATGCATCCTTACAATATTTCAGTTCAACCTGCTTTTGGAAAAGTTGAATTGGATTATAATGAGAGATTACCAAAACAAGCCAGAGGCAGGTGGAAAATGGGCAAAAAACCTCCATTGTGTTCCCCTGCTCAGCTGTACTAGAGTATTTCAAGAACTAAATCTCTGACACACAAGTCACAGTGTATTAAACTCTCCCTATTTTTATTGAACTCTGTGGCAAACCAGTGACACACACATTTACAAAAGAGGAAATGGGAGGCTTTTCATTGAGCAATGCAGTGCATTAACCCACTATAGCTCTCAGTACCATTTGGATAAAATACTGTCCTGAAGCAAACATTTCTACATGTAGTTCAATACAAATGCAATAAAACTGTTTTACAAAAAATCACAGTGAAAAAAGGGTGATACATTTCATATTTATGTAATAATTTCAGTCATGCATTGTTATTATAGTATGCAGCATTATAATGCATACATGGTATTTAAAAGTAATATATATGTATTCTTCCCTTATTTTCTTTTTGTTTTCTTGAAAGCTAATGTTATAAACTTAAAAGGAGAGATGACCTATTGAGAAAGATTGTGTGAATGGTAAAACTGTGGTATCATAATCTTTCTTAGCTTGAAAATTTCTCTTTCTATTGTTTGCCCTTTAAGATGAAAATGTTGGGAAAATACCTTCTAAAGCCTACTAAAAAAATATTAGTATGGCCACATCTAACACCAAGATTGGTTGTGTTGTGCTAGCTGTCATCCTTCCCAGCTGGACAGGGTTTCTCAGAGACAAACTTTGCCTTGAGGTTCCAAGTTATGCTTCAGCTTTGGCAGCACAAATTTTAAAATTAGTACAAAAATATTTTGCTAATCCCTCTTCAGCGTGAAGGAAGAAATTTAAAATTCTATTTTCTAATTATTTCAATGGACCAAAGATTTCATTCAGTTCCCTTCTCTGTAGTCAGAAGATTAAAAAATCAAATAAAAGGGAACTGGTGAAGCACATGTAGAGGAAAGGCAGCTAAAAGACATTTCACTGAACAGAGATATTAAGTTGCTGCTGCCAACATTAGTCAACACACTGTGAGGTTCCTACATCAGCACACACTGATGTATACACACATTTGATGTGTACATATAATTGCCAGTTTATGACTAGCACTCAGTTTCCAGGGCCCTAAACAAAAACTGAAAACTTTTTCAAAACATTGCATTTTAAGTACATTGGAAATCCCTCAGTTAAGAACCATTTAATAGTCCTATCTTGCATGTACTCCTCATAATAATATTGGCAAACTCAATTTAAACAGGATGCTTTTCCAACCTCCATTTCATAAATTTTGCTTCAACTTTCTTCAGAGCAATGATGAACATATCCAGGACTTATGACTTGTTCTATAACGCTGTGGGCACTACACCCTTGGTACTATTTTGAGTAGGCTGCCCTGTGCATGTTTGTAGCCTCCTGTTTGGAGAGTGAAAATTTGACCTCTATGATCCTTACTTAGCCAATTTCCCATTTCATTACTGCAAAGTTAGTTTGATGGCCTATAATTTTCTACCTGCAGTACCTATGCCACTGCAATATTACAGTGGCCAATGCATGTGAAGTATGGCAGCATGCTGTTTCACCATGACAAAAAGTTCATGGATGATAACATAATTCTGCTGACATTTATAAATGGCCTTGCAAGAAAAGTCTATTTAGGTCAATGGTGCTAAGGAGACAGATACACTTTTGCTACTGTAGCAGTCTGTGTGGCAATTACAGGCATGGTATGCTCCACAGAGGGCTTGCATCTGTCTCTACATCTTTATAGCAACTTCCTAAAGGCCCTTTTTTTTTTTTTTTAATAAGCCAAGATGACTCAAACAACAGCCCAACACCAGTCTGGACATCCAACTCTTAACTACATCAAATTTCTAGCTTCTCTACAGAAAGAATTGCTCCAACACTGGATGCTGGATAGAACTATCTGGGATAGACTTATTTTACCACCTATGAGAGCCATTAGAATGAAGAGGATTCTCTGCATGTTCTTGCTCACCCTGTGCTGCTCTATCAGCGTTCGCAAGGCCTCTTCATCATCTGGGAGGATGCCGTGGAAACGAAGAGCCTGCTCTGCCTCTGCCAGCCACTCCAAAAGGACATGGACAACTGAGTGGAATTCTTCTGCCTGTTAAGATACAACAAGTCATGGTCACTCATGAGATGGCCTGACAGACACACTGCAGCTTACACGGGGAGATCGAGCCCACATTTGGAATCATTAATCATCCAGCAGTACCGGCACATTATCTTTCCATTAAAAAGTCAATGATATACAGCACTACATTTTCATAACTGTAAAAACAGCTCATGCTTCCCAAAAAAATTATAGGAAGCCTAAAAGCCTGTTCATGCTTTTAGCCATCTGATTTATATTGTATTTGCAGCTCAGTTGAGAATGTCATGACATTCTTTACACTGACAAATTACACAGGAGGTGCTTTCAGAGACCAGCTGGAGAGAGGAGAACTATTTTCTGCACAGTCTAAAGCACCAGTAAAGCAAAATGAATTGACAGCCTGTTGGAGAGTGACTCTTGTGTCTAGAGAAAACAAGAAAGATTCACCTTTGGATACAGCCATATTCAGACACAATCAGTGTTTGAGGTAAGTTCAGGATTGTGTCTGCTGAGCAAAGCAGAGCAGGAGTATTGTGCATAACGGATACATTGCTACTGCAGGAGCCCCATTCTAGCATCAGTCCAAGCTAGTGTATCTTCAGAGAGCTGAAAAATCTGTATTATCTCAGGTTTGGAAAGAATACAGACACACCTATTTATTGGGATTGGTACCACATAATGCTGACATACACAGACTGTTCTAGGTCATGACTGCACTCAGCACAACTCTTTTTTTTCTCTGAACTACCTCACCATGCATTTTAATTGTGCCAATGTAAAGAATTTTTCAATACACAAATCTACTTCTTTCCAATAAGACACAAAAAGCATAAATATGATTGCAACCTCCTGCTTCTTGTGAATGGGGCATAGTTCTTTATCAGCCTTCATATTTGACTGTAACTCCAGTGATTTCCTTAGATGGTAAGGTCTTCGAAACATTTGTTTTGCATTTGTGGCAGAGACTAATAATAACAGGAATAATAAATGCTAAGAGGCACTATTTATGTGCTGTGGTAAAAGGATAAACAAGGTAAGCAATGTATTAGCACATAAATGAGTATTTTCAAATGAAGTAAGAGGGAATGGCATCAAGTGAAAATGAAATTAAATTTTTGGCAACTAAACTGCAAGATATTTTTCACTCCTTCTCATATAGTACACGTAGCAACATTATTATTGCTTTACCTGCCGAAGGGCCTGTTCCAGTCGTGTTTGCTTGGATACTGAGAGGGCACAAACTGTCTCCCAGCGAGTGCTCAGCTCCTGCATTTGGACTTTGACCCAGGAAGAGTCATCACGACTGCCTTCTATCAGCTCCCTTGCAGAGCGCTTCAGAGCCTGGACGCTGCTTGTTCTTTTTCCCAGCTCTTTCTGGAAAACCTAGACACCATCAAATATATTTGAAATGTTTAGCTCATTAAGAATGCTTATGTGAAAAACAAGAAAAAACTACTGGTTATGAAAAGAAATGAAAATACAGATTTATTTTTGTCAAAAGTAACTCCGTTTAAGTGATGCAAAACGTCTAAGTTCTATTTATTAGATTCTGTAGGAAGATATTAACACTCTCTTCTAACATAATAAAAGTGGACTATGGTAGGAAAATGTCAGGCAAATCCCAAGAATCCATTCTGGTGCAATGCATGGGAAATCTAGTCTTCCTTACCACTGCTGGCTTTCTATTCTTTATCAAAGCAATTGATCTGACACGGATTAACACATAAGATTGCTGTGGCAGGAAAAGATGAGATAAAAAGCTAACAATCAAGGAGAGGGTTTAAAATCATCCAAACAGAAATAAATCCCCATGTGGGGGTCTAACTAAGGTTGTGGATCTCGCTGCTTATTCATATATTTATGTGGGAGTATGTTCACTACAGCAGTAGATTGAACAAGCTCCAGTTACTTAAAAGAAGCTCTTAAAAGAAGGTAATTACAGCGTGCCATGCCACTGACTGCAACCTACTTGTGATAGACAGAGGCATTTCAGAAGCAACTGAAGCATTGTGCAGGCTAATTTTTATAGACAACCCATGTTTCCAAACATGTTTTTTTTTTCTTTTTTTGGAGGCCCAAAATCTCCTCTTCAGTGGGCATGAGATACTGAAAATCACAGGTGGATGAACAGAGCCACCTTCACCTCCTAATCTTCCCAGGCTGCAGAGCTCTGCCCATGTGTCACCTTTTCAACACAAGTAACTTCAGCAGTCATTTCTTCTGACATACTGAACTGCAAAACTGGGATTCAGAGGCAGAGTCCAGTCAGAGTACAGTATCTCTTACTTGTTCCCACATCCAAAACCACTTCAGTAACATAATACTGCAGGTTTCCAACACAGGCTCCCTGGGTCATGGTCTAGTTGAAATCTATGCATAACTTTAGCACTGTAATTACTTTTATAAATAAATATACAGCAGCCCCACAGGTCTGAAAGGCTGCAGTAGTCATGATAAGTGCATGGGATATTTAGTTAGCAGATGGACTGAAAAAGAGTTATCTGCCCCAGAGTTTTCCAATAAAATAATTTTTGCCATCTCTTGCCCCATGACATACATTTGCTAATGCATATTTGTGATTTATGACATGATATTAATAAATACACAGGGTAGCACAATAAAATAGAATATCTCAGTGCTAACTGGTATTAATGAGTCACTAAGAGTTGTCCTCTTTCATGTATGTTTTATAACATTTTCTATTTGACTACATTTGTGTTACAAAAGTATTTCATATTTCTAAAAATTAAATAACAGTGAAAGATACTATTAAAATGCTACTTGCAGGCCAGTAATTAAAAAACAGTATTTTTGGAACTACCTTATGGTTGTCAATCAAGTTCATTACTAAATCGATGTCTCCATGTACTGGTTGGTCTTCTGCTAGTTGAGGTTCAATTTTGTATAACCAGTCAATGAGAGCTTGCAGAGCATCAGTAAACTGTCCTGAAAATAGCAGGGCTTCCTCCAGTTTATTTTGTCTGAGAGGGGAAAAAAAGCCAAACAACCACACACAGATAAAATAATCATTTACACACTTCAGGAAAATATTTTCAGCATAAAATAATAGAATCAGGGAAGTGTTACGGTTGGAAAAGACTGGTAAGATCATTGAGTCCAACCACTATCCCAGCACCACTACATCATGTCCCCAAGTGCTACATCCATGTGCCTTTTGAACACTTCCAGGGATGGTGACTCAACTACTTCCTTGGGCAGCCTGTTTCAATGCTCCACAACCCTTTCAGAGAACAAATTTTTCCTAAAATCCAACCTAAACCTCTCTTGGTGCAATCTGAGGCAGTTTCCTCTCATGCTGTCATTTGTTGCCTGGGAGAAGAGACCAATCTCACCTGGCTACAGCCTCCTTTCAGGCACTGCTAGAAGGCAATAAAGTAACCCCCAAGCCTCCTTTTCTCCAGGCTAAACACCCCCAGCTCCCTCAGCTGCTCCTCACAGCCCTTGTGCTCCAGACCCTCCACCAGCTCCACTGCCCTTCCCTGGACTCACTCCAGCCCCTCAATGTCTTGCTCACAGTGAGGGGCCCAGAACTGGACCCAGCCCTGGAGGTGTGGCCCCAGCAGTGCTGAGTACAGGGGGACAATCCCTGCCCTGCTCCTGCTGGCCACACTCTTGCTGATACAGGCCAGGGTGTATGAGCCTTCCTGGCCACCTGGGCACACACTGACTCATGATCAGCTGGTTGTTGACCAGTACTCCCAGAGAATTTCAAGTTTCCCCATTTAAAGGGCTCTTCCTTCCACTTCCTCCCCTGCTCTTCTACCATACCATGAGCAAAGTATGCATTTGCAGTATTTTACTGCTTTGGCATTCTTAATTATCAAACAAGCTAGCCACTCTGGTTCTACTTTTACACAACAAATTCCAAAAATAGAAGCCTTTTTCTTATTTGATGAATAATTAGTTGAGTTTCATTTACCTTTCCACTGACTTTCCACAAATTGTATCCCATTTATCTCTTAGTTCACTCAGCATGTCATCAAGCTTCAAATTGTCATCAGCCAAGGTGGTTTTCTCTTTCAAGGAACGTCCAGTCCTATTCGTGGTATCATACACAGAATGTTTGGCACCAAGAGATTTCTGGAATTCCTATATATATGGAAAAAAAAAGAAAATGTCCATTTATCATTAACTGCTTACAGGCCATAGTTAATTAGTTTTTAACATACTATTTGCAGCATAAATTGTAAATTTTGCTGCAAGAATAATTTAAACTTACTGTAAAATTTCTATGCTAGTGCCACAGTGCACCTGGGGCTTGGCACTAGGAGACCCCTGCTTTTTGTCCTTCTCTGGAAATGTAGCTCTCTGCTTACTGGAACAACTTTGGGAAAATTCCTCCTTCAGTGAGGAAAATGATTCCTGCCCTACTGTAATATTCCCAAATTTCAGCCTAGCAGTCAGAAGGATGTGAAAGAACTGCTACTTTGGGAGCCATTAACTGAGCATTCTTTGTACTACATTCTTACAAACTAAGATTTCAAGCCACTTGTAGAGCTCCCCAAGAGCCACAAAGGTTATTCTGGTTTAGCTCAACATGGCCAAGATGGGAAACCTCTGAGCAGAAGCAGCAGTCAGGAAACATCCAAAAACTCAATCTGTGCTAGAAGTAAAAATCATAAGCAGGTTTTTGTGCCCCAGAACTCTGGACAACAGTGACAGAGTGTGCCCACTAGCTCTGCCAGCTCCTTTTGCACAGATCCTCTGGAAGCTTTTCACATACACAGAAGAGCACAGGAAACACAATTCATCTGCTACCACACAGGAATTAACTGACTGACAGAGTAAATAACTAAATAAAGGAACACGGGCAAAAGACAGCACCAGCCCAACAAGGCAGCTTTTAAATTGCAGCAATGTTTGAAATGTTTTATTTCACACCTACATGAAGCGCTAGCAGAGAATCAGTCGGAAAAAAATAAACCCCAAGTTTGATTTAGAAAACCCTTATATACAGCATCAAATATTTTCAGGTTTTTTTGGAAATTTAGCATTTCCTTACTATTTTTTTCCTTTTCCTCATATAAAACAAGAAAAAAAAAACTTTAAGAAAAAACATAATTATCAAGCTAGGACTACAGTAAAAATAACTGCAATTTTCAAAATATCCAGTTTTTTATTAGTTGCCTCAAAACAAACAATATGTCTATGCCTCTTTTATTTCATGGGTTTTGTTAACTACTTAACACTACATAATGTTACTAGGTTTGCACAAGGAAAAACAATTAAATTGCTGCCACAGAAAGATCATACAGGAAAAACAGATTTAAAGATGGCAAAGGGCTGCAGTTAGTTCATTCCCTGAGACTAAATCATATCTACTTTCATTTGACTTCAGGTATAACTGAGAGGAGATTTTAGTTTAAGCTGCCAGGAACAGATAGGTAAGTTAATTACTGAGATTTTTGTTCAGCTAGATACCTTTCTTCTAAGGAAGATGGGCACATACAGATAAAATTAGCCAGAATCATAGAAATGTTCTGTAAGAACACTCAATATTAGCACAGGAATGGATTGGGTGACCTAGTGCGGATTTTTCCATTCCTGACTCCTAAAAATGAGAAGAAAATTCCAATAAACAGACCATGAATAACCCCCAAAAGTCCCTGGCAACATGCTAGATATGAGTGAGAGAGAAAACATATTATCTTGGCTTTTCTTTTTCAGGGACTTTTTCTTTTGGCAGTAATGACTGGCAGAGAGCGAGTCCAAATTATTGCTTACAACACACATTCAGATGGGATAGCAAAATCCTTAACTAAATGGAGCAAGGAAACCTTCAAGGCTGGACAGAAAAGACAAAGACAGACACAGAGTATATGTGGGAGTGGAAGGAAAAGACTCAAAATACAAGGAAGGACGTTGCAGTGTTGGGAGGTTTGACAACTCATTAAAAAACAATTGAGTTGATTTCTTCAGAGGGTGGTGTTTGAAGTTTAAAGTCACAAAGTTCACCAAACTCCCTCTCTCTCACACATTCATCTTTTTTCTCCAGATCACCAGTTTCAACCCTTATGTGCCTGTACCAGATTCATCCCATTCCTTAAAGAGATTCAAGCAACTCAAGCTGTAATGCTCTGCAGGCTTTTTACACAAAAGAAGCTGAAGAAAAGATATCAGTGACAGAAGTGATGAGTCTGCCAGTCCATTTGAGGAAGTTTGGTCTCCTAAAATGTACTGCTGTAGGTATAAAGCACATATCAAGTTTCTCAGGTTTAACATTTCTGAAGATGGGATGAGGATACAGGTGGAGAATCCTGAAAACCTCAAAGCACAGTCACAGTGCTGACCATACTGTGAGGAATTTGAATATGTAAAGAAAAGAGAGGAGTGAAAGGATTAGAAGATTAGCAAGACTCAGACTATCATAACAGCAAGATCCCCCCCTGCCAGTTCAGATCACTGAATTCAAATTCTGTCAACGGCAGCAATCCCAAAACAAAGTGAAATTGCAGAGTTGGCATAACAGAATGTAGGTTTTATCTAAAGGTTTTTAACAGCAGACACAGGTAAAATTATTTTTGCTTGACCAACTGCCAGCTCTCACTATATTAAAGGAGAATGGTTTCCTGGCTGATAAACAACACATCATGCAACCTGAGAGATGATAAAAAAATAAAGCAGACTGATGAAGTCATTATTATACATGACAAAATTTGTCAGAGGTAAGGGCAATCACCAGAAGCTACAGTGAAAAGAAAAAATTAGATATGAAAACCCCTCAGGATATTGTGAAATATTAAAAAAGATAAGTAAATGGAGAACAATAAAACTGACATAAAAAGTAAATATATGCCAAAATGTAGAAAACGAAATTATTCTAGTGTTTAATGAAACTGTCCCAAGAGAAGTCTTAATATCTCTGAAGATTCTACCTCTCATCCACTTGATCTTCAATAATATATTATTCTAGGCATTTTAAAGAAGTCAGTCAAAATGAAGTAAAGACTACTTCTGTCTTTGCTTTTGCTGTGTCTGATGGAATTACAGAGCTTTACACTATCATCACAAGTTTGAAGAGTCAAGTGAATGAGAGAGATTTTTACATATTTACAGCTGAATTTCTGAAAAGATGGTTTCAGAATTTTGAATCCAATAAAGAGAAATATGGAGGCAGTATTTGCTCTAATACTGTCATGGTGTTTTCTAGGGTATTTCATTAATATTTCCATATTAATGGAATTAAATAAATATTTCCACTTAACATAAAAAGCAATCAAAATACTTGATTAACATTTTTTTTCACTTTTGAAGTTGTCCTGAAGTATTAAAAGAAAAATCTCAACCCAAGTAAGTGGACAGTAAATGTTTGGTTTAAGAACTTAAGAAAGAAAAGCCTCTTCAGAGATCTCTATTCTGAAATGGTATTAATCTACTTTTTAAAGTTTCCATGGTGCTGTATTATTCTTTCCTCTTCATTTTTAACCATTCCCCCACATATCAGGTACTCTGAAAAGTTCTTTTCATTCACACCCTGTTAAAACACCATCATTAAACTTGATGTGAATAAACATTCCATTGTAGTGAGGCTGCAAATGTACTTTCTTTGATGACTGAACAGTGCAAGGCCAAGAGACTTACCTACATTTCACTGGGCATTTTGTGTGTCATGACTCACCTTATGCTGTGCAAGCTGCATCTTTATTTTGTCAGGGTCATTTGCAATTTCAAGATCTGCGTCCAGAGATTTCTCTGATTCTTCCAGCCATTCCATAAGTTTATGCCAGGCTTCATGGAACTAAAGGAAAGAAGGATTTGCATGGACTCTAAAATTCCATGGTTCATAAAACAGTCCAAAAGCATTAAACCCCAACCAAGACTGGCAAACTTTGATAAAATTTGATGGTTTTTTTCTCCCTGGTCTCTTAAACAAAACTGGTCTACCCATGTGCCCAGTGTGTAGTAGTCTCCCTTCACCAAGTGAGTTAACAACCTTTAATGTGCATGATGTGCACACGTCACATGTATCTGTCAGATGTGTTGGTCATTTAGATTTCTACAGGTTTAGTAATGGATAGTAAATACAGAAAGAACAGGGCTTAGCTATTGCTTATATGGGACCAAGGCAGGAAATCACTGGGGACAACTTCTGTCTGCATGACTGCCCAAGATGTTGCCTGTAACACTCTTAAAAACTCTCATTATATCAAATGGTATCTTGATGAGCAAGGAGCAGATTTTTGATCTTCCTTCCTGTTTCAAAGAAAAGAGCACTTCGGGGAAGGAAGCAGGGGAAAAGTAAAAATTCAACCAGCTTTCACAAAGTGTCATCCATTTAGGTTTTGATCTTTTTAAGCTGGTTATTTCTCTCTCTCTTGAAAATTCTTCTTGCCTGGGCTGCCTACACATGGAAGCACAAGAAACTAGTTCAGAAACCTTTCAAGGCATCTAAGACACTGTTGTTCAGGGCTGTTGATCAGGCCTTGACACCAGTAGCTTTCAGTATTCCTTCCACACTCCACATACACAGTTATCTTAATAACACTGTATTAAGCTTTGTAAATGCATATTGAGATGAAACCCATCTCATTGCAGAACTGCTCTATGTGTGAGTGCACAAGAGAAACTGCTGGAAAATAAGAAGCACAACTGGCTTGTGGGCTAATTCATTGCCCAGAGAACTTCTTGCTCTGTGAGCTGAATGAATGGTGGTAGTGGTGAATATTGGAACATGGTTTAGCTGTGAACATCACCAAATCTTGAATGATCATGTTCCCTTGAATAGAAAGGAGCTAGAACTTCCTGTTGGTATTTAAACAGCTGAGATTCTTCTCACACATTTTGCATCTTATAATTTATGTTCCTCAGTGAGGGAAACACGTATCTAAGGAAAAAAGCACGTATCCTCCCAAATAAAGAAAACTGTGAAAACAGCCCCCTCCCCCCAAAAACAACCTCTCTGGGTTTATAAGGAAAAAAATTAAGAAATCTTACCACACAGAAGATATTGGTATAGTAACTAACATAAGAAACTGAGTGATAAGGGTTGAGTATAAATCAGGACACAACATAGACCCAAGAAGAAAATGCTAAGGAATACTCCCACAGATTAGTGAAAAGGGCTCATCACATTCTTTAAAATATACAGGGTTGATTATGAAACTTCTTTTTGAAGACAGATGGCACTAATACACATCTGGAACCCATACTGTAACTTTCTTTTTTCAGACTATCCTATACTGCAGACAGAAGTCACTGCTTGGGTTGAAAATGATGCTTTCACTTCCCAAATGAAGTGCTCTGGGATTGAATCACAGAAATCGTTCCACTAACTCAACACTGTCTGTTACACTAAACCCAGGCTTGCTTTGTAAGTGTTTTAAAGCATCATATTCTTCAAGAATCTGGAGGCAATTACATCTAAGTTCAAAGAGCTCTATAACAGCTGTTGTCCCATTACCTGTTTGGCTCTTTTCCTTGCATCATCCAAAGCTCTTCCCCTTTCAACTAAGCGTTGGACTACTTTTTCCCATCGACTCTGTACACTGATCAGCAGATTCTTAATAAGGACAACATCCTGTTTCTGGCTGAAATATTTCAAATGGGTTCCAGTTTTGTCCAGCTCTATGACCTGATCTCGATGAGAGTTCACTTCTGTGGCAAAAACCTTGGAAAAAAAGAGTAAAAATTACTGAATACTGTGTTGGGTAAACACTGAAAAAACCCAGTCTGATAAAGAATGATGTAGTGAGAAAGACTACAAAACACAATTTTAAAACAAATGAAATGTTTCTCTGAGTGCCAGCATTATAGGATTCATTTGGACATTGTTACAGTATCTCCACAGAGTGGGAGAAAAACATTACACATCTGTTTCTTTACATACCTTGTGTTCATCAATTTGAAATAAGACAGTGTCCAAGATAAGACTTGGCCGAGATGCTGCAGTTAGAGTCTGCTCAGCCTGAGTAAGCCAGTTGATGAAATCTTGAAGTGAGTTGTGGAACTCCATTGCTAAATTGAGGGCTTCTTCCAGTTTGGTCTGCAAAGACAGGTCATACTTTATTAGCAGCTGATAGTGTGCGGGGGCTTCAGCCAAGGAAACCATTTTAGTTCAGCACTTCAGAGTAAACCATTTTACTTTAGCATTTTAAAGCACTTTTCCAATTCAAAGTCTCTGAGTTTTAAAATAACAGCTTATATTCAAGCATATTCAAGGAGATGGATACAGGAGTTAGAGCAAAATTACATATAACAGATGAATAGAAAATACAGCATCTAGTATCAAGATAAATTTTTCCACACTAGAGCATATTTCCTACTACTTAATCCAAATGGGACATTTGGATTTATCAAGTTCAATGCTAAACCAGTAAAATTTCAGAAATCTAAGGTGGTAGTACACTTGGAAGAGCCTCAAGTAGGTCATCAAATTTATTCTCTTGCACTTAATGAAGAGTAAGTTTTCCTAGAGCACTTCTTTTTAATTCAGTCCAATTGTCATTTTGGTTGCCCAAACAGAAACTAATTGGGGATGCAGAATTTTGTTGATCATGAGACGGCAGTCAGAGATTTTCAAACACTTACACTGCTGACCTCACTGAGCACTTCAACCTTACACCTTCCTAGAAGAAGCTGCTTGTACTGGGTATTAATTAGTTTGTCATTTTTACTTTGTTATTACTTTAAGATACGTGAGTGTTATGACTTTAAAATACAGCTAAGTTGTGAGTTAAATATTTGTGCTTTATACTTATCAGTGCTGTACAGAGAGTTTCTCTGTTTGCAATCATGGGTTTGACTGAGTTAGAACAAGTGGACTGTATTTCGTGAAGGAATGAAAGCCACGTGAAATTAATAACAAGAAAACGTATGTTGCATATGAGTGAAATCATGCTATTGATCTGCTAGAACAGAAGGTAGTCACTTGAAGTAAATAGCAAAAGGCCAAGCATTGGGGAATTTTAAAAAAAAAGGCTAAAATCTAGGAAAATTAACACAGCAATTCTGTACTGAGGAGGAGATAAACTTGAAGGATCATTCAGTCTCTTGTTCAGTCCATTACTGAATAAAAACCCATAACTGCAATAAAACCCATAAAACCCCTAGCCTACCAAATAAGCATTAACAGTATCAGTTAATGTATTCCTGTGAAACAGACTTGGGCCATTCTCACCATACTCCTCCCCGATTATGGATAATTAACTTCTTGAATCTTATTTTCCCCAGTACTTTCTAAGCACATTACTGAATTATGCCAGTCTCTACAACTGATTTTAAATGTAAAAAATCAGGCAAGTATACATCCATAAAAGCACTGATCATTAACACACTTAAATGCATGATTTACACTTCTATTTCTATGTAAAAACACTTAAACACTTACTTTTCTTTCACTGAGTTTTGTTTGCACAGATTCCCATTTTTCTTTTAAGTTATTTATGTCCTGCTCAACATTTGTTTCAGCAGACTCTGGGCATCTTGCAAGCATCTGCTGGCCTTTTTGCATTAGACACTTGTATGTCTCTTCTTTGGCCTCAAAGGCAGCACAAAGTTCCTAAATAAAGAAAGGATCAGAAATAATAAGGTAGAAATTCAATACTCTTTATAAAAATCTGTATAGTATTTATTCCTCCCCCAACATTTAGCAGGTATGATTAAGACTAATAAAGGAAACACATGTAATTCATAGAAAGCCAAATGAGAAAATGAGGGACACAGCTCCTCAGGAAATATATTGTCTGTCAATGTCTTCTCTGAGGTTCAAAGACTGGCAAAGTAAATACTATGCACTTATTGAAGAAGAGTTGCTACAACTTGGTTGGCTTAAAGTCCATCTGTAGCCAAAACACAAAACACAGCATTACACAGTGTGCTGGAAGTCCAGACCTATCCAATACCCTTCAAAAGTGGGTGGGACAGCTTGGGAGGGCTGGTTTATTGTACATTGTCAGTATCTTCACTTGCCAGGCATGAGCGCTGAAGACATTTCGGACATAATAAGAAAGCTGTAATAATAATGGTAACAATGTGTTTTACCTATAAACTATTCTAATAATTATGCTTCTTTAATTATGTTGGTAAGCTGGCAAAAGTCTGGGAGCTCCCATGCATCCCCCTGACTCAAATAGACACGTTCAGTATTGGTAACAGACAAATCAAAATGTACCAATGAAGCTGCTGCAGACTCACAAATGAGGAACATCTTCACAAGGAGATGAGGAATAAGTGGTTTATAAATAAGAAGAAAAGTACTTTTCCCTCTGATTCTCAGGACAAGAGCCCAAAGCAGACATTTTTGGGGGGTTAAGAGATACTGTACACAGGGCTCTGTACCTGACCACATAGGAGGGAAAAGCAAGAAGCAGGCTCATTCATGAGATTAAGATTTTGACACAACAGAAAGCTTCTTTGTTTTCTCTCTGAGGGCTATGGAAAGTGGTGTCCCCTAGTCTGCTTCCTCCTACTACTTCAGGAAGGAACTGGAAAGAATGATTGTTTTAGGAAAAGGAGAGGGATGGTCTGAGCAGCACTGGGATAGCTAAAAAGGTGTCTTTTTAAGCCCCTTTCGTACTGGTATTCTGTAATATCTCTTCATATCTTTTGTTTTCCTGGAGCTGCTTTAGCTGGAAATGCAGCCCAATTTCAACTCCATTTGTAAACCAATTAGGGCTGAGGTTCTTTTATTCATATCTTTTATTTATATCTTTTATTCATATCTGTGGAAACAGGCCTTATACTAAAGAACATGGTTCATAACATTACTTCCAAAGAGGAACAAATCAAAATGTAGTGTAAAACTTTCTCCTTCAGTTTCACATCAATAATTGACACAGCTGGCTCTAATTGCTTAGAGCCAAGTTTGAATTTGGAATGTAGCAGACAACATGACAAGTGGCCTCAACATTTCAGAAAAAAGAAAAAAAAAATAAAAGGAGAGAATTAACACATATCTGCACATGTGCATTAAGGTTTAACCAAAAAGAAATCAAGTTCTGTGCTTTAAGGGTTGATAGCAAGTCAGTGCCTGCAGATGGCTACCAGGACAGTAACATCCTGTTAAAATGTACATGTACAGTTAGGGAGGGATTCTACATCTAGAGTGCATATTACTGGGGACAGTCAGACTTGTTCTGACTATTACATAAAGGCCCTTCAACTAAGGGCCCTTTAATTAAGTGCCTTTGTAAGTGTGGAAAAATTGCATAGCAAAGAATGTACTAAAAGAAAATTCTGAAGCCTTCCATGAAAATTTTTGCATCTTGATATAAGTGCAGGATGAAAAAGGGAAAGATCACCACTGACTTTCAGAGAATCATGAGTCCACTCTCACAGGGGAAAAAAACCCTACCACCTATTTTTCTCCCTTTTTTGTTTTTCCTTTATGAAAAATAGAAAAGGATTATAGGGATTCAAAACAACAGGAATATTTGTGTTTGGATCTAGTTTCCTGTCTTATATGATTTTAAAACTATAAATTACTTTCCCTATCAGTTATAGATACTGGCAAATTTTTGACGACAAAAAGGAAGGGGGAAAAAAAGTGCCCCATGTTGGTAACCAATGATCTTTAGCACCATTCAAAAAAAAAATCTGATTTTTAACATGACAATTCAGCATTCTAATTGGAAGTGTCAAGTCAAGCATATTCCAGTTCAAGTACAGTTCAGTATCACTGTTACCTCTGAGCCAGGAATTCAGAGGTTCAGATCACCAGGTTTGGGCTTATATCCTGGTCTAAAGCTCATCATGATTTTACACAAATGGAGCAGTAAGAACCACCTTCCTTAGAGGCCAGAGATCAAGTTTAAGTGTCTTTTTAAAAACTCTATGGTTCTATGGAAGCAGAGAAATCCACAGAATGTTTCTTAAAAGAAAGGGAATAATTCAGTCATCCTGGTCAGCTTGCCATTTCTAATCAAAGCACTGCCCCTATGAGCCAGTAGTCCCTCTTATTTCTATGCTAATGATGACTTTACTGTCAGCTTTGGTTAAATAAAGAATAAAGGATCAAGTCTCTTAAGGTTTAGTGAATGTGGGCCATTTTTAGGTTCATCTTCAAACTTTAGAAAAATCATAAACTTAGTTATGGGGTCATAAGGGAAAAGAAGAGTAGAAATCATGAAAAATCACCTTTTGTAAAGATGCAAAAGTTGTTTTATTTGTCTCAACACTAATAATGCTTCAGCTTTGGGCATGTCCCAACAGGCTACTAAACTACACTGTAAATAACAGTGTTGTTTTGAAGGCTATTAAATTTCTTTAAGACACTGTACAGACCTTGTGATATATAGAACACACTCTGTATTTATAAAAAACACTCTTAAAAGATAGTTAGTCCTGAAATGCAATTTGCAAAGCATTCTAATACTGATACTTACCATATGTGCATTAAGCTGCTCTCTTGCTGTTTCTGGTAAGCCTCCAACAGGTTTTGATGCCAACAGCTGACGTTCAGTGTCTGTCAGCCATTGCTGCAGATCCTCAACTTCACCATGGAAACCTTGAGCCTGAATTATACCACATCATTTTAGAGATAACTTAAATGCTCTCCATTACAATAACCAGCTCAGATGCATAAGCAGATTGGCAATTGGTATAATCCGAAATTTGTAATAATCAAAGTCAATTAAAGAAAGAAAAAAAGGAAAAAGCAAACTAACAAACTAGCTGAATTCAATCTAAAGGACAAAAACCACAGAAATCATAAAAGCAGTCAAAATAACTACTCTGACACCATGGTTTCCCTGAATAATACAACTATACAGAAATTTCACCCTTTACAAACATGTAGACCAAAAGCTGAATTCTCATATCAGCACTGTAAGGGACAATGTCCAGCTGTGGAAGATACAGCTGGATTCAAAATTCCTCCAGATTCAGGAGCGTCTGCATAATGGTTTTGATTTCGGCCAACTTCTAATACGTGTATCTGTGTATTTCATGTAAAAGACACTTTTTCTGAGTTATCTCTATATTTGATCATTTCCTGTTCACCTGGATCAAGGCACTATCCAGCTGCTGTTTCCTTTGCTCTGTTTTTTCCAACAAGTTTTGCCAGCGCTGATTCAGGAGTTCCAACTTGCTCCGTAAATTACTTGCTTCTTCAACAGCACTTGATTCAATCAGGTCATTTCCTGCTTTTTTAACAGCTTCCACCGTAGACTGATGAGCGAAAACATCATTTTGTAGCACCTACAATTGTAACACAGCATGGTCATATCAGTAAGTTACTGAATGAAGGCACTCACAGTGACTGAGCCAGTTGTAGTCCAAGGACAAGACAATAGTTAAACATCAGCACAGGTGTCAGAAATTAAAGCTCTTAGATCTCTTCAATCAAATGCACTAACAATTCTGACAGCAACCATTCTGACAAAATACTGAAGTTTATTTTTGTATCTTGGAAAAAAATAATATATTCCTTCTGAAAGCATATATTTCTGAAATTATCAAAGGTTTCTAGTAGTGCTAGGGAATAATTATTTCTTCACTTTTTAAATTTATTATATACTTTCCTTTAACAGGATTTTTCTTTGAATACTATGTGCCTGCTGTGCTATACAACAACCCAGCTGCCACAATGTCTTCTTGCCCATTTCACGGCTACAAGTCCTTTCACATTATCACTCCTTTCAGGCTACCAGGACACTTGACCTGTGCTAAAAGCTGGGGGATGGTTGTATTACTAACACCAAAAGACCTCCTCCATCTGCTGGAAAACCTCTTATCACCAACCACAGTAAAAATCATAAAAGGCAAAAGGCACATTTGGGGGAAAATGCTGTTTTGAGAAGGATGGAGAGCAGGGCAAAAAAAGCTTTAACATAGAACAGAAAAAGAAATACATAAAATGGCTGGGAAGAGAATGGTAAACCCTATCTAAGAAATTCAAGTTTATGATTCCTATCTTCCATGGAGTCTGACTGAAACTCACCCCCATCAGAGTACTAGCATATGGAAAAAATGCAAAGCTAAATACAAAGAAACTTAAAAATAAACTATGTGGAGCACAATATGAAATAGCAAGTCACAAGCAGACCTTGAATACAAAACACACATTACATTTACTTTAATTCTTCTAAGCTGAGAATCAGATTATTTTATTTTCCTAACAGGGTAAAAAAAGGTATTCAAAGAAGCAGATGCATCTTATCCCTTCCTTCCTGCTGAGACTCACTAAGAACAAGGTCTATTCTTTCCAAAGTTATTCAAGAGGTGGATGTTTTTACAGGCTACCACAGGATGTACTACTGTGTGAACTTTCTAACCTATAAACTCTGTATTATGAAAAGGAAGTAGATTCATTCATGTGTTTGCTGAACTCCTTCAGCACAGACACAAATGATGCCTCGATGCTCTTCACTAGTGAAACACTTCCGTTCGATAAGAACATAAAAGGCTCATGGAGCAGAACCTGGCTTTGTAATTTTATTTACTTTGTTTTAAAAGGGTCTGTTTATAACAATAGTCACATAGGCTATGTAGATACTGTATTCTGTTCAAATTCCAACTGACCACCCAAAAGTTTTCAGAAGCTGCATAGCAGCATTAACACAGACAATGAAAATACTTTAATTATCTGTGTACTGTCAATTTCAATCAATTCTCTCAAAATCCAAAATGGACTCTGAGCGCTTTTTACATCATATGCAGGCCAAAAATTAAATGGCAGATTTAAAGGGAGAGGAATTATAAGGTTAGATTGAAATCTTCAAGCCTAGAAAGAACATATTGTTATGAAGAGCACAGAACTACACACTGAGGCAGGGAAAATCTCTTAGTCCTAGGAGATGTTCTAAAAATAAAGGCATAGCAGAATCATTCTTCCATGGGCTTCAAAATAACAATGATCAGTAAAAATACTAAAACAAACAAACAAACAAAAAACCCTTAACCCTATGTTGCAAGTAACACAGAGAAAAAGATGGGAGTTTGCACAGATTTTCAGAGAAGCATTTTCTATCTTAGGTGAACCCAACTGACACACAATTTTGCAGAATTCAGAACAAATCACTATTTTCTGAGAGGGAAGAAAGAACCAAAGATATGCAAGAGTCATGCAGCTTGTGAGGCCTGGCTTAAACAGCAGTAATCAAAGAGCTTACTGCTTCAGGAAGGTTCAGGTTTTGAATTGCCTAGGTCAAAGAAAGGTGATTAGAGGTGGAGTCTAGGGTAAGCTGTTTATTTTTGGCTAAAACCTATGCCACTTGCATAGCATATGCAAGAAAGGAAGGCACGTGGAGGAGTAAGAGGCAAGATATTACTTATTCTAAGCCTTCATTCCAGCTATACTCTGCATCTTGAAAGTATATGTAGAGAATTATTTATCAAATGTGAAGTTTTACTAGAAGACTCATCCCTAAGATAAATATCAAAAGAACATTTTGGTTAATATTGTTTATAATTACATACATGATGTTTGGCAAGTTCAATTTCAATAGCCTTGGGGTCTCCACCCACGGGTTTCTGTTCATTCAGCAACTCTTCTGTATGTGTCAGCCATGCCAGTAACTCATCCAGGGCATGCTGGAACTGCCCCAAGGCCAACAAGGCACCTTCCAGCTTGTGCTACAGTAAAAATAAAGTTAACAAGAAAATCGTTTCACAATGCAATTGAATTGTCTTACATTACCATTAGTCACCATAACCCAGAGCAGAGTCCACACATAAGACAGAATAAAAGCCAGGGAGGAACAGTTACCCAGTACAAGCAATGCTTTATAACTACAGCTGAGTTAGCAATTCCCTTGTAAAGCCTTGCATTCCAGGCTCAAATTCCTGGCCTCAGGAGAAGCCATACCAGACCAGAGTTAAGATTGAAGGCTCTTTCATCAGATGTATTAGTAGCTTTTTATCACTTAAAACATAATTTCAATATAAATGCAATTTGGTGCATGATCTCTTTAAAATTTTTTCTTTGTCATGAAATTATTCAGTTTAGAAAAAATAACACACCTCAAAGGACCTTTTCACATCTCTCAGCTTGATAATTTAAGGAAATAACACCAAAATAGTTTAATATTAAGTTAATGGGATTTTATTCAATTGTTCAGCTCAGCAGCTACTATTACTTTGCACATACAAACATGTTTTCAACTGCTACTTAAGACATCATTGAATAACCAAAATGCAATAATAATCATTCAGCATAGCATTACTGACAGAAAATTTAAAAAGAAGGTTTAAAAAAGTTTTAAAAACTAAACTAATTGTACAATTCAAATGCTATTATATATAAGTTTTTAGCTTCCAAACTAAAAGGAATGTGTAAATTAATACAAGCATTATGCATAACAAAGAATTTTTCACAAAAAACAAAATCATTAATAAAGCCCCCACCTCCCAGCTTATTTACCTGTCTACTTATAATTTTGTCTTCAAGGCTGTCCCACAATAGTCTGAGCTCTGAGAGAGGGTCTTGAACAGTGTGCTTGTCACTCTCTTGTGTTGCTTTCTTTAGCAATAGTTCTGCCTGATGGTTCAGTCTTTCCATTTCTATCTGCTGCTGATAAGCTTCTGTCTTAAATTGCTATGGTAAATAGAAAAAGAAAAGAAGTAAATGAAACACAAATAATGATCACAGAACGATTCTGTGTTCTAGCTCTTGTGGCTGTGATGGTGATAATGTTATAAATTTCTAATGGAATTATTCTTGAAAGGAAGTGAAAGCAAATTTTCTTCAGTAGAACACTTTCTTTAACACACAATTGGTGCAACAGTCTGAAGGCATCTTGTGTACATATGTTCTGAACTATGTAAGGTCACAATTCATTTGAAGTTACATCATAAAATACATAAAACAACCTGCCCACAGCCAACAAAATCTACAAGTGAGCAACAAGACCAAGAACCTTCTCTGATCTTCACATATGTCTGCTTTTTAAATATGGCATAGCAGCATCCCAACATCAGGAGTGCATTTGGTCACAAGTACAGATCCCTGCAGACAGATTTCCAAGTTAGATTGGAATTTTGATTTTCACCTTACTCACATATTGGGAATGTCATGATCTGTGTGAGCATTTACATAAAGGCTCTAATGGCAGAAGCAAAGCTTTGGAGGCCTTCTCTCAGAGCCTCAAAGAAATTGTTCATGTTAGAAACAAGAAAACATAAAGTTCATAGCAGAAGAATCCTGCACATAATAACTTCATAGTTTTTGAAAGAGAATGAATGATACTACAACTATTTTTGGGCTATCAGAAAAAATAAAATGTAGCCTAGACAAAATTTGGAATACTTTTTCAAGTTAAGTGCATTTTAAAATGAAAACTTTGATATTAAATATTTTTAAATTTTCATGCAAATTCTTCTTTACTAAAAATTGAAAATGAAAATTGTATTTGACTCTCAAAAAATACTGCGCAACACCGAAAAATACAGACAAATGGAAATATAAAGGAAATTAATGGCTAGTTCATACCTTAAGTTCCTCTGTTTGCTGCTTCACTGTCTCCAGATCAGTTCCAACTGGGGACATAGATGCTAACTTGCCACCAGCAATGTCTACCCAGTCAAATAACGCCTGAAAATCACAGTGTGATATTTAAATGTGAGCAGAGAAATGCTGTTAGTTTTGAAAGTTGTATTGAGTAAAATATCAGAACTTTTCCTTTTTCCAGAGAAAGTATTGCTGTTCTCTTTCAAAGAAAATAACTTTCCCAGCAAAACCTAGGTTTCTTTGTAATACAATAGAACAAATACCCCTGTAACAGTTACAGGAGTGCACATTCTGCAGTACTGGACTTCTATTAGCAGCAAGATTCAGCCAGAATTATTCATGCTGAGCAGCAATCTACTTCTTGTATTTACCTTTCAGGGGATTCATAAAAATTGCAGATTTTACACAAGACAAACTCTGTTCTACAGTTGTTTGGAGTGAAAATGGAAAGATAACACACCTTAAATGAGGATTACAAACTTTTGAAGCAAGCTATTTGTGTAAGGAACATGGAACTACCTATTTGGTACATACTAGGCAGTGAAGGATCATAACTGAGCTACAATGAATCTCTAGAGGATAATGCAGAGTGACTTTAAAAAAATAAAAAATAAAAAATAAAAAATAAATTATGTCTCCCCAGTTCTGATGCTAGGATGTGCCTTGTACAGCTACAGGAAATAGAAAGTACTTAAACCAAATGGTGCTGATTCTGTCTAATCAATCTCTGCACAGTAGGAACACAGGAGAACACAGACAAAAATCCATAGTGAGGGTGCACTACAAAACAGGCGTGTTGCATTATTATTCAGGAGTGGTCTGCTGCTTGATCTGCACCAAATACAGCAGTACCTGCCCTCAGTGTCATGTGAAATTTGAGTTTTAAAGATTTAATGAACCATGGAAGACAGTAATTCCACCAAGAAAAAACAAACAAACAACTACAAAAAACCCAACAGCACATACAGAGAAAAGATCATAGTTTCAAAGGATAGGTTGTGTTGGAAGAGACCTTTAAAGGTCATCTAAAGCACAACCCCTCTTTTTCTTTAAACCTCATCAGCTCTGGGAAGCACAGTGTACAAGATATCTTTAAACTGCTGGAACATTTGCCTATAGATTTAAAAAGGGGATAATCTTCTAAAGTATTGTGATAGGATAAATTATACTAGGAATATAAATTATACTAAGAATAATGGTTTAGCAACATTATGTTAATAATTATTATTACTTATAAGGTGGAATAAAATTCAAGTGCTTTAATTGTCTTTGACTCAAAGAAAACAGCAGCAAGTGTGCATATAGACCTGTACTCTGCTCCTTTCAGACCAAATGTGTCACAACTTTAACCTGCCTTGACTATCACAAGAAACTGTGAGCAGAACTACTATGAATGTGTGGTGCCAAAAAACCTCTGCTCTTATCAACAAACAAGGGGACATTAATTTTGAATAAAACAACACAATATATGCACTCTTTAATGCAGAAAAATCCCAACAAACCAACCCCAACCAATCTTGAGAAAAAACCCTGCCTACTCAAGAAAACAGTCACTACAACCAGAGTGCAGTACTTGTCACCTGCCTAATCACATGACACTTTTTACTGCAATCACATTAAATCCCATTGACCCAAGGCTGGGTTAGGTATGTCACATATCTTACCTGTAGTCCATCTTGGTATTGAACAGCTGCCTGCATAGCTTCCCCAAGCTTATCCACACGTTCTTTCCATGTTTTGTTTAGTGCATCCCAGGCAGAATTCAGCTGCAAATAAGCACAGTTTAGTCCCATAGACAAAAGAATTTTACTGCTATATAATGTGCATTTACTAACACTTCACTGATCAATAATACAAATAAACTAAGCATGACTAGTTCACATTTATTCTGTATTAACACTCTCGTCCTCCCTATCACTGCAGAACTAGTTTCTTTCAGAATTCAGTAGAGGTTCTGAATTATAAAAGCTGTAAACTTCAATAGTGATTGAATATTTTTTATTAACAGAGATCCAAAAGTTAGTAGAGGAAATACTACTAAATCATTTGGAGTTGCATCACCATAATAAAAATACCTTAAAAGAATCATAAAGTGCTGAAGACTGGAGAAATAAAAAGTACTTTATAGACATCCAAACAGGATAGTCTCGGTTAAGATGTCTCACTTGGCATGAAGAATACATATCCAAAATTTATTCCAGCATTACTTTTTACAAGAAATAGTCACCTACAATTCTAATCAGCAACTATTTTTTAAAAAACATGTCTTTTACAAAAGTTCTTAACCATAAATCAATTAAATAAAACAGTGTGTACATTCTAATCTAAGATTTATTCACTCAAAAGGCAAATACCACAAAGGCTTCAGTGGTGTCTCACTTTTGCCACAAAATTTTTATTCTCAAAATGTGTTGGGGTCATAGGGAATATACAAATTTCAGCTGAGCAAGCTATCACATAGCAGACCTAAGCATCTGCTTTTCCCATACCTCATCTATACTCTTGTTGACAATGGGTTTGTCAGGCTCTCCACAAGCAGCTCTCAGCTCAGAGCCAAGGCTCACAACTGCTTCTAGCTCTTCTTGTAGTCCATCAATTTCTTCTTTAGCAGCCTACAAAGAGAAAAAAAAAGCCAACTCTGCTAATACTAAATTTAATAACCTATGTACAACTTGCTTTTAAGACAGAACACAGTGGGATTCCACCTTTGTTTTCCTTCCAGTCACTTGGACTTAGAAAATAAGCATCCCTTTGCAGTGCAGGGATGAAATCAGCTGACATCAGTCTAAATTGTAACAATGGTTTATGATATCATTTTGCTTGAGATAGAAAAAGTAAACAGGAAGTTTTAAATTAGATTTCTTTAATCAGAGTGTCTTCTTTGTCAGAGGTTATCATTCAACCTTCAAACATTTAACTATCAGTATAAATAATTACAGGCTTAGAGGATAATACATAGAGCATAGTACATTTGTCCACCTTTCATTTGGATGTTACGTACGACTCGAGGAATCTCAAGTATGTACAACTTTTCAAAGTCTCAGTGAGATGGTTATTATGTACATATTTACAAACAAATAAGGAAATGTAATGACAAGCACATGTTGCATGCTCATTGCAATTAAGCACTGATATGTGTTATTAACTGTGGACTCTTGAGATACCATTACTGAAAATTTCTACACAATTATCCCTCTTAGTCTTTACAAAATAATATCTTCTCCTCTGCATAGCATAAATAAAGTACTTCAAATCAAGAAAATACTTTCTACTGACCTCTGCAGCTTCTTGCTGTTGCTTGACTACAGATGGGTCAACTCCAGGTCCCTCCAGTTCTCGAATGAAGTCCTGAGTATCTTTAATAGTAGCTACAAGAGCCATATGATCACACCAGAACTTTTCAGCTAGTTCCATTACATCCAACAGTTTGGCCTCTCTTTCCTCAGTCAGGGTCTGGATGTCTTCCCAAATTAGGACCATTTGGTCTAGTTTATCTTGAACAGCTAAACAACAAAGGAACTAGATTACTACCTTGGCAAACAATTCTTGGTCATAAATCTCTCTACAGTTCTACAGCAGAAACATATGTGTACATTTTAAAATTTAGAGTCTAAAACATTTCTTTGCAGGACTCCTCATAATGTTAAGTGGAAACAAACACAATGGCCTTTAGAAATAAAATAAAGGTCATATCCACAATGAATTATTTTAAATGATGTTTTGTTTTTATAAATCTTAAGCAGCTTCTCCTGGAGAACATTCCCCAGATTAGAGGTCATCAGAAATGAAGAATTTTATATGCTGCAGCTTACTGCATTTCCACTACATGAAAGTTTTCTCAGTCTATTACCTTTAGCAGACATATCCTTATCAGCACCTTCTGAGCGAGCGATCATCTCCTCCCCTCTCTGTTTAAGTGTCTCATACACTGGCTGAAGTTTTTCCAGATCCACTGACACATTCTTATTTTCACTGATCTGCTCTTTTATCTTCTCAACCTCTGCTGAGATCGAAGGTGGCTGCCTCAGACGTTCAACTATGCGCTTCAGACTCTCCAGAGTTGGATCTATCTTGTCATGGAACTAGGAGGATGCCACAGGACAGAAGGACATGGCAGACAAATTAGAATATAAACAAAAAACAAAAAAACCAAACAAACTAAAAAATGGCATCTGAAATTATCCTGGAAAAAAGTACTTTACCTCTCTATCCAACATATGCATGTGCAAATTGCAATACCTCCCTCTAGGCTCTTTTAATTCTAAATTACTAAAATAACCTTGCAAAATGATAGGTTCTCTCAAATTCAAGAACTTTTCTATTAACTTTGGGTTCACTCCTGAGACACTCCCTCTGAGAGTACTATACCCATGGCAGAATCCGCTTACATTTAGTCCTGTGAAACTCAGGTAGTTTGTAGCTTTAGAGAGCCATGGGTTTCTGACTTCATCATTTTAGGAAGATTTGTACTTTACTATTAAAAACATACATTTTCCTGTTAGGACCAACATACTGATATACTACCTCTGATTAGGGCTTTATATGTAAGGTATGTATATGTAAAAAGACATCTGTTAGTGGCCAGGAGGTGCTCGCTAGGGCAGTAAAGGTATGGTACTTTCTGCAACTAAAAGCACACAACAATGTATATACTGTGTTCTTCCATGTTTGACTGAGCCCAGGTAGGTGCTCAGAAACTCAATTACAGCTGTGTTAAAGTGGTTCAGCCTTTGGGATAGGTCCAAAGCTGGCCTTTATTATATGCTTTTGGAGGCTTAGAGATTCCTCAATATCTCGCACCACCACGCCCCTTTCAAATGAAAGAAATCAGTAAATTGTGGGTGCATTTAATAACTCTCCAGGATCTACAAAAAGCATTCCTGAAAACACTTGGAAAAGATGCAAGAAAGAACACAGCCAAACAAGATTACCTTATGTGAACAAATAGCTACATCCCTTCTATTCAATAGAAGATACACAGGCAATAATTACTTTTTTCCCACCATACAACCCACTTCAAATCTGACTCTGTGACTAACATTAAAGGCCTCAGTGTTTTTGTTAAAAGTATCACACAAGCCAACAAAATGTGTTATGAAATAGTAGCCTTCCCACATTCAAGACTCCCAAGAAACAAGATTGTGGTAACAAAACCTAACAAAAGTGATAAAAACTGAAATTAATTTGGCAATATTTGCATCTAATTTTAGGGCAAAAATCACATTTTTAAGTTGTCAGTGCATTCAGTGAGTCTCCTTGTACCAACTTCAACAAATAAGACAAAGTGTTTTAGAACTTAAAAGGAAGAAAATGCAAGTCATTACAATGTCTCATTCTAGCTTCATACATTATGTCCTTCCTTTGATACACAGTGCAATTTAATATAATTTCAAACCTGAAGAGTTAAATAATTACTCTTCAAGGACTGTCTAGACAAACATTGACATAAACATCATAGCAGAGATCTGACAATCCATATTCACATATCTTCATAAAAAAAGATTTTATATAATTACATTCTGTAGGCATTACAATGTTTTGCTTTGCCATCTGTGTATACATTTAAGTATATAAAATGAACCATAAAGTATTGCATAAATAATTCAGTAATTTCTCAACATCTGATTGTGTTCTAGGTGTTAGCAAAGAATGCATTTTAATTCTTCCTTTCTGTACTTAGCCAGTACAACATGTTGATGTCTATCACATACAAAACAGGGACTCTAACACTAAATAAATATCTTGATTTTCAAACTGGCAGCTCCACATAAGAAGAGGACTAAACATTTATGACAAAGAAAAAAAGAGGATTTAAATAATCAGGCATATTTCAGAGGTGCTAATAAGGAAGGTGTTTAGATTGACTGAAAGTTTAGAAAGTTTAGTAAATATATATATATATATATATGTATATATAAAAAAATAAAATATGTCTATAACCACTTCAAAAGCTGGATGATATCTGATGTCATTTAGTTTTGCCTCACATTCTTAAACTCAGCTGCAGGGATAAGGAATATGACATTAATTATAATGACCTGACAAAATTACTTAGAATGTAGAATTGTTAAGGTCTTCAAGGTGTATTTCTTTATTTAGTATTTAAGACCTAAGCAGAATATAGCTCTTATTTCCAGTGAACAGAGAGGAAAAAGGGGAATTTCCTATAAAAACAGCAGTATAGAACAAAGTACTTCTATTCAGGTTTTTGTAGGGGTTTATGTACAAAGTTTTACTGAGTTTCTTTTCTAAATCTGGGGTAGAGGAAAAAATTTCAGTGTGAATTTAATGACAATTAACCCATATTTAACAATACTTAAGAGTTGCTAGAACACAACATTTGACAATACTCTACTGAAGTTCATTTCATAGGCTGATGAAGCTAGAATATGCAGCTTTTGGGGACTTGACCTGAGTTTTATGCTGATGGCATTTTGTGAAGTCTAAATTTCCTGGCAATACTTTTCTGTAGCAGTTTCAGTGCATAATGTTACGTTTTTTGGAGTCTGCAGCAAAGAGCCAATGCCATTACCACTGCTAAACTACCCACTAGTTCCATTGCCTACTGCTAACCACAGCTGCTAATTTCTAGAAATATATATATACCCAAGTTAGTGAGTTAGCTGATGCTTCATTTGTAAATAAATGTTACTTTTGATCATTTGATCAAAAGTAACATTTGTTTAGAAATGAAGCTTCAGCTAGCAACAGGCCAGTAAGTGAAAACAAAAGTGAAAATCAAAGGCCACATTTTTAGACCACTAGTTTTACTTAAGAATTAAGCAGTTTAACATTTTTCAATGGCTGCCAAGTTATAATACTGGCCAATATATAAAATTATAATCCCTCGAGACAGAGAAAAATCAATACCATTAGCAGTGGTATGAACATTCACAGACCATTAGGTTGAAAAATCCAGATGAAACCATAGCTTAGTCTTGATATAACCATGTAAGATGACAATGTGTATTTTTCCATTGAATGAACCCAATTATACTTTAAACCTTAATTGATACCTGGGTACACTGAGAAATGGCTTCATCCAGTGCCAGTGCTCGCTTTTTGACATCTTCCTTAATTTTACTGTACAGGGTGTCAGCTGCCACATATTTCTCTTGGATAGAAAAGCCTTCTCCTGGGCTCAGCTCCAGCAACTGAGGCCCAGTTTTGTTCATCTTATCTATATGAGGCTTGTGCTCAGCAATCAGCTCACGCAGTTGCTATAACAAATGAAACAACTTATCAGTTTCTTACCCTTGCACCACCACATTACAACTGTCCACACTTCCAACACATCCAGCTGGCAAGAAATTCCAAACAAATACCTTTCATCTTAATGTAAAGCAGAAATAAAGTTAATGACTGCTTTGCCAGTGACCATTCCTATTCCAACATAGAACTATGCAGGCATAAAACATCAGAACTAGAGACACACACTGGAAACACTCTGGCAGGACATATGATTACAGGCAAAATATAAGATGTTAATTATGCATATGATGCTAACAACAGACATTGCCCATCATATTTAGTACCTATAATGACAGAAAGGGCAACGATATTCCAGACATGGGCGTCACGCCACCACATATATACTTTTCATGTTGATATTGGTCACATGCTGCACAGCCTTTCATTGAAGAGCATCACAGAAAGAGGCACCAGCATTGCAAGAAAATTAATTCAAATTATCCTTGATTTAAGAACAGGAAACCAGCACAAGGGAGTGTCAAAGAAATCAGTGAAAAGGGCAAAAGGACAAGCAAGGTGATCAGTAGAGACCTATCAACCTTGTTTATCCATCTCCCTTCTGGCCACAAGACCCCTCTGTCTTTATAACAGCATTATTATTTAACTTACACAATGTTCAACAAGTAATTAGTAAGTGCATTATATTTGATCTCAGCTGTCTACTCCTTCTCATCATCCACCCCAGAAGCAAAAATTGTCCTGAAGACTTTGCAGGGGCTTGTGGAAGTGAAATGTCACAAGGTGTCTTCCAATATGTATAAGGATTTCAGATTTTTCTTGCTTGCACCCATAGAACTGACAAAAGGGAAAGGGTTTTGTTTGTGTGAGTAGCCCCAGCCTTCCCTCATTTAATTTACTTTCTCATCTCATCCCTCTCTTTTCAGAAAAGTCCCAGTCTTGTGAGAGGCACTGTCCCTCTCAGTGCTGTGAACTCCATGCATTTCTATCCAATAGCTCAGTGCAGGAACATGAGCATGCACTGCTCCTCCCAGCTGAGAGTCTGTGTTAATTAATGAAGACCCAGAAAAGAGCCTATATCAGTCTCAGTGTAAATAAGTTCTCTTCTCTTTACTACAGTCCTTCCCTTAAAAAGGAATCCAGATGCTGGCTTTCTTCCTTGCTCCTCCCCAGAAGAGGGGACATTGAGGAGGCTGGGAAGACAGTGACACAACTCTTCAGTCTCCCAATGACAAAACAGAAATGAAAATAACCCCCCTGACTCTAACTACTTACTTTGAATGTAGCTTGATTTGTACACCTTGCCACAAGAAAAATAACGTTGATTAGTTTAGAGGAAGTAAAGGAGATTATAAGAACAGTTTGAAAATTTTTAGAAAATAATTTTGTGTGGTTTATTTTTGAGCACAAAGAGATGATTTGACACAAGGCCAAAAGAGTGCACATTTCTGGGTCTAAACCTTATGCTAAAATACTCTGCCAACAGCTCATTTCAAACCAAACTAACTGCATGTTACTCACATAGAATCAACTCTATGAATTCCACAACTTGGAACAAAGATAGTCAGCAGTAAATAGATCAGAACAGAAACATTAAGTTCTCATTCACATTTGAGAGCTACCTTTTTTTCTTCTTCTTCTTCTTTTTAATAGAACAACAAATTATTTGGTCTTCTCCATGATCTACTATTGGGTAAACAATTCTAGCAAACAATCATTTCAGAGCAGATTACGTGTTAAAAGTGCCTGATATTAATCTTCAATTTAACAAACAAATCTCAGCTAATGGCACAGCCCGGGGAAAATGCAAAAATAGAAGCTCATCTGAAAGGCTTCTTATAGAAGCAGCATGATTAAAGTACATGAGGAACAATCCTGCAAGTAGAGCAAGCATGATATGGTTCACAGTGACTAATCAAGGTAGTTTGTAAAGCTTATGTTATGTAGCTAGTCTTAACAGAACATGTTTGTTATTTCTGGACATAATAGGAAGACAAATGAGTGAACCTGGTGTTTACCAGTACATAAGAGTGGCACATTTCATTAGCTGGTCTCAAAGTAAACAAGACTTTGAAGCCAGGGTTCATGCTATCTAACTTGAGTCACTTAATGGAGGCAGCTGAAACAAAAAAAACACTAGTTACTCCATGCTTAGCAGGGAGAAACAGGTATCTCCAGTGGCCATGCAGGTTTTGCATCTGCTAAAACATGCAGGTTCTTAACCTCAGTGGGTTGCATCTGATTCCATGTGATACTAGCAGTCACCTATGAAACACCTCAATTTTTATCCAAACTGATTATATATCCATGTAAGAGAACCCATACAGTGGCCAGTCTACAACACTGTCACCTCTAGTTTGTGATGCTATGGTAAACAATTATTTAATTATTGCACAACAAACATTCTTCACATGATAAATTACTGGGGGATTGATAGCCAAGCAATCAATTCTTGGCCCTCTAATTGTTCATCTTTCTTACTCAGCTAAGTTTAGTTTCAATGTTACCAACAAAACAAAAGCTATTTTTTTAATGCATACATAAGATCAGCATATGTCCATATCTGTGTAGAGACTGTACCCCCCTTTTGTTTCTTGCTCCAACATCCCACATCTGTTCTTTCTGTTTCTGTTTTGGTTTGTTCCAGTACTGACATTAATGAGTACTTTTAAATATACATACTTCTTATATAATAACTTTTATGTCTCCAGTTCTCCCAGGACAATGGCAATTATTACCCTTTAGCCCTCTTTTATGCTTACACATCACTTGCTGCCTTCCCCAGACACTCTTGCTTACATGCATAGTTTGGTAAACAGCAGAGACATGACTGAAAATGTATATATACTCTGTATTATTGTTTTAATTATCTTTTTTTCAACAGAAGATTGATATAGTTTTAAGAATTTTGCAGAGTACTCCACAGTTATAAGCAAAATATTTCCTGATATTTAACACTTTCTTTTTCAAAACTAGCCAAACACTTACCCTGTGTTCTTCTTGCTGTTGTTTTAATGTTTCATATTCAAGGGCTGGTGCAGGAAGCTGAGAGATGATCATTTCTGTTTCAGTTAACCATGGCCAAAGCTCTTCATAAGTCTCCCAGAACTGGTTAACTAGGGACTGAGCCCGTTCCAGCTGGAGGTTTCTCTCTGAGTTCATTTGACAGACTTGATCATATTTCTGTAAGAGGCTTTCAATTTTTTTCTGCAAAATAATATTAATTTTTTAAAAGTATGTTTTTCCATGTGTCTCTTACCTTCATTTCCAAACATTCTTTGATAATTTTAGCACCAATTCACAGTGAATAAAATTTCAATTTTGATGTTTCTACAGTATCACTGTTTAAGGTGGACAGAATCAACAATGAGGGAGACCAGAATTTGACAGAGTACTTGCAAAATAATTAGAAAATATTTAACAATACTGATATTTACAAATAACACTTTATTCATAGATTTCTAGTCAAGCTGCAAATGATTTGACCACAGATCTTAGCCCAGCTTCCTTACGACAGACACTTATCTTCAGTGACACTTGGCAGAAGCTAAGTTTTCCACAGCATTTCTGATTCAAAGCAAGAGGAAAAATACACAAAATCTGTTGGGATGTTTAGTTTGGTTTGGTGTTTTTTTGGTGGAGTTTTCTTTTCCACCCTGGCAAGCTAACAGGATATTGCTGCAGCTGTCATTTACAAATTTGCAACAGAAACCACAAAACACTATTTTTCAGGTTAGCCTACATTACTTAATGAGAATGTATTACCATTAATAACATAGATAATAGTGATAGAACTATAAGGCTTATACATTACTAATTTAATGTATTTGGGCATGTAATAATAAATGAAAGTATCAACTAGCTATACTAGCTATATTTTTCCTGTGAAAAACTGCCCATGTTATCATGTTTATGAAATATTACATGTGACAATGCACAGAAATCCTAGCCTTGGAAAAACTACATATAAGCAAGACATTGAATATGAAGAAGCTTTTTTTTTCCCCTTTGGCAGAACAAGCTATCCTTTCATTTGTTATGTCTTGCATGTAAATTAAGCATAGAGATGCTATCCAGAGGACAGAACATAACCTTAACACACAGATATACAGTACTTTTGACAAATAAAAATATTTAGCAGAGACTCACACAAAACTGCTCTGCCTTATGACTACAGTTTCATAGGCAGAACACCTCATCTCTTTTAAATTCACTTAAGAGCAAATCAAATTTATTCAGAGATCCTGCAGCAGAACACAATTACTGAAGCATTGTTTTTCATGGATTGGAAGGACTGAATTTACACAAAATACCCAGCCTCACCATAATTTAGCAAAAAATTCCCAACCCCACAACTAATCCTTCCCAAATGCCAACATGAAAAATCCATCCCTACATGTTTGCAGCCCTGACGTTGGGCTCTCTGTGTCTGTGTGTAATAAAAAAAGTCATAAGAATGCACTTCATGGGCTGTGACAGGATGGAATAATCTTGGCAAGCAAGGCCTACATGGAAATCAGCAGAAATGAAAGTAAAGACTCACACTGAGGTGCAGAGCCAGTGAATTTGGCACAGAAATGTTCACACCCAGAGCATCACTGACCCAAAAGAACTTGGAAGATAAACTGCCAGATTTTACACATCAACCCAGATGACTAACACGTCTTTACTCCATCATCTATGGGCTAAAATACTGTTTACTATGGATGAAGATGACAAATGGGGCTCCAAATTAGTGTCAGGCAAAGAAGCAAGTACACAGCGTTTGTTCTCTTGACATCCTGAAGGAAGGAGAGCAATGCACAACAGCATTTCCTCTAGCATTACAATCCTCAGACAGGAAGTGACTGTAATTAATGCTTTTTCATTAGTATTTTAAAAGACACTATAGGAACCCTTCTACTTGTACATTTTCTGCATATCTACCACTGTAGATGCAATTTAAGGAACTTTACCTTCATCATCTGTTTCTCTTCTTCAGTGCATGTTTTCATGATCTTATCCCCAGATTTAACAAGTTCATCTATAGTATCTTTGTGCCTTAAAATCTCCATGGTAAAAGCCTTGAAACACAATAAAAGTTAGTTAGAATAATATTTTTTTAAAAATAAAGTATTTGGAGCAAAAGCTGGTTTTGAAATGCATTAATTATGATTGGATTGAAAATTAAATCACGCCAGTACATTTTCTAGATGGAGAGTGTGCCGGCCAATAATTAACATGACAGTTGGAAATGCATTTCTTTTACCTTTTGAACTTGCAGCTGAGCAGTGGTCTGGTCTTGCTCAAGCCTAATATCACCCAGAGACATCAGTTTCTTTTCTGTTTCTGCAATCCAGGCAAATTCAGCATCAGCTGCTTGATCAAACTAAATGAGGGAGACAAGAATCAGTTCAGCAGTTCTACAGACATGAAATTAGAATAACAGTTTCAAAAAATTTAAAGAAGATTAAACAGCATATTTTTGAATTTTTAGAAAGATAGTTTCTCAATTTCCATTTGAGAGTTTTATATAAATGAGATACAATGCCCAGCATGGTTCTCAGGGATTGTAATACAAGCAGCTTAATTCATAAGCATGACAAAGCAACAGAAGCAAATACTTCTTTCCAAAGCCTACAGCTCTCTAACAGTCATAAGAAAATAAAAAAGGATGATAATCTCAGAGTTTTAACTAGACTGCTTGTTTTCATTTTGTTCTACTTTTACATGTCTTTTTCATCTCTGTGTTTATTATTACTGCTAGTGTAGGAATTAGCCTGAAACACAGTTGTTTGATGTTACCCTATTAATCTGAAGAGCTGCTTTGGTATTAAATGATCAAGGCAAAACAATCACAGTTCAGATAAGTTAGTGCAACAACCTCACTGAATTTAGCGAAGACAGGATTTCATCCAAATCTAGGCCTCAGATTAAATGCAAAAGTTTTTTTGAGCATTTGGATACAGCAAGTCCTTTTCCTTCTGACTTTTAGATTAACTTCTGACTACAATAGTCAACATTTAAATGTTTCAGAAATTTCCTAAAAGCACTAATATAATGAGAGGAGTTTCTTACTAATTTGCAAAGAAAAGCATGAAATGAAGAATTTGGGGATCTAAGTCTTCTGAAATGTGAGAGCAAATTTTAAAAAACCAAATCATACATTCTCTCTTCAGAACAAGTTTATAGGCATGCATTTTAGCATGCACATGTTGCAGTACTCAACCAGGACAGCTCTGAGCCCAAGCCATAGACAAATATTACATGGGATGTACCAGATGCCCATTGTAGAAATTAATAAGAATTTATTTAGTGAATTTGTTAAAACTCTGCCCCCTCTCCAAAATGACCTGAACCTTAATATAGCCCTGACTTATTGTGAAAGTCTGTTTAGGTCAGAACCTGCTACTTGTGTTGTTGACGCCCACACTTCCCTCAGAAGTCTTCTGAACAATCTCAGTCCCACTTGTCTTTAAAATATGCTGATCTGTGCCTTTATGGCTGTAGTCCATAACAGCCCTGCTCCTTAATATAACTGAAATTCACTTTAGTCACTAACACAGACTTGTCTTAGTGGTTAATCATGAGTCCCACAAAATGAAAGAAACAGTTCTGAGATTTCATTCTTTATGAGTCAATCTTTTTTGGCCTTTATAATTCATTTGTTATGTGAAAGAGCAGAACATTCTTTTTCACTATATGTCATTTCTCATTTAAGGTAACATAAAGTAAGACTTGTCCTAAATATTGTGACATCCTACTAGAAAGGTATGTTCTGAAATAATCAGTACTGTAAACATTAGCATGAAGCACATGCACCAGTGCTAGTTAAATCCTGGCTTTAGAAACTACAGTTCACAATCAAGATTTTCAGAAGTCTGTTTATTTATGACTGAAAGGGAGAAGATGATTTCAAATGTGTTAGATGTACAAACTAACTGCAGTGTGACTTCCTGATACCAAATATTCATGGGTATGTAAGTAATATTGAGGAAATATTTAATAGAAATAACAAAACCAAGGCAAGGCACTGAAACTTCCAAGTTAAATTGCATTGAGGAAGGGAAGGACTCGAAACTTAATTTGCTAAAGGTATAGGATTTTCAATTTGTGATGCTTAAAAACAACATTAAGGAATAAAAAGCATAAAATTGGTACTCTGCATCCAAAATTTGAAATATTTTCTTCCCATTATACATGGCAGTTACTTATGAGCCCTCAGTTACACTTGGAGTCACTATAAAATCACCTACTTAATCCCCATCCAGTTTAACCAAGCATAGCTCATTGTGGTACATTTTCTTCTGATCAGGAATGATTGAATTTTGAATATGATGATGCTGTGATTTTCTCCATGAATGCTTTCTAAAGCACTCTCTATGGCTGCTTTAGAGTGAAGAACAGGCAGAATATGACCTTGTGTTTTTACATAGGACTCCTTCACTAGAGCACCCCACCACGGCCTTCACTCTTGATAAACAAAGACTAAACCATGCAGCTGAATTTATCTCTATTATCAGTCTGGGACCATTTTGCCCAGGTAGTTAAAAACCCTGGGCATTGCATTATTCTTCCAGCTTCCATTCATAACATGAAGCTATTCTGCCTAATCATCTGTGTTTCTTGCAGCATTCCTCACCTTGGTCCAGGAACATCTGACACGAAACCCACACTTACTCCTACCAAAGCCTTGTATTCTCAGGAGCTTTGTCCTCCAGCCAAAACTTAATAGTATAGGCACTTCACAAATTGCCACAGGGCAAACTGAAAGAGCACGAACTTCTCCAAAAATGTTTATTTTGCATAGCTAAATGGGAAGTATCTTACCCTTTACATTAAGCCACCCAAAACTTATCACAGGATATGGTGTATAGGAGTTTATTGTGATGATGTGCTGAAGTGGAGGTTAGGGGTATGCAGGATGAGAGTGCAATGTGCCCTTCCATTAGCTAGTGGAATAGCAGCTCTGGAATTTTCATGTCTAGATCTGAAACTGCTCAACTTATGCTAGAGGATGCAATGTACTCGTGGAATTCAGAAAATCTGAAGGAGAGCCAATATATAATCTCCTATCTCACCTTATCACTCACTAAAAAAATAAAATAGAAATCACCCTTCATTTTTGAGACTTAGGTTAATGAGATGAGAAAATATTAATTATCAAACCCCTTAAAAAGAAACCTATAGTTATTTTTAGGCTCAGTTAGAAGAAAATCTGAATTACTACCTCTTTTAGTCAGCTTTTAGCAAATTTTGAAATTATGACACATGCTTTCTTCTTGTCCTCTTACAACTGTTTAAGGGAACTATACAGCAAAAGGAGAAGTCTCACCAATATTTGTACGTGTGAACTGGAAAACTGTTTCCATAACGCATTTATAAGCTGGCTTAAATATGAGACTACTTAGTGACAAAATTAGGGCCCAGCTCTCAAAGTGTATCCACATATATTTCTATGCATGTATAGAAACCTCCACATACTAAATAACTCAGGTTATTTACCCCAGGAAGAAAAGGATAGTGGATATTAATGAAAGTGTTATTTAAATCCTCCCCTACAGCTTGAACAAGGTCATCCAGCATTTAATGGTCAAACGTGCAGAGGAGCTAGACAATCAGCAGATGCTAAAAGGTATGGCCAGCCTAGCAATATCAGTGTCACCTCCAGAAAAGTGGCTCAGGATCTTGGCCCTCATTTTACTTAACATGATGTACACAAGACCTGGGCCATTCAGTTCTTAAGCAAACTCCGACTTAAGGAGCCACAGATTACTAACAGCAATTTTAGCTAAAATATTGTTGTTTGCATCAACAAAAAGGGAGACAACTACAACAGAGTACAGACTAACAGATTTCTGGCATTCATATTTTAACACTGGAGTCCCATTTCATTAAATGGGCCTTTTGCTGCTCAAGCATAAGAAACTTTTGGCAACATTATTATACGACAGCTTTTGTTCTAGTACACATGTCCAGAGACTGCTACTGTCCAAAGAACAGTTTTCAGTACCTGCTGGGATCTCAGGAAGGCAGCATCGATCTCATCCACCTTCTGAGAGATGGTGTCACTCACTAATCTGTAACGTTCGTTGTCCTCCGTTATCATCTTGTCCAGCCCCTCTCTGGCCCTCCACGGCACCAGCTCCAGGAAGGCACTGCCAACCTCATTCAGAGTGTCCACTAAGCCTTTGTTGTTCTTTGCTTCTTTCTTCAGCTCCTGTAAAAGGCCATTTAAAACAATTAAAGCATTTAAACATGGCAGTATATGAACAGAACATACAAACTTTGCAGATTTTTCATTCTTTCAACTACTCCATGAGTGCAGAACTGAAATGCTTCCCACACAAAACAAAGGGCTAACTTAGAATCCTTATTTTCAGCTAAACTGTATTACCTTTTTGATACTGTAAGCTGTTTGACAGAAAGGTAAGTGATCCTTAAGAGAATTTTCCACAGAATTTAACCTAAACATATTTCTCTATTCAGTATGACTGTCTGAAAATTTTCTAAGAATTGTTAGTACTTTGTGAAGCATCCAAAGAAAATAAAACTAATGGATGGTTGTGAACTGCAACTCCATAAGGAACTAAATGAGCAGCAAATGAAATCAGCATGCAATACAGCAAAATATGATGAATTCAAATCATTTCTGCAATGACTGGATTAAATTTCAAGCACACATTCACACAAAGGAACGACCTTTTATCTGTATAAAACTTCCCATCTATTAAAGAAATGTAATAGAATTTTTTTAAGCTTCCACCCTCAACATTTTCTATACCATGCAGCTTACACTCCATAGTTTCTTTTGAAATAGATCTCGTTAAAGAAAATTAGTAATATGTTTAAAATGCTGACACTTTACACAATTTTATCCATGCCACAGCTAAAGAACTAAAATAACTTTGTTTGACAGCCTATGAAGTTTCCCAGTCTTAGGTAGCTCCTCGAATAAAATGAAAATGTTGTTCTTCTCTTGTGCTAAAAATAAACTTCAGCCTAATTTCATAAGCGATCATAACAGATGACTCTGGAAAAAGAGTTTGATTCTTAACTATTGTTATTTTTGTTCAAATGATCTGACACTAAATTTAGTTATTCAAAAAATTATTTCATACCAAGCATAAAGTAACACAAAACCTCACTGAATCACAGAACAGTAAATCATTCACAGGTTCTAAACCTACTTTTTGTCTTTCTTGTACTTGGCTTAATTCTTCACCCTTTGGTATTTGACTTTCATATGAGAGTAACTCCATCTCTACTTCATCAAGCCATTTGCAGAGTTCCTCATGAGTTGAGTGCAGTTGGCCTGCAAGCTGCAGAGCCTGCTCCAAAGTCTTGGATACATCAGAACTTAATTTTGTAATATCTTTGTATCTCGCTTTAATGCCTTCCAGTTTATCTTGAACAATTACAACTTCATCACCTAAAATATTAAAGGAATGTTATTTCCCATGATCACAAATATTAAAAAAAAAAAAACAAAAACCAAAAACAAAACCACCACCACAACTAAAAAACTAAAATCCCAAACTCTGCATATTACAGAAAACTCAGTATTTAATTTATAAAATAACCCAAAAAAGGTGACAAGGCCAATCCTCAACTATTGTAAATTATCCTACCATCACTACCCACAGATGTACAAAGTTTACCTCAGTTCAGGATCAGTCCTTCTGTCTTTTTTCTGCTTTACCAAACTATTACAAAGTAAGGAGTTAAATCCAATTTTAAACAGAAATGTTCTTATTAAAAAAATCCACCTTTAAATTCACAGTACTTCTTATAAAGGCCAAATAGAAGATATAAAAGTGTTACTGAAAACGTAAAGAACAAAAAAAAATTATCTACATATTACTAAGTAGACTTTCAATTACACTAGATTTTGACATCACAATCCACCCTCATTGCTGTCCATTTGAAACACAACTCAAAAGGCTAAAAGAAAAACAATGCATAGAAATTTATTAGCCATAATATTAGACATGTTCAGATTTCATCATAGAATATGTGTAATGTCAAAGTTTGGAACAGAAAAGGATAATACCACCCTGCACTAACATATGTACGTCTCAAAGGGTTCAAGAACTTTATAAGTGTAGGAAAATCTGGACAGATGTTGATCTACAGAACAGACACATTGTGTATAACTGGAATGCAACGTTTCCCACAGTATTGGCTCCCATGGCTGAAGCTTTCCCCTTGCAGTAATAGGTAGTCTAACGTCTTGTTCATCTGTGGATGCCTGCAGGGAATTTACTGTGTCCACTGCCAAACATCCCTCCATTATGAGTAATGTCCATAACTCACTATTAGGAATGGAATGCAGGTTCACTAGAATAATTTTCCACTTAAAATAATATAAGGATTCAAGGGCTAAATTCTCTGCAGGCAAAAAAGGCCTTTTGCTCACTCACTTTAAAAGTAAAATTGGCCCCAAAACATAGTCTAGGTTGACCTCAAACCTTATTAAAACAAACAACTATGATTGCTTTAACCAGTAAATATGAACCATATTTACAAGCTTCACTTTAATTTTCTTAGGCAAGTACAAGGAAAAAAAGTATGACAAATTATAGTTTTATGTAAGTTCTCACCTGTTGTTTGCTTGAGAAGCTCTAAGCCATTTTGTATAGCCAAATCAACATTTTGTTTTCTAAGAAGAATCTCTTCCTGAAGATCCTATGAATAAAGGTCATTTATGTTAGCACAGACCTAAAAAAATATATTATTTTTATTTAGAATAAGCATACTGACATTTTAAACAAAATACAGTGATGAAAATAAATGATGTATGGGGATATAAATCAAATTAAAAACATGAATTAAATAAGAAATGAACAGAAATCAAAATACCAGTAGTTCAGTGTGCTGTTTCTCAAGCAATTCTGTGTTGCAGTCTTGGACTGACAATTTGCTCAGTTTATCATGGATTTCATTCAGCCAGTTCATCAATTCAACTTCGTCCTCCCCAAAAATCTGAGCATTGCTGTAAGCTTGCTGGAGAAGTTCAGACCTGCTGTTGCTCTTCTCTTGAATCTCAATGTATCGTGCCTGAGCAGAATCTAGCTTTTCCTGCACCATATCTTTATCTTCCCTGGAGCTCATAGTCTTTAGAGACTGACCAGCACTAATGGCCTGATGCAAACTCTTATTGTGAGCTAGGACATCATCTTCTAGGGCCTATATATTAGTGTCAATAATGAAGAATAATGGAAAAGAAAATCAGAAAAACATAAAATAAATTTAAGTGGAACTCAAGAAAAATTGAACAAAAAAAAAGGACATATTGTCAACATAAATGTATAAAACTTAAATTACAAGGGAAAAACATGAAACAATATGGTGAAATGAGTACAGTGCAACAGCTCTGCCAGCTTTACAGAATCATCTAAAAAGAATGACCAAAGCAAGTGAGTGGTTTGTATCTTACTTTATGCTGAGCAATCTGCTGCTGCAGTTTGGAGGCCTGTGTCCCAATGGGTTCTGCATTTGCAAGTCTCTTCTCTGTGGCTGTCAGCCACTCCACCAGTGGCTCCAGAGCTTCATGGAACTGCTGTGCTACCACCGAGATGCCTTCCAGCTGACGGTTCCTACCAACGCACCAAGGGAAGGGTTATCTTTTGTGATGAAGTGAGTATCAAACAGTTTTAATAAAGAAAAAAGTCCCTTGAATCCTTTGAAAAACACTCCAGAAATAACTCAATCTCATTGCAGGAACGGGTCACCAAATGAAACAGACATATATCCATGATACTTAGTGAAAAGCAAGGTAAGTATCCATGATACTTAGTGAAAAGCAAGGTAAAGTAAAAATCAAATAAAATTAAAAACAAACAAACACCTCTAAGGCATTTGGCTAATATACCAGTTTTGAAAATAAAAATAATATCACTTTATTCATATACTTTTTGCTAAAAATAATCTAGCCCTCAATTCAGCAAAACATTGTTTTATCACCAGTTAAGATAGTTCTCAAGTTTCCAGCTGTTTTAAAGCATAAAGTTACATTCCCTTGACTATTATACATGTTTTAAAGTTAGGCAAAGGCTTTACTGAACCAGAATGCTTCCTCAGTGTTGTAAAATATCTTTAAACATTTTTTCAATGGTGACAACAGAATTATTTGGTTCTAAATTTGCCTCTCTTCTCCTGGATAAAAGCTCTCAATAAAGTTAGTGAGACACCATTAATAAAGCACAGAGACTTGACCTCCCAAACAGAAAAGTAGTATCTAAAACATTTCTGATTCAGTTTATTACATGTCAGAGAAGACTCTTGATTACAGCAAAGTCTTCTCTATAAGCAGTGCTGAACAAATGTCATTCAAGCAGACTTTTAGGAGAGATTTGTTCTACATGAAAACATCACAATAACGTTCTTCAAATGAGGATCTCATTCCAGATAAAAGCTACATTTATATGTGTTTTCCAAGGCTTATAAACAAGGTAAGACTTGACAAATTTAGCCATGGAACACTCTGTGGGGTACTCTACATAGTTTTCAAAATCATCTTCAAATTCCTTCTTCATTTCTAGAGACCAGCCAAAGAACAATGGAGACAAGCTTGCAGATAATGATGGCTTGGAAAAAGCTGTAATTTCATTTGTAATTAGATATCACCAGACTGGGAGGATATTATTAAATTAAACATTATATTAACATTTACCCTAGCTAATGAGTCAGATTCCTTCAATAAAAAAGAAGAAAAAAAAAGGAAATAATGATCTATTAGCGGTTGACTAATTAAATAATCCTATTATTAGTATGAGGTAACAAAACAGGTTCAGCTAAAGAGAGGCTACCAGAAGGAACAGAAGACAGCAGAAGTGAGGTGAGTTCAATGCTACTCTAAGTCCCAACTAAACCTTTTGATCTTCACTGCAAAGCTTCACTGTGCACTTTAAATTTTTCCTCAACTTCCCAAGTCCTCTCTTACTCTCAATTATAGGCCTTTTTCCAAGCTGTCTCATACAGCCTTCTCTCTACTCTGAAAAAGACTGTCCTTCTCAAATCCCCACCCAGAAAACATGTTGACTAACCCTTTCAACACAGAGTTATTCAAAGACACTTTCCAGTTCCTAATTTACAGGTGTTTTATCCATTGACAACAACTTGTAAATGTAAGTCCGTGTTTACACAGATACTATGTGCATGGACTTGGTTTGATTTTTTTCCAATTAGAACTTGAAGTGGACCTCAATGTCTTTTAAGAGATAGAATATATAATATATATATATTCTATCTCTTTTATATATATATATATATATATATGCTAAAATACATATATCTATATACTTTAAAGGTCCTTTTTTTTCTTGAAAACTAAGGGAGCTCAGCACCTTGCACGCATCTGCAACTGACATTATGATGACCTCTGAGTTGCAGAGTGCAAATGTCTAGTTTATCCAGACCTCTGCATAAACTAATTTTGCAGATAATATTTAAGAAAAAGGAAAGAATTGCAGCAATTTCTTCTTTGTAGCAATTCAGGACTTTGAAGTTCCAACAGAATATCATTATTACTTGTTGGGTGTAAAATTTGCACTTGATTCTATTGTAAAACCAGTTCTTGCCTCAAAACACTTGCATTCTAATTAATTAGCAGAGATAATTAATTAAAATTGTTCAGAAGATACATATGTGGCTAATCCTAGCAGATTATCACAAAGGACTAAACATTTTTTAAAGAGCTTTTTGTCTCTTCCGGTCACTTTTCTCCACTTTTCCCTCAGAGGACTCATTATATCAACATCAAGACGCAAAGCCATAATGCAATAAAAAGCATGGTAGTGCTTCACAGTATGGAGTTCCACATGCTGCTTCTAAACATCCATCACATGCTATGTCTACATTTTTCAAACCCATGGAAGAATTTCAAGTACCTTGTTTCAGCTTTACTGAGCAAGGCATCCCATCGGCTGTCCAGGAAACTCAGCTGTTTCAGGATCTTCACTCTATCAGCAGGCTCTGCTGACTCCGCAATTTTCTCCCCTTCGCGCTTGATTGCCTCAACAGTTGGCTTGCGGTCATCCAGCAGCCTTTGCAGGAGCTGCAGAGAGAGCAATCCAGCAGCAGGTTATTAAGAAATATTGCAATAATGCAAACAGTAGACTTCTTGAAAAGCCCTTAAAACAAAACAAAAAAAACCCAACACCAAAAACTAAATCATAATGCCTGTATTGTGATGAAAATGTGAATGAAGCCAATCAAAGAGACACACATAACACACACATCAACTCCTTCCCTGACCAATACAGGCTCATTTTAGTTTCTCAGTTGTTTTCCCAAGTACACTGGAGTTTCATGAAGCCCAAACAACAACCCTGGTTTCTCTGAGGTAAGGATGTGTGGCAGCCCAAAAAGTGAACACATAGAGGACAAAGTTCTACATAACACCCTTGGGGGAATCCAGCTATCTAGAACTAAGTTACATTTTATAGGAACATTTATGGGAAAACTGCATGCCCTGCCAGATTTGGCTTCACAGAGGTAATTCGGATATATAGACAGATGGGAAAATGGATACTAAAACTATTGTATAATCAACTCATCACTTATATAAGACACAGTTGAGTTCACCAATCTAGTGTAGTACATTAACTTCTCTGTGAAGAATAAAATGTGCCTCTGTCTGCAATCCTCCCTTCCTCCATTCCCTAGGTGCCTTTGGACACATTAACATTTTGCCACTGCAGGTATCCCAGGACAACAACCTGTACTGGCCATAACTTTATATTAAATCCCTGGGTGGCAGTGGGCCACACTGCATGAATTGTATGTTTTATCAGCTACATTATCATTCTTTTTTCTATAACCACTATTAAAATATGACAAAGTTGATGAGTTTCTACATTAGCCCAGGCCACTTCCCAATAGGATTCCAACTAATTACCAACAGTGATCACATGAAGATCAAGAGCCAAGGATTTAAGTCCGTAATCTGCAATCTTATCTTATCTCTAGTAGTAGAGTAAAAATTTACTAGGCTTTATTTCCTACCTTTCAAATGGCCAAATACTGGATTTTGTGCTTTCTCTCTTTCCAATGGATCTTTAACATCCTTTCTAGATAATGTTAATAAACCAGAGCTCAGACTGCACAGTATCACTCTGTCTTATATCCAAGAAGATGAGCACTCCTCCCAAGCCTTGACAAAGTCTTGAGTTTTGAACAGATGGCTCCTTTAAACACCTCAGCACACCCCAGTGTAATATAATACACTTGAATAGATATTATGCTTTGCCAAAGACTGGGAATTTATTCTCATTGGTCCAGTGGAAGGAGATTCTGAAACCATTTCACTTACCTTCTGTTCTTGTATTTGGGCCTTGACAACTTTGAATTCAGCAGATGGTGGTTTCTGATTAGCCACAAGATCTTCTGTATCAATGAGCCAGCTAAGCAGAGATTCAAGGGCATCCTGAAATCTCCCACAGTGGAGGAGGGCTTCCTGCAATTGTGCAGCACGCTGGGCAACCTGAAAAACAGCAGAGGATCTCACCTATTCTTTTTATTTCTGTGAAATAATTAGTCAAAATATGTAGAACAGCTGTCAATATCACTAATAAATACTATTGTTTTTATAACTATTCATAACAGCACTATGTCACAATTCAGCATGAATCAAATTCATGAATTGGGGCTGGAGACACCCAATGAAAAGAACAGATTCCCAGTAAATCAGCCTGCTCTAGTAATTCCTTACAAGTTACTCCAGCTTTATGTAGCTACAGTATTATGAAATATACTGATGGGATGTTTGCATTTCAGATGGTCTTTACTTTCCTGAGCCAGGATTTCAAAGTAACAGCTCTTAATAAGGCCCAATAATGCCATCAATGAGAAATAAAAATAGGAAAGGAGAAGGCAAATATGTGAACCACAGGTATATCTGGTTCTGCTGCATCACTCTTTCAGGAATAGAGCAGAAGATGAGCACCATTTTTACTCCCCACCCTTTCCATTTCCAACAGCAGCTACGGCTGAAGGAAGACTTCTGAAAAGTACAGAAAAACATCTACAGCCAGTTTTTCAAAGCAGTGGTACTTTCTGATGTCTCAAGCAATACAATCCTTAATGTGCTGTAAAGGAAACATTCCACCAGTCACACAAAGCTGGGCTGTATCATTGCTCTGTGCAGGTACAACAGTGTACACAGAGCAAATACAACAAGCTAAAAAAACATGCAAACAATGACTGAAAGTGGGACTGGATCTCCAGGGATCTCTTCCAACCCCAATTTCATGATTCTGTGAGTCCTTCCTGAATAAAAATCTAGAACAGACCTAGAGAAAGTTTGGCAAAACCTTATAAATGACAGCAACACCTCTGGCTTTTAGCAATATAAATCTTATCCTTAGAATTACAAAAAAAGTGATTGTGTAAAGCAAATATAATTCATATTCTTAGTGAATGTTTAATTTCCTGTATTTTGAAAGACATCAGCAAGCAAATAATCAAAAGGCAGAACACAATAAAAGCAGGACAGTATACAAGATAATAACCTTCTTATTAAGAGTCTTCCATCGGGTGTTGACATCTTCAAGGTCGTGTTCAAGGTTTTCTGTGCTGGTACTTTTAGCAGCACTCTGAATAAGGCCCTGACCCAACCAATTTACTTCCTGTTGTTTTACTTGTAAGGGTTCAACTTCTTCTTTCTGGAATACCTGCAGTTGAAACCCAAGACAGACATGAAACATGGTAACTTCAGTTCATAAAATGCGTATGATGTTTACATGACAGCATGCAACAAAAACGTTACTTAAAACTGGTGTCTAGGAGAAAGGAAGCCATTCCTTGTCAGGACCTTCCTAAGAAACCATTAATAAATCTAAACAGAATAGACTCAATCTAAACAGAGTAAATTCAATGCATCATAGAAGGGGAAATGGCATACATTTCCATGAGTAGTTTTAGATAGGAAGGAAAAGAACAGAGAAAAACAGAGGTGGTGAAACTTTAGGGGGTTGAAAAAAGAAAACTTCTGATAGAGGGAAAAAAAAAAGACTGGACAAATTTATCTGTTTAATTATCTATCTATAAAATCTAACAAAAAATGGCACAGACCAAGAGAGACAAGTGGGCATTTTTTCCAAAATAGAACTAAACCCAAAGTTTTAAGTCAAAGAAACAGTGAAGGAAGAGATATATTGGAGATTATAATGGTAACAAGTGAGGAGGAGGCACTACGGATGCTGTTGAAACAATATCCCGGCAGACACCCAGGAAAATGGGCTTTCATTCAAAGGATGCTCTTGCTAATTGCCAAGGCTTTGACCGTGCCCAACAACAGTTTGAACAGTTTTGTGTTTGCTTTATTTTACTCCTGCAGGTATTTAGGCTTTTTCAGAGCCAGATTATTACCATTAGCAACAGCAATGTAAATCTCCATTTGTATTCAGCAGCATTAAGCTGCACTGACACAAGTGTCAATGAGATCAGAAAATGGCCTGAAGCCCCTGAATTAATTACACAGGCCAGTGAAAAATAACCAATGAATAAACAATGCTAAAGAATGCTCAACTTTTGACCCTAAATCCTTCAATTTCTATAGCAGCATTCAGTAACAGTTTTGGTGTACACTTAGTGCATTCAAAGCAACCTTTCTCAGCATCCTGAAAAAGCAGAGATCACTCTGAATGTACCAGCAACTCTCCTCTTTTGCAACAAACACACTGTGGCAAGTGATTGCTTTTAAAGCTGCAGACCTCAGGTGGCTGAGCACACTTCCACCAGCTTGACAAGTTAATCTAGAGCTACTGCAAGTACACTAAACATGAGGGGTAAAATAAATTAAGCATCCCTAAGAGATTTGTCCTACAGACAAAAAAAAAAACAAAACTAAAAACTCTACGACTGTGGTTACATGAAAACTGAGAGCGTGCAATGAGTTGGCTGTTTCTAAAAGAAGGAAAATGCATGTGTTTTTCTTGACTGTAGGGTAAGGAGGAGGCAGAATAATATTTCAACACAGAATCAATAACAAATTCTTCTTTTATGTGCTGTAAAGTCCCATCGTTTGAGAACAAGGTCCTACCACAGAGAGGACTGATCTACATAATCTGCCCTTTAAAAACGCACACATTCTTTGTGGAGAGAAACTTAAAATAAATTACAATTATTGCTGAGGCTAAAGTTTACCAGAACAACTTAGCAACAAAGCTTGAAGTATCTCAGATTTCAACCAGAGTGGGAAGAAAAAAATTACAGACCCGGCAAACACCCTTTCCTTATTACAAAGCTTCCCTTACTCTCTTACCTCACCCAGCACTCACAAAGCACTGCAAGATCCTGCGCTTGTAAAATACTACTGTAACGTCAGATCTGCTTTCTGGCACACAAATGCAAAAGGCATCTTTCAGAAGAGGCGGTGAGCCTTTAATCTGCCTGCTTTGGAAACCACAACCATCTGATACTGTTGCTTATACCTCGATGAGTAAGGCTGCTCAGAACACATGGCCGCGGCTGCCCTGGAACGGCACAGCCCGCGACCGCACTCGGGGCAGGCACCGAGCACCAGGACAGAGCACGGCGGAGCCATTCCAGGTCGGGAGCAACAGGCACCAGCTGGGCAGTAACAGCCCTGCTCCAAACAGCTGGAGTGACAACCACGCCCTCAGACTTTGCCCCCAGTTCATTTCCCACACTGACTATTTCACCCATTTTGGACGCCCTGCATGCAAATGGCACTGATCACTGCATCTGCCTAATTAATAATTTTTTTAAAGTTACGATTTTGCAATGATGGCAAGACTTAAGAGTTTTAAACAAACATCTTTATGGTTACACTACAACTATTTCATAAACCTATGGATTTTTTTTCTAGTTACCTTGTTGGACAAGAGGCCATTGCAGACTGTATCCAAGGTGTCTTGGATGCCAGTAGTCCAGATATTGCCTTTATTTCTCTCTGAGAAAACTTTTGAGCAGTTTACAGTGCTATCTAATTCAAGCTGTTGAACAGAAAATGCCATTTCATTTGAGCCTGTACATACTACACTGCATTCCTCTGTATCAGATAAAATTTCATATTTTGCGAAATCCAAGTCACTGGTATTTACAGCAGCATTAGTGTAATAAACATCTACATGAAGAGATATATCATCCACATAATCCTCCTCTACTGTTGTGACTTGCATTTTAGTTTTTTCATGAACTTCATATGCATTTTCCACTTCATTTTTGTCAGGGGTAATACTTCTTCCATCACCTTGAAGAGGATCTTCATGTGACAGAATTTGCTCTTTGAAACCTTGTAAGTGGGAGCATTTCCCCTCCATCTCTTCCTCATCACTCTCACATGTCTGGGCATTGTTTTGTTTTACTTTTCCAGAGGGTAAAATGTCATGCAAAGCCAGTCTGCAGTTTTCCTTGACAGGGAGACTCATGCTTGCAAGCAGTGGGGTTTGCTGCTCTCTGCAAATTGCTGGGATATATGGTGTGAACTGACCTACTACATGGATGTCTTCTGCAGAAGACACACTTCGTATTTGAGTTTGCTCCCCTGCTAAAGGTGTATCTTGTTTATCTTCCCTTTCTGTTGGAGGGCTGCATAAACCAGAATCATCCTCTTCCGAGGTAAGAGAATTCGTACCCCATTTGCATTTGCCTAGTCTAGCTGCCTCTGACGGATCAGCAGTTTCATTAAAGGAGCTTTCACTTCTATTAGTGTAATCGGGAAAGCTGGGTGGAACAAGCATTCTCCACGATCGTCTGTGCTCCTTCTTTTCAGTGTGAGACTTCACCTTGGGCAACCCAGCTGTCCGAATTATATCGCTGTTCAGCTTAAGAGCATCAAAGATCATTTTCTCATCTAACTTGTTAGCTTCACGGCTTCGGAGCTCAAAAACACTGGAAGAAGTAAGGGCACCATTGGAGCACAAAGTACTGATGTCCAGTGTTCTGTGACTGTAGGGTAAGGTCCGGTCTGTGAAATGCCTCGAGGAGAGGCTGCCCTTGGAGCCTGAATCGATCTGTTCATTCAGCCGCACAGTGTCATAGATAGACCTCTGGGGAACGTAGCAGTCTTCAATATTTAGATCCTCATCTTCCTCCCCTTTGCCAACACATGGAGGATTCTGACGTAGGCAGTCTGGCCTGCTAAGTGGCTTCCCCATGTTGAAAGTATTCACACAAGTATACCTCCGTTTTCACAGATTCAGGGCAAACATTTAAAAAACACTAGCAATCTGAAGAAATAGTAAACTTGCCCTTAGCATAAGATGCATAGATATGAAAATATACATCATAAGATAGGAAGTGGCTGAGGTCATTCATAATCAGTGCATCCGTTTAAATTCGACTTTACCTGGATATGAGGTTTTCCACCCCCCAAAATATAAAGTGCTTCAGTAAGAAAGTAACAGAAATGTCCCAATGTCACAGAAAAACAAAGTATAGCAGAAACCAGCAGTAGCCCAATATGTCAAATACTCAGTGGAAGGCTTCATTTACTTTTCCAGGTCAGAATCTGTATCTGAAATCTCCCAAATAAGCCTTCAAATGAACAAGTGTTACAGAAGGCAGTACATTATCTTCTGTACATGACTGCTTAACTGTAATCCATTTAGCTGGCTTGCAGGGTCCCATCTTCTTTATAAATAAAGCATGGCAGCTTAAAAAGACAGAATCCACAGTGACTTGTATGGTCCTGACCAAAGGCACGGAGAAAATCCTGGGGGGTGGGGGGAAATAAGTTAAATCCAGAACAGTAAGAATAATAAAACAGCCCTTTACTTTTTTGGCAGTAGCTATAAATAACCTTGATCTGAAAGGCAGCTTATCCTCCTCTCGTAACGGGCTCGTTCGCGGTGCCTCCGCAAGTCCCACAGGAAAGCATCACTTTCTAGCAGCCAAGCCAACGCGTCCTTTGAGCAGCCCGTCGGAAGACGAATGTTTCAGCCCGATTCTCCCGATGCCATCCCGGAGCGCTCTTTAAGGCAGCTGCAGAGCCGAGCAAGCGTGGCGCGTTCCCCGAAGGCACGGCAGGTTTACATTCGGCAGGTCCCGACTACAAGCTGCAGCTAGCGGGCTGCCCTCGCCTCCTCCTCATTTCTGAGGCGCAGCTGCTGAGGAGCCGAGGGAGGGAGGGAGGCAGGGAGGGAGGGAAAGCCCCGCCGAGCAGCGCCGGCGCGTCCCGCCCGCCCCGCGCCCCGGCTCGGCTCGCTGCAGCCGCCAGGAACGCCCCGCTCCGCTCCCAGCAAACATCGGCCCCCGGCCCGCCCGCGCCCCGAGCGCCGCTCCGGGGCTGCCCTCCCTCCGGCCCTGCCCGCCGCCGCCTCCTCCTTATCGGCCCAGCCGCCCGCGCCTCCCGCTCGGTGCCGTGCCGGGGGCCGGCAGGGCAGGCGGCGGGGAGGCTCCGTGCCCGCCCGGCGGTGACATCACTGCCCCGCTCCGGAGCCGCGGGAGCGGCCGGCACCGCTCCGGCCGGCTGCCTGCCCGGGGGAAACTCCGGGAAGGGCAGGAAGCGGCGCTTGCACCGCGCCCGCCATCGCCCCGTCTCATGGAGCAGTCATTTCAATGGAGGCTTCCTTTCCAAAGTTACACCGAAACTTTACCGCTGTTTTACTTAAAAAAAAAAAAAAATTAAAAAATCCCCCAAGCTCGCTTAGTGTTTAGATTAGGTGTTGGAATAGTCACACATTGCTCCACCTGACATGCAAAGTTCAGTCCAGCTTTGACTATTTGCAGTCTGGACACTGGCCCTGAGGCAGGAGTGTAGGGTGGTGTTGGCTGACAGGGCAGCCGCTCCTGAAGAATTCAGTTCCCACTGAAAGAAACACTAAAATATTGGGGGAAAAAAACCTAACTATATCTGAAAGATCTTTTTTTTTCCCCCCTCCCTCTTTTTCAGAGGGATTTATTGGAGCCCTAAACCAGCCTATCAGGACAAAGATTCCAGATTTGGAAATTGACATCTTTTAAATACAGTTCGACACTTGGCACCTACACTTCCAGCTCATAATCACGGAGGGGAAGGGTTGGGAGACTCACAGGTAATTTGCCAACACCACAGCAGGAGCTGCCATGACCGAGCAGCTCCACTCCAGTAGAAGCCAAACCCCAACGACCTGAGCTGCTGGTGTGACAGCAGCCATCAGTTTTAGGGACAATTCAGATCTCAGTTTAAGGACAGCATAAGGCACTTAGTGCTGAAACTTAACACAGTGCATCCACTACAATCAGCTTGAGCATTCTGCATTAAGCAGCAAGCAGGATACACTGTATGCAAGAAACACAAACATACCACACTTCATGTTTATTGATTTACTTAATAAACAGTCAGCTACATATCAAAACACTAAGGTAATGCAAAACAAATTCTCTCTTCCTCCTCTCTGGTGAGCAGCCATAGAACATTTGGATTATGCCAAACAGATAATCACCTCTGGATTCTCTAGCAGAGAATATACTCTAATGGTAAAGAGGTGAAAAGAATTTTAGATACTTTTGATGAAAGGTCCTATCATCCATGGTTATTTTCACACAAAACAACCAAAACCAGATAGATCCCTGCTGAATTCAGAAAGTGCTGCATGATTTTTAGGGGAAGTGTATTATCTGAAATTGGTCTGTATTTGTTCAACAGCAAAATTATTTTAACAGTTTAAAAATAGTTTACCATTTTTCACTGTTTCTGCTGAAGACTTTTGTATGACAGGTTAAGTCACTTTCAAAACTCAATTCTTAAAAAATTTTAATACTTGCTTATATTACCTTTGCTTTTCAATACAGACTGTAAGTGTAGTAAATCCCATGGAAGATTTTAGTATCTTATTCTAGGGGTTGTAAACAGCACATGGGATGTGCAACACTTAGCTCAAAGAGAAACTTAAAGAGAAACTTCTGATTATGCCTTCAACATTATTTGCCTTCAAAGCAATAGTCAGAGGACTGACACCCTCTACATAACTAACAGGACATGTAGATGTGGCATTTAGGGACATGGCTAACAGTGGACTTGGCAGTGCTGAGTTAACATTGGACTCAATGTTCTTAGAGGTCTTTTCCAACCTAAACAATTCTGTGGTTCTATAACATAAGCCAATTAAAATCTTAGTTCACGCTTATTGGCAGGAATACCCAGGCTACCTAAAAATTCCCATAAAGTCCAATTAGAAGGTAACCTCTAATGACTATATCTACTTTAAATCCGAAAATAAAAGCAAAAATCAAATGAACCACATACTCATGAAAACTGTAACAGTGACATGTTGGTTTTACTAAGAAGAATGACATAAAATAATTCAACTTTGAGTTCTTTCTGTATTTCAGAGAGAAACTAGCTGCAAATGCTTCTTCAACTGCAAACATTCTAGCACTGTGCAGCTACTCAAACCCAGAGTGTTTGGCTCAGTCCATTTGCACAATTCTTTTTTGTTTTGATTTTGAAGAATAGTGGCAGACTCAGCGTACCTTAACAAACCTAATTTACTGAAATTTCCTTTCAGGACTAATCTACACATTGCATACAGACTTAGGGGTAGAAAGTGTCTTACAAAGCCAAGTTAATTAGTACTTTTCTGTGTGTGTTTTATATTAATTGAGATAAATTCTTCATTTGATTATACTCTTCCTGAAGTGAAGTAAGAATCATGGTTCTCCTTTGAAATTAACTGCTCTGAAATTTTCATTTACAGAAAGTAAATTTTATAACTGCACTGTAAATAAATATAGTTTAACACTGATGGCAACTACTTACAATTTAACACTGATGGCACCTACTTTCAATTTAATACTCTATACTGACTGGAATAAGCACATTACAAAGAAGAAATGTAAATAAAACAAGTATGCATATGCATTTTAAATATATATATAAAAAACACAACTCAAAGCCAGTTTATCTTTTAAAAAGCACTATGTGTTTTAATGTCATGCCAAGAAAATGCACGCAGCTCTAACTCTTTGTACATAAAAATTGGTTAAACCACAAAAACCACCTCTGGCCCATTATACAAGATCCTTCCCTGAAGAGTGAAGATTTCATGTTAATAGATCTATAACAAAGAACAACTCTTTTGCTTTACTCTTTAGGAACTGGAGTTGGCTGTAGCTGACCACAGAAGCTAAAGACATAAGGAGCCAGACAGTGGTTTGGTGGCCACAGCCACACTTTCAGGTTGTGTGTGTTTGCGTACGTGCACAAACACCAGAGCAAACACAAACACATCATGAGTGGAGCAGGATCTGTGGGATCCAGTCTCCCTTCAGTTTGCTGCCTCAGGTAGAACTGTTCTCTGGAAGGGCAAAGAGTATAAACAGATAGATTACTTACTGCAATTCTGATATACTCCAGTAGCACTGACACCAAGTATTAGGAGAGTTGATCCCTATCCTCCTGCTATCAGTATCTCTTCACTAACTACACTCTCACTTACTAAAATTTCCCATTCTGGTCTCCTTATTTCCTTTCTTCAAAGGCTCATCACTCTGCTGTTTTATTTCTGCATTTGCTTCTCACTTATTTAAACAACCCCTTCACTTTTTCATCATTCTTCACCTCCTGTTTAATGGCATTGTGTTTTTAATCATAAGCAAAAGCATGGCCTAGAATAGTTGCTTCAAGCAAAACACATTTCTAAGCTTATAAATATCTCATATAAATACAATCCCAGAGTAGACTTCTGGATATAAACATGCTGCTATCACTGTTCTCCTTTATGTCTTGCCAGGGATTTTTTTTTGTCTCCTTACCACACAAGCCCTTGCATTATCAGAGATGCTGTCACCCCACTGGTCTGCACAGGTCTCTCACTCCGAAACTGCTCAATTGCTGTGTTGGGTCCAATGCCCTGATGAACTAAAACACTGGGACAACACACAGGGAACTGGATTTTCCTACCATCTGCTCATCAGCTTGTAACACTCCAGAAACATTTTTCTTTACAATAAAACACATATTTGTACATATACAATTGATTGTGTAAAATACGTATTAACAAAGACCTGAAGCTGCTCCTAATGTTTGAAAATGTAAGAAATGTGGTGAAATCAGAGATCCCAAACTGGCTACAACTGAAGTCCTGTACAGTCAATGTAAGCAAGAGCCTTCACAGCAGGAGCTGTTGCTATTTTCCAATATCCAAAGTGTTTTACTAACCATATACAAAGAAAAGCCATTTGTTTCTCTTTTAAATTGATATAGACTGTTAGGATAGACTGGCATACAATTTTAATCCTCCCAGTCTAATGGAATCTCCTCTTAATGTAACTATTTGTTCAAGATTTTTGTCTCTATTTATGCATTCTCAAAGATCACCAAAACTCACAGTAACTTCCATTTGAAATTCCCAGATGAAAGTTTTCTGGTTTAATTTTCCTTTCCAATATAGCTTAAACAAGCAAAATGCACCCTCTGTTGGCCAGCCATGTAATGATTCTTTTCCAAGATCATCAAAGAGCATGGCTTATCAAATCCTGCAATGAAGGTCTGGCTTTATCATCAAGTGTCAACTAATGTACAAGACATACAAACATTTGAATCAATATTATATTGGAATGAAACCAAAGGTGTTCAGAATATTCAGTGCTACTATATAGCCACTAGGAGATTTATGATTTTTTTCAAACACTGTTTACATCTATAAATCATTCTGATGAGCACTGGAAATTTATTTCTTGTAACCTAATCCAAGCAAATATCTGTACTTATTTCAGCAGCAAAGCTCAATTAACACTCACTATCACTGCAATGCATTTATTTGAGCTGCACATGGATTGCTAGCTGGCATATTAAAAAAGCTACACACAGAAGCTCTGGAGTGCATTTTGGATAAGGATGCTACAGAAAAATCCCAATATCATATGGGGGTTATTTTGCCTGTTTTCTTTTTATTAGGATGTTTCTAGGTAAGGGTGGAATTCAGTGAGGCAAAACTGGCCAGTGTATCAGAACAGAAAATGGCAAAAGGTAATATCTTAAACCTAAATATCCTGAAAGCTATATCCACATGAAAAAAACCTAAACTACTCAGATGAGCAAAGTGAATGTGGGCTGATATGTGAACACTGGAGTCTAAAATTCACACCACTGTGAAGATGAAAGTTGGGTAATACATGGACATCAAATAGAGACAATATGCAGTTTCTCAAAAACAGAAAGGCAGATGGATTACAGAAGATAACAAGATGGTGAAGAGAGGTGAAGAGGGAATTGGGGTGCAGGAACTGGGAGCTGAGATGTAAAATTCCCAATGTGTTCCAAGCTGTAGCAAAGGAAAGCTTCTCTGGAGTGTAAGATCCCCATTTAAAACAGATAAAATGCATACAGGCAGAACAGACTGCTGTGAAACAAGACTCTTCTGAGGTCTGCACTTAACCAGGCTCTTTCACTATAATGTTTAATAAAATGGTATTATGGTAAAACACTTTATAATAGTAAGAAAGCAATCTTCCTACCTTGAATGTATTCAGCTGCTGATTAATAGCTTCTGTTTCCATTCCAACAGGACCTTGTGACTCTTCATGTTCTTCAGCTCTCCCAAGCAGAGTGGAAAATTCTTTTAGCTTAGTGTAAAACTCCTCAACACGGCAAATAGTACCCTCCACTTGATCTTCCCTGGCTTTTGCTCTGTCTTTTAGCTTGTTGCACTGCTTATTTAGAGCTTCCAAGTCTCTCTTTATACCAACAAGATCAGGAGAAGCTTCAGCTTCTGTGGCCAGCATAATTTTACAGTTTTTATTAGCATTTTCATTATTCATTATAAGATCCTCCAACTTTTTCATGAAACATTTAATGTCCTCTCTCTGTGACTGCAGTACCTTGAGATCCCTCCCCACTGGAGCCATGCTATCAAGTTCATCATCAAACTCTGCAAACTGAGAGAACATCTCTCGGATGCTGTTTTGGAAGTGGCCAATTCCCTGCAGTTTGGTCTCTAGGAATGAGCACCTATCCTCAACTTGCTGCTTCACTGCAGTGTATTCTTGCTCCAAAGATTCAGCTTGGAGTAAGAGGTCAGAAACACCTGCTGAATCAGAAGCTTCTACCACCAGCTCTTGGGCAAGCTTTTTTGCTAAATCAACGTGAGGCTTTAAAGCTTGCAAGGCTTTCTGCTGGGCCTGCATCATTGTCAGGTGTTTGTTACTGAATGACTGTGGTCCAAGTGAGTCATGAGCTTCCAGATGCTCTTTGGCACTTTTAAGCTGTCTTTGAGTTTCCCTGGATGAGTCCTGAAACTCTTTCAGTCTTTGTGCCATATTTTCCAAGCACTCTCTCTTCTTATGTAACTGTTCTGTAACCACTTTCACATTCTGATTCAGCACCTTAGTTTCTTCTTGAATAATTTCTTTATCTGTTTGACTTGCATTGAGCAAACTTTCAGCAGAATTGTTTATTAGTTCCACCATCCCATGGTGTTTATCCAGGTCCTTCTGCCATGCCCTCACCTGAACAATAGAATCCTCTATTTCAACAGGGTTTATGCCAACTTTCAGTTCACACAGGTTGCTTTGGCACTTCTCTATCCATGGCTGCAGATTTTCTACATGCTGCTTATATTTGAGGGCTTTCTCCAGACAATCTGCTAATTTATCTTCCCTTTCTTTAACCTTTTTTTTCATTTCATCCCAGTTATTCTTGAGTGTGGCAATTTGGGATTGTAACTCTGCTTTGTCATCTCCTTGAGTCTTCTGTAAGATACTTTCTCCTTCTGCAACAATTCTTTCATAGGAACTAATCTGATCAGTCATTGTCTTCTTAAAATCTTTCTGTTCTTCAATGAGTGATTGCAAGGCCTCAAGTTTGGCTGAAATAGGACAAGCCTGGTTCAGCTCTTCTTTCTTTTTGCTTAGCCAGGCCTCAAAGTCTTTGGACATCTGCTGGAACTGATGAGAAGTGGTATATGCTGACTGAAGCTGCTGAACATGGTTATCTACAAAGGAGAAGGCAGCACAGAGGTTCATTAGCAGAACCTGCTAGTATTCAGTGAAAAAAAAATAACTAATATTGATTGTATTATGCATGATCATTAACTTTAAGAAAGCCAGTCCTTAGTATGTGGAGTTTCACTGGCAGACAACCAAGTTTCTTACAAGGGGCAGTCTCATTCCTGTAATACAGAAGGCAATAGGACATGAAATGAGGTGAGCTTATCCAGTCTGTGTCTACATTTGAGCAGATTTTGGTGGTAAAAAACACACAATTGTGATCCATGGTACTAGGCAGTGTAAGCACAGGGAATATGAAGTGGTATAACCCAGTAGTGTCTAACTCATGGCCTACAGGCAATACATCCTCCTTGGGAGATTCTTTGAAGTTTCTCATAACCAGAGGAAATTAAAAATCCAAAACTGAGGCTGCCAGGGAGAGCAAAGTATGATATCATCACTTGCAATGCATTACTTGCTCAGTTCTATTGTTCACAAGGTAAGGAAAGGCTGCAGACTACCAGCCCCTTTCTGTCACTGGCAGTTTTATACAATTACCACTGTGTTTCCCTAAGCCATTAACTGGTGTTTGCCTAAAAATTATTACTTTGCTTTATACTCTGCCCCTATGAAGCTGGTAGCTCAATGAACAGCATCCTCTCTTGGCATTCTAATTCAGTGAAGATGCACCTGAAGGAAGACATGACAAAAGCAGCCTTGTTATTTTACTCCAAGTTATCTCCTAAACCATTCACTAGAGATCCCCAGTATTTTTTTACCTTTTCAAGGCATGGGGATTCTTCTAAATTCTAATGTAGAACTGCTTGGGGGTTGGACTGGATAGAGAGCTGCCACCAGGCTCAGCTCACCTCTATTAAAAGCTTTTACCTTACTTTATGCCTTAGTTATTGTTTTTCTTTAAATAAATACTAACCTGATTTTTGCTCGATGTCCTTAAATGATTTTAAGATGCCATCTAACTGTCTTGTAAGTTCTGCTTTCAAATACTCTTCCCCAACCAGTGTTGACAGCTCTTCACAAAGAGCTTGTGCTACATTTATATTCTTCATTTCCTGTTCTATTTCCTCCTTCATTTCTTTAGCAATTTCCAGCTGTTGTTTCACAGCATCAGGCTGTGTACTCACAGCCAGGCTGCTGCTGAGTTTATTATCCAAGGCACTTAGCTTATCAGAGAGACTTCTGAGTAAACTTTGATACTCTGTGCTTTTCACAATGGCTTGGTCAATTCGGTCACATCTCTTCTTCAGCTGGCTGGTTAGACTGTCCCACTTCTGTGCCACAGCTGCCAGTTGCTCTTTTACAATTTCATGTGAGGGTGGGTGTTCACCAGGTCTCTCCAGAATCCCCTGCCCAGCCATAGTTAACTGCTCATATTGTGGCTTCCTGGTGTCAAACTCTTTGAGCAGAATCTAGGGGAAAAAAAAAAAGAGAATTTTAAAAAGGATTTACTTCATGTGAAAAAAGTGGTTCTGACAAAAAATCATGTAGAATTTGTTGTAGCTAACTCTATTATTGAGTGCATTCAAGTTTAAAAGCCAATGAAATAAATGTGCCTTCTACATAAACTGTGTTGTTTCCAAGTATCTACATCAAAGAAACAGAAAAAAATGAGGTGAATTTACACAACATCTAATAGAAATTCAACCAGGAGATACAAGTAAACAATGAATTCTATTAATAGTACAGTAATTAAGAAACCACACCAAGCAAAGTAAGGGCTGTTTAGTTTCAAGTAGCATCTTCTTTCCTAGACAGTTTTGATATTTGTCTTAAGAAAGAACTTCAAAGAAGGTGTACTCTGACATAATATTGCAATGTTTTGTTATAGAACAGAGACTATTTGGCTAATTCACAAAATGACTGAATGCGTAGTGTAAGACCTTTTAAGTTTATATCACTGGTTCTCAGTTGTTTTGGATTTTTTTGACAGTAAGTCACAGTGCTTGCAAAAGAAGGGACAAATCTAATGGTTTTACTTTACAGAACATTCCAAACCCTTTCTAAGTCAATTAGGTTGAACTTTTAAGGACTGTGAAGTGATACATGATAGTCTTGTGCCATCTGTCTAGACTTTTGAAGCACTTATAAACCAGTATTGAGTCATAGTATTTCACATAGTATTAGATCATAGTTCATGTTTCAAATACTTCATTTTAAACAATACTGACATTGATCAATGTCTCCTCAACATTTTTTTTTTACCTTTTCTGATCTCTTTTCATTCTTATGATAATTTTTTCTTGTAATTACTGTAGTAAAGTATGATGTAAGCTGATACCTAAAGATAAACAAATCTAATGGCTTATACTAACCATGTTCTGCTCTAGATGCAAAATAGTACTTTGCTAATAGCAAAAAGGCAGAAGAAACTTAAATCAATAGTGTGTGTTGGCACTACTCACCTGAACCTGTTGCTTTTGTGTATTCAGCATATTAGGATCAATTGATAATGGTCCCAGCACACTGACCATTAGCTCCTTTTCTACAAGCCAGTGCTTTAGCTGAGCTTCTGCTGTCTGGAACTGGATCAGGTAATTTGAAGACTCCTCCAGTTTTTGTTGTCTCTCAGATGTAACTTGATTGAGCTCTTTCCATTTGGAATCTAACAAAGGTAATGTTAACACATTGCATGCATGTTCTAGCAGATGGATTGTGAGACAGCAGACTATATATGAAACGTAAACAGAGCTCTCTCATAAGGCTTCATGCTGATTAACTCCAGATGCCTTATTGCAGTGACTCTGCAAATAACATCTTATAAATCAGACCCACATACACTTGGAAGACAGTCAGCCACGTGTGGAATTTTTAGAGCAATGAATATTCACATGTAATAAAATTACACTAGAATATTACTAAATGAAATACCCCCAAATTTAGGCTTTGGTCTCAAATGATATAGAAGGCAAAGAATTCTACTCAGTTATAACTCAGGTTCCTGATTTAGATAGACAAATATCCCTGCTTAGTCAATAATAAAGCCTCATAAGTTTTCAAGGATGATCAGAAGCAGAAAATTAGGCTTCAGCTCTGAACAGCCCTCTGAAAAAGCCTAACTCTAATGTCTGTATCATTCATGTAAAACCATTCATCTAAAACATCTAAACCAGGTATCTAATGCTGGACAATGAGAATACTTCTGCATAAAGGTATTTCAAAAGCACTGTGTGAGCTTAGGTTCACACCTTGCCAATCTGTGGTCTTTTCCAGTATGGCAAGTGCCTTCCAGAGAAGCCTTTGAGTCTTAATCTTGTAACTTCCCCATTCCCCTCTCTGATATTGTCACTGCTTGCTCAGTCAGCTCTGGTATTTTGCCAAGTCTCCCTGTCCCTGACTTTCATCCCTGTTTTTTACAGTTCCATTTGCTGCTTCACAGTCCTCTGCTCATTCTGTATGAATCCCCTTTCAACACTACTAAGGGTCTGTTGGAGACCTTACCTGCCCCTAAACTTTTCAAAATTCCACTCTGAAACAAGCAGGAAAGACTGGAAAATTCTCAGCTTCAAAATTACTGTTGGTGCAGCAATGGAAATGCCTATCACTATGAAACAAGATTGACATACCATGCTATTGACCTATAATTGATTTAAAATATGATTAACATAAAACCAATTTTTAAAAGCTCATGACAATTAAGTGCTGTAATATCTGAAAATCTATTGACTAAGCATGGTAATTTTCTTTATTTTCACTGGCTTCTTAAAAGCAACATTTATACAGGTTTTTTAGCAACATTTATTTTTTTAGCAACATTTACACTGTTTTAGAAAACAGCAAAAAACCACCAAATCCACAAAATGCCAAAAGCCACTAGTTCATGGGGAAAATACATGCAGAAGAGCACTACCAAGAACTCAAACCATTTTCTACATGAAATTAGAATCACCTTATATTTTGTAAAAAGAACAAAATATATATGTTGTTTGTTACTGGCCAGTCAAGTTTTAGCTGCACAGCATTTGAAAAAGATAAAGCCTCTCAAACAGGGAGTCAAGCTATAGCCTGTGCACTGATAAAAATTCAAAGCCCATGGACATCACTGGAATTACTTCAGATCTACATGCATGCAAATGGAGTTATTTCCACAGAATTTAAGAGGTAAGAGGAAACAAGGTATTAAAAATACTTGTTATTTGTAATAAATTAAAAAACCTCATAATAAAACAACTTCCAAATCAGTCTGAGCTAAAATACAGCTTTATGGAAATACCTATTTTATCCAATGTTTGTCTCCACTTAGGTGCCTCAGGAGAGTTAGGGTTCTTCTCCAACAGCTCTGTAACTTTGTCCTTCAGTTCCTGCACTTTATTTGCACTTTGCTTTAATTCAGTTTCAAAAAGCTGAAAATTTAGGTGATAAAAATAAATAAATAAGAAACTAAAGAAGAATGGTAAAGTTTGCAGTCCATAATACTGAGATGCAAAACTTGAAGATAAAAAAATAAATATCTAGCCTGCATATACTACTTTTCTGCTATGAATCTCAAAACACATTATAATGACATATGTTGCTAGTCAATTTTTTTGGAAGAGAGAACCCGACAGATATAAATTATATTAATAATTATTGCTTAATTTGAAGAAGTGACAGAACTAGAAGAATTCAGGTAAATAAGATTCACTAGGTCCCATCATATTCACATATACTTGGAATCTATTTGTGTACAGAAGGCAAACTGACTGATACCCAATCTAGTTCACAGCAGAAATAACCCAGCTAGCTCTGACAGAGAGGGGTGTGGTGTGGCCTCATTTACCTCAGTAGAAGTCCTGCTATCACAGACAATTTAATGTAGAACTCCTAAACCCATAGTTTAAAGAGAATCAGAGTTTTAAGTGTAAACCTAACAGAAGAGAACCTGAGATCTCTAACTTGAGACACTCCAGTAAATCCTAATTAATGCTGTTCTTGCAGACAGAAGTGAATGTTTCTTATTAATTATCCAAAACCCACAAAAATAAACACTGAACAAACTGTACTAGATGTATAACTTCTAGTGAAAGGTCCAGTGCATCAGATGACTCTTCCCTGGGCACTCACTCAGTTTTCCAACTATTTGTGAATACTTTTCTGTTACTACACTGCAGGTTAGATGATCATAATGGCTTTGCACATTCTCTGTTAAGAGAAAAGAGCTAGTTTTCTTTCACACTTAGTCTGAGTTTTATGATTGAATGTTATCCAACTCTGAGGAAGCTGGTAGCTGGTCAAGTTAATTTTTAAGGGTGACTCGCCAAATATAAAAGAAACTCAGTTAAATCTAATTCTGTCTTTGTATATATACAATCACAGGCAAGAAAAGAATTTTCCCTATCCACTACATTTCCCTTTCTAGATGAACCTTAAATGTGTAAATATTGTCCTTCATTGCTAGGGAAGCATATGTCTCCAATGCTGAAAGAGGACAGAAGCTCACTGCTGAATCAGTGGTTTTCTCATATCAATTATAAAGGGGGAAGGAGGCTGTTGTGCAGCTATATAACTTAACAAGCATGACAGGGTTGCTGAAGAGAAACCTTGGAGGAGACATAAGCCACTGCAGCTGCAGAGACCGGGAGGTCTGTGGAGCATCAGTGAGCCAGCAGCTGCAGAAACAGCTTTTGGACACATACAGCCCTTCAGATATTAAAAGTAATCTATTATAAACCTCTAAACTACTGAGATTAAAAAAGTTTATTGCACAATCAGCATAGCCTCACCTTTTCAAACTGTCCACCAAAATTATTTTCTGACCTGCAAAACTCATTCTCTCTGACACAGTGTTCCTTTACTCCACTGACACAGTTTGCCAGATTTCCTCTAAGCCTGACTAATATGCTTAGTAGGATCATTTAAATACTCTCTGAAACATTAAGCTAGACTGAGATATCAGTTATTTCATAGCATCTGCCTAATAACTACAAGAGAAAGTATTTGTTTGAAGGCACAAAGTACCTTATGTTGTTCAACTTGGGCTTTAACTGCTTCACTATCTGTTGGAGCAGCTTCCCAGTCTGATGCAGTTTTGTCCATTTTTTGCAACCAGTGCATCATTGAGGCTGATTCTTCCTGAATATTTTGCATTTTTGAAAGCATACTTTCTAGTTCTGAAATCTTTTCATTCAACAAAACTCCCAAATCTTCATAGCTGTGATTTACATTAGACATGGCTTGTTGAACAGTTGTCAGTTCTGTAAAAAGAGGTGCACAAAGACTGTGTTAGAAGTTACAAGCCCTTGAAACAATACTGAATGTAGTGAATCACTACTGAACAGTAGCTAATAGTCCCCTAAGGAAGAAGTCACTGAATATGTTAGTTATTCTCAATCCACTCTAAATGTGGCAACACTACATCTGAATGAGCTAATATAAGTTCCTATTTGCAAGAACTTCTTATTTCACAGAAATCATTATTTCAATACATACAAGTGCACAGACATGTTTCAATCTTTCTACCCATTGCTGTTTTAGTATTTTAAGTAACAATACCATGACCAAAAGTTGAATATACTGGGCTACAGTTCAGCTACTATAAAGTCCTTATATAAAAATTCCTTTGTTTCTATAAAAGAGTCAGTCACAGTGATAGAAATGTATATAAAATGAGTCTCCTTGTGTGTATACACGTTGTGAATACTGATGGATGTCAAAGTTTCAATCCTCATTGAAAGGTATTTCTCAAAAGTCATGTCTTATATTAAAATATCCGTCCCTGTGTATATATAAAAGTATATATTGATTCAGAAAACAAGGCCAGATTGGTTGGTCTTCAAAGACAATAGTAAGATAGGTATTGTTGTAATTACTTATAATGTCACGCCCTAGTCAATGTAATTGTCTTATGTGATGGTGATGTGAAATTTTAGTGTAATAATGTTAAATGTGGAGGTATTTTTAAATGCTGTACATAAATCCACAAGCAGATTTATGTACAGCATTTAAAAAATACTTCCACATTTAACAGTAATTGGCAAGCAACAATTCTTTATCACATGCTGAAATTTTTACTGACCTTTATTTTTCAAGAAATCCTGAGTTCCTGGAGCTCCTCCTTCACCATTTAAAATTGTGCCACCTGTGGATCAAAAGAGATGAAGCCTCTTGCTTATCTGAGCCTTTCTCCACCATAACCCCAGCACTTCATTTCCTCTTCCAAACAGCATGACCCATAGCTGTCATTACGACCTGAATAACGAAGCTCCATCCAGCCAGGACCATAAGGGGTTATCACCTGGCAGAGCAGTGCACAGAGGGTGGGGTGTACATGCATGCCCTTACAGGGGTGCACATGTGTATGGTGTATCAGCAGTCCTACTGCTCACACTTCTGTACTAAACCACTGCTCACAGTTCTCTACTAAACCATTGAGCAGGGCCAAAGCTCGGAGCCCTAGCTGTGAGGCCTATTCACATCCAGATTGCTGACAGCACTTCCTTCCTCTCCCCCAAAGGACCCCATTCCCCTCTGAGAACACAGTTCTACCCAGCTGGGACAGGTGTAGTCTGGGAGAGGATGAGCTGGCAAATGCTGTGACTGAGGAGAGTGCTAAACATTAAACAGCAGAGAGGCTCAGAGTGCTTATTGCAGATACCACAACCAAAGGCACTGCTTACTTAGGGCACCTTTACCCACCAGGGAAGTGGCTGAGATACCATTCTTGGAGGTATTTAAAAACCATGCATATATGCTGCTTGGGGACATGGTTTAGTGATGTGCTGAGTTAGTGTTTGGACCTCATGATCTTAAGGGTCTTTTCTAACTTAAAAAGATTCTGGTTTATGTGCATTGTAACTCTGCACAGAAAGCTCTCGAAAGCACCTGGATTAATCCCTTCCTATCTTGTCATAAGCAAGACTGAAGCATGTGCTCCATGACAGGAATTGCAATGTGGCCCTCTTATACCTGAAATCCTTACTCTGAGGCAGCCCTGCTGATTAACCATAATATCAGAGCCTCTGAAACCAGAGCTAATGGGCTTTGTAAAATGGAGTCAGAGCAAAGAGCAGGGCCACGAGATCACACTGCAGAGAGCTGCAGGGAGAATCATTTCCCGCTCTCCTGCACACATGTATTCCCAGAAGAGCAATTAGCAGAGGAACATCAATGGTTGCCTTGGAACAGGCTGTGCACAGTACCAGCTGGACAGTGAGGACCACATTAGTGGCAGCTGCAGGATGGCAAGAGAAAACAAACCAGATAAGAGAAGTCACAGACCCCAGCCAGAGTCCTGTAGATCTTCACACTCTTTTAGCTGGACTCTGGTATTTATAACTGCAATAAAGTGATACACAGTGCAGCTCTTGTCAAAGACCAAATGTTCTGGTCTGGAGGATTATAGCTGCTCGTATGTGATAGCTATTTAAGTATTTTTTCTATCTGGATGCATATGACTAGAAAAGAGGCAGAGAAATGAGCCCAAATAGATCATAAAAGATTCCAAAATGTTCTTTGAAAGATTTTTATTTAAAGTTAGAAAAAATTAAAAAAAAAAAGAAAAACCAAACAAAACCAGAGGCAGCTATTACAAAGAGATATAAGAAAGAAAGTGTTCTTTCTACTTTTGCCCAATAGGTATCCTCTGTCAGTCCCCAGCCTTCCAGTCATTTACAGATGACCAATGAAGGCCAACACACTTGAATTTATTTCCAGACCTAGTCACTTCAAGAATTGACTGAAAATGTGCTTATTGCCATTAAAATGCCCCAATGTCCTTGAACTATGTCTGGAATGATACTTGGCAGAATTACTGGTTTCTGTAAAACAAATTAATATTTAGCACTGGAGTAAAAAAAAATCATGGAAATAGACTTGCTATCTTTAAATTATGATTGCCAGTAGAATTTAGCTGGTCTAGACAAAAAACACATTTTGGCCCAGGAAAATCATGCTGAGATACAAAATTGTTTCCCTTCTGTGCTGTTGTTTCAAATAAAATACTGACTAATTGTAATTATGATATCATGTTAGGATGAGTACATTTACCTAGGCTCATTTTTTATATAAACCATCTCCTCATTACCCTTCTAAGAAAAACTCCACAACTCTGCAAACCTTTCTGTGTTTGCTTGGTGTCACAAAATAGCCTTTTGGCCATTAAACAGGCATCTTTGTGCAGGTACATCAGTTTGCCAAGCAAAGTTTGTATTTCTCCTGCTTGCAGACTTGATGGATATGTGAAGCACGCAACAGTTATCAGAAAAAGTCAATTTCTCATTCTCTGAAGCTTTCTGGGATGAGGTGAAAGCAACTGTGAAATTGTCATTTTATTCCCTATCTGGGAATTACATAACAACTCTAGGACATGCTAAACTTTTACATCTGCACACTTTAACATTATTTTGGCAGAGTAAAACAATGAGAATGTGTGCTGAATTTCTACAGCAGCTAGACAGTTTAAATAGAAATAGCAAACAATGGTCAGAAGAGACATGGCTAAGTGTTTTCTCACAAGCCATAATATTCAGAATGCTAATCCGATGGTGAAACAATATCAATTTTTGTCCTGAAGGTTTTAAAAATTCTTGGAATGTTAGATTTACCTGATTATACAAAAGCATACCTGATTTGGCAACTGCTCTCAGTTTTGCAGGAGAAGTCACAGCAGTGATTAAGCTACACAGCAAGGTTCCTCTGCTATTCATTTTCTGCAGTTCAGGTGCCTTTAATGTCCATTCATCTTTTAAATTCTGGTCAAGAAAGACAGTAATTTGTTCATTACAAAACTGACTTCAAACTTAAGAGCATTAGGGTACAGAAAGGAACAACTTTGCTGCTTGGGAATCTATTGCACACTTACAAAAGTAAACGGGAATGTAAATGCAGACCCCTAGTCCCAATTACCGTGACTGCTTACACCTTAAACCTGTATTTCAATATAAGTAATAGGTGTCTTTCCCTCAACTAGATTTCACTTCTGCAAAGGCTTACCAATGTATCTTCCAAAGGTTTCTTTAACTCCTCTGTATTCAGAGAGGGCTGTGCTGCTGGAATTCGTTCTGTCGTCTCTTTTATCCATTTCTTTAATGATTCTACAAGGAGCTCAAAATCATCCATTTGTTTTTGACAAGATGATACATCCTCTTCTCTAGACAATTAAAGACAAAGAAATGACAGTTTTTCTTCTAAGAATTAATCAACAAATATTATTAATCTGATATTACTATTCCTAAATTCAAAGTGTCAAAAAGCTAATTTTATGGATATAAGCAGAATGTGCTTATAAGAACCTAGTCTTACTGCAAAGGTAACTTCTATGAAATCTCTTACAATTTCTCCAGTTTCCCTTTGCAGCCTGATGCCAACTAGTACTCTAAAGCAATATATACAAGCAGCAATTTATGCTCTATCACAGAAGGGAAGAAGTAGGGTTTTCTTAAAATTGCCAACAATGCTGTGAATGTCACAAAATTTGAAAAACTACATATCTTTATGACATTTTTAGAGCTCTTGGGCCAGACAGACTAACTACAGACACATTTTCAAATAGAATCTTTTCTTTCCAAGAAAAAAATCCCTTATTTACTCTGGTCAACTGCAATATCTTCAGATTGCATACAAAAGGATAGCAGTAATCACAACATTCATACTGTGTTATTAGCCAAAATGGAAACACTTTGATTATCCAACTTACTTTTCTTTTATTGTCTCCTCTACCTCTTTGAATTTCTTTGACAAAGAATTTACTTTTTCTGATACCAGTGCTTTATCTCCAGGAAGAGCATGGAATGAAAGTTCTTCAAGGAGCTGCTTCAAAACTTCCAGATCCTTCTTGTGTTGTGCCAATTCTACACTAGCTTCCTGCAAAATAGGATTACATTCTTCATATTAGACTTTACCATCACTCGTTCAAAATTTAACTCTTGATTTTAGCTAACCAACCAATGCTGGGAAAAAAAACATTCCTTGTTTCTTATTCAATCACTTAGATGAGTTAGACTAAGAACCCACAACACATACAAACTGAATGCTACAGTACCTGCATGTATTGGGACACTTCACTGACATCCTTTCTTGGTGCCTCTGTCTCACTTAGAGCCCGGTTTTTCTCATCTAAAAATGACTGAAGTTTTGTTGAAAGACCTTCAAATAACTCCACTTTAGTCTTTAATTCCTCCATTTTCATAAGCTTCTCTCTATGCTTGTTACTTGCTTCAGAAAACCGTCCTGCGAGCTCACTCATTTTAGCTTGGAGTGTGGATGCAGTGGATGGATCTGCTGTTTCCATGAACTTCTTCACTTTTTCATTCATGGTGTTTATACTGCTTTGGCGACCTGCAATGTCTTGTTCTAGCATCTGAAAAATACAAGAACTGCTTTGTATTACTTGCAACTAAATTTTAACAAGTGAAATTCATCTACTGTATAAAGCAACAAACCTCTACACCTAGACCATTGGTGTAACTCTTCCAGCTACAAAAATCCTTATGAGCGTTTCACTTCATACAACACTCCTCTTTAGTAAATATTTTTAATCCATAAAAGGTGCCAACCTAAGATTTTAATTCTTTCTTTAAATCTGAACTATCAAACAACTGTTTCTTTTTTCAAAGAATGCTACTTACAATGCTTTTACTAATAATGTCCTGAATAGCAGCAGAATTCAAAGGTACTTGATCTTGTTCTTTAAGGCTCTTTTCAACTCCTTCCATCCAATCAAGCATTTCATCCAAACCATCCTGCACACTTAGGGATCGTGTCAGAGTTACTTGAAGCTTCTCATTCCTTTCATTCACAGATTTGGACAAATTGTCATATCTTTCCACGATATCATCTGATAAAGAGAAGATAGATTTCAATTTATTCTTCTAGCCAAACTAAGCTTTTAGCTTACTTCACCAGCACTCACCAGTTGAGTCAAAAATTGCTACGTTAGAATGAAGAAAAAAAAAGTCAGCTTTAGTCAGTAAAAACAGGGAAGCAAAGACCAACAACTTCAAACAGAGCCAAGACACACACTGGACAAGGGAAATGAGGGAGTAGCATACAGCTGTAGCTCCTAGTGTTAGAAACTGGTTTCCATGTAGCTCTAGCTTAAGACAGCTGTTGACTGTTCCCAAGAAATAAAATAACAGAGTATTAAGACAGGTCTTCTAAATTATGTCTCTTATGTTACTGTGAGATCTGAGAGGTTCTTTCAGATGGTTCTTCATTACACATCCAACACTTTCAAAATAACTTTCTGAAAGCTACAAGCTCCATGTACCTCCCATAGAGTTTTATCACCAACTCCAAAGAGTCAAGCCACTGTTGTTCTATTTTGTTGTTCTGCAAGTTACTTACGGTATTCTATGGAGAGATAGCTGGGTGATACACACAGAGCATCTTCAAACTTCAGACAGTGACAGTGAATGTCATGCTGTGCTACTTCTCACAATTGATAGGTAAAGAGTATTAGGTGTAGGTGGTAAAGTTTTGGTGGTGGTAGGGGTTTGTTAGTGACAGGGTTTGTTAGTGTTTTGGCTCATGTGAGAGGAGGTCAAGGGCTGCCCCATGGAAGACACAGATGGTTCCAGCCAACTCCAGCTGACCCATCACAGGGCACAGCTGAGCTCCTCAGCCAAACTGGTGGTGCCACTGGAAAAATGCATTTAAGAAAATGGAAAACACTACATGGGACTGAGAAATGAGGGGAAAGGAAGTATGAAAACAGCCCAGCAGACATGAAGGTCAGAGAAGAAAGAGGGATGCTCCAGGTGCTGGAGCAGAGATTGCCCTGAAGCCTGTGGAGGACAGGAGCAGATAACCACACTGCAGCACATAGAGGACCCAGGCTAGAGGAGGTGGATATTTCCTGAAGGAAATGCAGCCTACATCCACACTGGAACAATATTAGCCTCAAAGATTTCAGCCTGTGGAGAGGTCCCTCACCAGAGCAGGGGAAATGTGTGAGGAGGAAGCAGCAGCAGAGAAATTACAAAATGACCATAAGCACCCAATTTCACATCTACACTGCACCGTTTGGCAGGGAGGGAGGGGGACCAGTTGGGAAGGAAGGAGTGATGGTGAACCTGGAAAAAAGAGTGGGGTGGAGGATAGTGTTGATGCAATTTGTCTGGTTTGCATTTCCCAAAACTGTTTTATTTGGCAAAAAATGAAAGTTAATTTTCACCAAGTCAAGTCTATTTTGCCCATGGCAGTAAAAAGTGAGTGATCTCCCCATCTTTATATCAACCTGTGGGCTTTTCTATCTTAATTTTTAGCCCATCCACTTGAGCAAGGGGAGTGAGAGAGAAGGTGGGTGGGCATCTGGCAGCTCACCAAAGTCAACCCCTTCACAGACAGTTTCTTAAAATTAGAAGGAAGTAATTCCTAAGCTAAGCAAACTTCAAATAACTGCTTGTAAACAGGCTCCTTGGAGTCATTTTTCTCTGGAGAATTTATGATCCTCAGCAAATCACTACCTCTGCTCAGCAATCCCTATTTCTGCAAAAAGAAAAAAATGAAATGACAGTGAAAAGCATATGGTTCCATCAAGGAGAGAGACCAACAATAAAATTACTGTGTTGTAATGACTTATGACTCAACAAAACATGGACTTGAACAGTGACATAAGAATGTGGAAGCTATGTAATTTTTCTCTTCCAGAATATGCATGCAGATACAAGTGATAAAAAGGAGGCTTTAAGAAAAGCAAATATTTTACCCAGTGTTTTCTGAATCTCATCTTTGTCTGGTGTCAACTCTCCCCTTGTGTCCAATAACACTTCAGCAGCTTTTTTCAGTTTTTCTACAGCAATTTGGTGGTTAGACACTTGTCCCTGAAGAACCTGTAAAATTCCACTATTATCAGTTATGTTTTTCAGTAGGGTTTACATTTTTACATATATTTTTAAATGTACATATTCACATAAGCAAGACTTGAGATACATCACAGAACCTAAGCTCAGTACTTGGAATAAACGAAGTCAATTCGTGACCTCTCCTTAAGAAAAATCCTGACCAGTGGTTATGGCTGCTGTTAACCTTCTGGCCTTGTTTTAGTTCATGCACCATCTTTTTTACCTTATGTTTTAGAATACTTGTCTGACCCAACTTATTTCTTGTATTTAACTTCAAATGTGTCTTTTGATTAATTGTTTCTAAAGACCCTTTGTATAGACTATTATAAACACATTTTTCAACTCAGCATCTAAGAACAATTCGGAGGGAAAAGCACACAATCAACAGCAGCAGTTACACATTCAGCTGCAGTGGTATTGACAAAGGACCAGGCTGATATTGTAGCACAAACAGGAATAGCTTGAAACAAGATGATTGCCTTCACAGCCAGGACCCCCTGAAGCAGTGTGGCTGAATTTTGCCTGGGTTTGTCCATCTCACCAAGGAACACATGTTCAGAGACTAGCCCAGCCATTATTTTCTCCAGAGTCAACATAAACAGTAAGGCTGAATCAATTTCTAGTGGTTTTTTCTCTCTAGTGTGAAAGAGTACTTAAGGGTAAATAATCTTTAAATTATTTCAGACCTCTGTGCTAGTGCTTGTTTTGATTCACTTGAAACTTATACAAGTCCAAAATGAAGGGACATCTCATTTATTTGTTGATATTCATTCATACTCAATGAATATATGAATGAAAAGGTAATCCTATGTGTCCTGCCAGCACAAAGAAGTCTTGTCAGTGCATTCAGCACTGGTACCCAAAGCATAAGAGTGTGCCAGAGCACAGTGCATCATCTTGCTGATCCATCTGACGCAATGAGACTCCAAGAGATCTGAAGAGGCTTAGGCTAGCTTGTGCAGAAGGAAAAAAATAAAAAGAAAAAAAAAAGAAAGAGAGAAAGAAAGAAAAAGATGTACCAGAAAACCTTGTATGCTAACAGAAGGCAAGCAAGCTGATGCCAGAGGCAGTGAAGAATATTCTGCAGAACAGTTAATCCCCATAAAAAGATTAGACCTCACCATGCTGCCAAGGCCTGTGTCTAGCTGGATTATCAGCTGCATGTGTTGGCTACAAGGGACAGCTTTAACTTGCAACACCTGACTTCCTCAAAATACTCTTTGTTTTGCTTTCATTAATTGGCTTGCTTTCTTCAGCCTCCTGGTTTTTTCTCTTCCTTTGAATCTTTTGACATTTTGTACCCTCTCCCTTCTTCTCGACTCACAGCCATTGAGTGCTCTTTTGTGTGGCAAGTAATCCATGTAGACATTTCATAAAAAGAACCCTAGCACTCACTCCTTTTGTATTACATCCATGAAAATTTGCATTATAGAGAATATAATTCATTTTGGCATAAGGAACAAAAAGTTTAAATGAAGCTTCAAATTGTAATTGGTTTTATTGCTACTCTTTCAGGGCTTGGAAGCACAAATATACCTAAACATTCAATTGTTAGGAGTTCACAAATTACACTTTTAATTTTGTTGTCTTAAACACAGCTGTGATTTGTCTCCTTTTCTTGTCATGCACCAAAGTTCTGGGCATTTCCAATGGCCAATTTGAAAGACACCATAGATAAAGGGAACTACTGCTCAGGCTGATGTGAGGGAAATGGTTAAAGCATGTACTTTCCAATAGCCATTGACTATGATTTTTCAATAGTAAATGTGTCTATGATTTTTCAATAGTAAATGTGTCTGACCTGCACTGATATTTGACCAAGCACAGACTAAACAGTGAGGAAGTGCCTGATGATTAGTTTTGCTCACTAAAAACCAAATAATCTTGCATTTTTTTATAGTATGTGTTTATGAAAATATAATAGTCAGTTCAAAGATGAAGACTGTATGGAACTTTATATTACTTACCATATACTTGGCTTCCTAAAGCCTTCTCCAGACCTACACTTTATACTGATATCCAGAGTTTTACTTTCACAAGCTCTATCACTAACTTGTCTTGCCTATACTAGGATTTACATGAAGTCACCAGTTCCATCCTCAGGGGCAAAAAATAAAAAACACTTTTTCTGTGCAACACAAATTATGTTAAATTCACTCTCTGCAGGACATATAGCACTGGGTGAAACTGAAACAGGCAGACAGACTACTCACATCACACTGTTCACCTAGTATGAGCCCTTTCATAATGAAGTAACACACAAATGTGAACAGAAAAAAAGTCAAGAGTTACAGACAACAATCAAATGGACTTCTCTATCTGGAACCCTATCCAAGCCTTATTCTGACAGGAAACCATAATCACTAAATCCTTTCTTAGTTCAAAAACTTTCCAGATTTCACCCTATCATTTGCTAAGAGATAGAAAACACATCTTGCTTTCACCACTGCTAATGGCATCTTGGTACCCTATTTTTTTTCACCCACTGCTTTTCAGATATTGCTCTGGACAGGCAAATTTCAGAACCATAGAAGCTGTATGCCCCCATGCAAGACAAGAATTTGGCCTGCAGCCACTTGGATTATATTAGATCATCCTGTTTTCCAGAAAAAAACCAGTTCCTTTTAGGACAAAAGTGCTGCTGCATTTCAAAGCTTTTCACCTTGGTTTCTTCAAGTTGTCTTTGGAGATTTTTGGGATCCACTGCAATTGGCTCTGATAGTTGTTTATTCACAGCTATTTCAGAGGCCTGGAGACCTGACAAAAGTCCAGATGAGGCATCTTCATAATGCTGGTATTTATCCACCAGGTCTTTAAGGTTATTTCCAAGGATGCTACACTAAAAGAGTAAAAAAGGAACAAGCAAATATGCAGGCATTAACTGCATGCTGCATTTCATACCAATCTCAAAGTTATACATTCATTCCTGTTGTACTGCATTATTTTTTCCTGCCATCATTTCACTAACTGATTTCTGAACTAAGACATGACAGCTGGACAGGCTATGCAGGTCTTTCTAGTTTGTGTTCCTAAAGGATGATTTAGGATTAAACCAGTGATGCAGGTGCACAACTGGAATCTTATTTGCTGTAATAGAATAGAAAAAACTTCAGGAATAATGTTTGATTCAGCAATATAAAGATTCTTTATCAGAACTCTGCTAGCAAAAATGTAGAAAGCAAGTGGAAAATAGAAATGTAGAAAGCCACCAGAAGCTAGAATTTTTTTTTAAATCAGGAGAGATATGTATGCTCATTAAAATACATAAAAAAGTGGAGTACTGTTTTCATAACTACCTTACCTGCATAGTGAATCCAAAGTGATATGGCTTGGTATCGGGCATATGCTTTGTTTTATTCACTTAAAAATGTCATCTAAACAAGATCCTATTAATCCTATATTTTTGCATGCCCCAAAACATTTACAGCAAATTGTCGCATAAAAAAGTCAATGAAACTCTTTCAGACTTTCTGGAGATGGTTTCACAAGCAAAATCTGATTGTATGAAGTCATAATATTTATGAACAGCTACATTAAATATTTATATTCTGAACCTTCCAGAGACTGTATTTTAATATTCACAAATGGTACTTGGTCTCCATCTGGTGGGCAGACATAGAACATGCTTATTTATATAACCAGTTAACCAAGAACTGGCTTTAGGATTCCTTCAACATACAAGCCTATAAAATCATGTCTCACACATGTGCAAATACATTTATATAAAATTAAAGCAATCTAAGAATTTATTAAAAGCAAGAAACCTTTACAAAAGGCAAAAAAGATTACTACCAATTCATTTACAGCTTGGAAAATCTCACTAATTGTGGACAATCTCTCTTTTTAGAATTCTGTCCTTAAAGACACAAAAGGCCTACTTTATTCTGCATATTTATTGTCAAATATTAAAAGCATGTCTCTTATAACCCTGCTAAATGTATATATGGAAAAGATAGAATTTGGAAAATTGACAAATAAAGCTGCTGGGATTTTTATGTGCATAGAAATTAGCTCTCTGAAAATTTTGCTATGAAATCTTTACATTCATACTCAAAGCAATTCAATAAACCAACTGGAGAAATCTAATATGTCAATAGATTTGTCAATTTAGCTGCTCTATTCATACCATTTAAGCAGGAAAGGGAAAATGAGCTTCTGTAAATGAGCAGCTGTCTTGACAAACCAAGAAAACAAGTTTTACACTACTTTTTTAACCATGTAATCAAATACATGCCTTTATAGAATTTACATTTGTGAGCATGAAAACCTTAAAGAGATAAAAATTTCCAGATAAACATGGCCACTGTTGTAGACCAACACTGTACCCAGTGGACATAGAAGCTCTAAAGAGTTTGAACCCACGATCTTAGAAAAACATGAAATAGCACAAGTCAAAGGCTACTGACAGCAACTCTCTCTTCAATGGTTCAATTAATAATTATCTCAAAAGTTTACAGTTCTGGGATATTATCAATATTGAACAACACTTGGCTTTTTTAAAACAGCTGGAAATTGGCATGTGAGTCTAATTGGTGGTGTTTTTCTAGTTCTATCAGGCAGATTCCATATGTGAACCTGGCACAGAGAGCTAGATTATCTTCCCTGTACATGGAGGATTTTGTACTGCTAATTACTCATTAGTTAGACACTAATCTGATATTGTTAAGGATAAAATGTTTACTTGGCAGAGCAGTGGAAAATAATTACTGTCCTTAAATCACTAAATCACTTAAATCTTTCATGCTAGTGCTGACAACAAAGGTCACATCAGGACAAATTATTTCAGGATACAAATTAAAATTGAAACTTTACATGCTATATTTAGTATAGTCTCTCTCTTTTTACACTCATTTTATTAGTAGGGAGCCAAGTAAATAAGCAGCTGTGGGAAATATTGCAAGTAACATAAAGTAATATTATCCATTTGAAAGTATTACAATTTCTTTCCATCCCAAAACATTACTCAAGGCATTCTGAGCTGCCACAGTCTCAGAGGCTGTTTAAGCCTGGAAAGAAGAATGGAGAACTCTGGTCTCATTTCTTCCTTATAACACAAAGTAGAAAGTATCATTCATTCAGACCTTTAATTGTCTGACACTTAACTAAAGTAGATCTGGAAAAGAATCTTGTTCTGTTATCTAACTTCAAGAAACAAAGAATTTACAACTTCTCACAGTGTTTGTTTCATCAACTACCTCCTGCCTACACAAACTGCTAAATCAATTACAGCAGTCATTCCTATTCAGTATAAATAGAGCTTACCTTAGTATAGAGAGATTTGAAGCGATCTGAAGCTCTGTCCAGTTTGTTCTGCACTTCAGCATACGTAGCTGAAGTATCAATGCCATCTTTGTCAACCTTCACACCATCTCTTTTGCTACATGACCTCGCAGCATCCAAAACTCTTTGTCCAGAAATTGTGATATAGCGTAAATCACCTTTGTGAGATATAACATCTTCTGAGAAACTCTTCTGCCTCTTCAGTTTGACCATAATACCACTGAAGTCAGAAGCCCCTGCCTCCAAATTGTCAAGTTCTTGTTCTGCCTGCTGCAGCCACGTTTCAAATTCACTATAGTCTGCATCAAATTTCTCCAATTCTTCCCTCAGAGAATGGGTCAATTTCATTTTTCGTTCTGATTCAGCCAAAGCAGTCTCATACTGAGCCTTCAGCTCTTTCATGTTCCTTTGCATCTTGTCCTTTTCTTCAGGGGTAAGGTAATGCCCTTGCTTCTCAAGCAGTGCTTGAGCAGACTGAGTTGCTACTATGATAGCCTGCTGCTGTGAAATAATTTTCTCATGTTGAGCCTACAAATAAAAAAATAAAGACCAAAGACCATCAAATAAAAACAAAGACCATCAAAATGATAAAAAGCTTTTCTAATGTTAATATTGTTTATTATAAACCCTACATTTTGTCAGTAATTTCAGTGAAAGTGTGATTCTTAGTCACCATATTTCTGTGCAGTTAAAAAAAATTTACAAAATACTCAATGGTAATTTTTTTCCATATGGCCATGACCATATGGAAATGTTCAAGTATCATTGCAACTCAACAATACCTAGATGCATATATCACACAAATATTTTCCCCTGAAATTCCAAAACACAACTTTGTAGAGCAAAACTAGACTTTGTCAATCTCTTTAACATTTTTCCTAACAAAATTAATTTGCTGATTACTTAGCATTTATGGTAGTGTACTTAGTGAAAACAAAATTTTCCTAATTCTTTGTCTCAAAATGGGATTTAACAAATAAAACATTCAAAGGTAGGGCACTTTCCAAATCAAAACTCTCCATGTCCCATTACTTATATTGTAGCTACCATTACAGACAAGCAGACCTAAAGGAGTAAAAGCATCAAACACAGTACAGATACTTTCTTGTTACACTCAGGGAACAAAAATTATTACTTGGGTTTTGAAATTGCATTTTTTCAAAGTCAAGAGCCATGATTCTTATCAAATATAGTTAGTTATAAAACAGGTCCAGCTGACATAAAAAATCAAGACACAATCTGTGCTTTCAAATTTTTCAATACTATAGAAATATTTAAGTCCAGGAACTAGTATTATATTCCAAATGAAAAGCATATTTCAAATAGATTCTTTCAAAAAATTCTTCACTCTTTAACGTCTCCCATGAAAAACAGCTATGTAAAATAAACAGGATGCTTTTCTTCCATGACTACAGTGGCCAATTACTTTGTAGGCACTAGGTGAAGAAATTAACTGTCAAAAAAATAGAAGTAAAAATATGTATACAAAACCCAATAATAACCCTATTTTCTCAGGTTGCTTTTGGGTTTTTTTTAATTAAAAAGAAAATCCAAAATACTATCAGCTACAAGCATAATAATTTTCTTTAAGGTGGCAATCAACTCACACCTAAAGGTTCTTGGTTTCTCAGCTGTAAGTCAGCAAACAAAACTAAAGTCTTATTTTAAATGCTTCCAACTTACCAGGAAAATATATTTTTAAAATGCTGCACTGTAATTTTATGTAACTCATCCTTCTGAAGCCTTGAAACACTGCTTTGCCCATGTGTTAAAGTTGTAGGAAATGAAAACTATAATTTCAGTAAACTATTATTTGCAGCAATTTGCAATCTGTAGTCACAAGGAATTAAAAGGGGATGAATCATCTAGGTATCACAAAGATTTTTGAATAAGTCACATAAATAGTATGAATTTATATTGCTACTTTATGCATTTTGTTTGCCGGCATCAATTTTCTCACTACAAAAAATAATAGACTCACCACAAAGATTCTTTACATTTACCTTGCAGAATGTGTCCTTTCTCTTATTTTGTAGGAAACAACTACAGTAGTAGCAAAAAAGTGACAAATGTGCAATACATTCTAACTACTGAAATCCCTAGCACTGTGTATTATTATCTTCCTAGTACTTGCTCCAAAGCCTATGACAGACAGGATGAGATTGAGTTCACTTGTGTTGAATAAGGAGTGATACATCTAAATGTATGTCACAATATGTATGTCACAAATGTATGTCACAATACCTTGACTTTCTGATACTGCTGGTTCAGATTATCATCTATGCTTTTCACAAGTCCATCCACCTGAGTTTCAATGTCTTGCTGCATTTCCAGCAGATTCCCATTGACATCATCCTCCTCTCCTTCCAAAACTTTCACATCTCCTTCTTCAAAGTGTGTTCCATTCTGTTCTATCACTTGCTTAAATTTCCGGCCATGCTCTGCTTCTTTGTCCACATTTGATAACCAATCCAAAAGGTTTTCTATGGTATTTTTACTTTCTTCCAGCTGTTCAATGGCTGCAACCTGAGTTGAAATTTAAGAGTTTCAATATAGAAATCTTCTTTAAAGATCACAAAATATCAAATAATTATACCAATAAACCATTTACAATACATTAACATCAAAGAAAATGTTTGATTGATATAAAGGTTGCTGTTTATTTTATAAGAGAATAAACCAACAGTTCATTAGTTACCCAAATGAAATATGACATGAACCTCTCCACAATTTATCAATATCTATTGGGTTTGCTTGGCCAGGTTTTGGAATCAGGGGGGCTGCAGGGGTGGCTTCTCTGAGAAGCTGCCAGAAGCTTCCTTCATGTCCAACAGACCCAAAGCCAACTAGCTCCAGCATGGACCCACCACTTGCTAAGGCCAAGCCCATCAGCAGTGGTGATAGCAACTCTGGGATCACATAGTAATAGGGTAAAAAAAAAAAAGCATGAAAAACATCAGCCTGAAGAGAGGGGTGAGAATATGTGAGAGGAACAGCCCTGCAGACCCCAAGGTCAGTGCAGAAGGAGGGGCAGGAGGTGCTCCAGGTGCCAGAGCTGAGATTCCCCTGCAGCCCCTGGTGCAGCCCATGGTGAAGCAGCTGTGCCCCTGCAGCCCATGGAGGGCCACCTGCAGCCCATGGGGATCCAGGGGATGCATAGATCCACCTGCAGCCCCAGGAAGACCCCACTCCAGAGCACATGGATGACCAAAGGAAGCTGTGACCCTGTGGGAAGCCCACACTCAAGCAGGCTTGTGGCACAACTTGTGACCGACCCCGTGGGGTCATTCCACATACTGGAACAGTGTGCCTGAAGGACTGCACCCCATGGAAGGGACCCCACTGGAGCCCTTGGGAAGGACTCATGTTGGAGAAGTTCATAAAGGACTGACTCCTGTGTCAGGACCCCACTCCTGTGTCCAGGCTCCTACACTGTGGACCCCACACTGGAGTACAGAAGAGTGTGAGGAGTTCTCTCCTGGAGGAGGAAGGAATGGCAGAGACAATGTGTGATGAACTGACCACAACCCACTTTCCCCATCCCCCTGGTGGAATGAGGTAGGAATGAGGGAGAGAACTCCAGAGCTGAGCTCAGGAACAAGGCAGAGGTGGAGGGAAGGTATCTTTAAGATTTAGTTTTTATTTCTCATTATCCTGTTCTGATTTGATTGGTAATAAAATAATTTCCCCAAGTCAAGCCTGTTCTGCCTGTGACAGCAGCTGTGAGTGATGTCTCCCTGCCCTTATCTCAACCCACAAGCCTTTCATTAAATTTTCTCTCCCTGTTCAGGTGAGGAAGGAAGTGATGGAATGGCTTTTTGGCATCCAGACAAGGTCAACCCACCAAACAGTAAGTTTCACGACTAATATCATAAGACATGAAATAGGTTTGAACATGAAATAGGTTTGAATAAAGGTATGAAAGGGTTGCCTAAAAACCTTTTCTGTTTCCTGCTTAATTGCTGTTGTCATAGCTTTATCCAGTTCTTTTTTGGACTCTTCTGCCTTCTGGCTAAGGAGCAAACACTTTGTCTTAGCTTCATTTAGTTTCTGTTCCAGAATAGTCTTGTCTTCTTGTGACAACTTTTCTCCATTGTCTTTCAAGAAGGCTTCAGTATTTTTCACAATCTCTGCCAGTGTCTGGGCACTTGTTCTCATGTCTTTTTGGATCTCCTTTTGATAAAAAAGAAAGGAAACAGGAGTAAGTAAATTATTCATAAGATCTTTCCAATTAACTTTATTAAACTATCTCTCTTCTAGGTGTAAGCACCACACTGGTTCCTGCCTAGCTGCACATGATACATTAATAAATTGCAGACAATTATTAAAATCAAAGGCAAACATCTGACAATGTTGTTGCAGCTCAATCTAACTTTTTTTTTAATTGCAAATCTGTTTGCTTACAGTCCTATTCAGACTGAGCCCACTTTTTTCCCTTTAACAGTTTAATATTGTGTTTCCACATATGCAGAACATATATTTATTTTATTAGAAATCAAGGCTCAAGTAAATCTGCTACACTGCAGTTAGTAAAGTGAGTCTCCTGACAAATTCTGGTCCATAACTATCCTAATGGAAAGCTGCTGAAAATAAAGCTGCTGTCTGAATAGAAGTCAGAAAACTGTAATCATCTTTCCTGGGTGAAAGTTTTCCTGTATTTCTTGGGTTTGTTCAGGCCAGAGATGGCATACAATTTTTTTTTCTTCTACTGTAATCAATCATAATATTTCAGTCTCTCAAGATTGTTTACTTCCATTGACTTTCACAGAGGACAGATATTTAGTTTTAATTCACCCAAAGCAGTTTTCCTGGTCTGCCTTCCAATCATCTGAGAGGAGCTTTATTACAATGAAGAATTGTAATCAATGAAGAATGATTACACTGTTGAATACATTCTCCCAGGTACTAAAACAATGACATTTTTCGCCTTCTTGTGCAGTGTATCAATCTTGGAGATGCAAGACAGAACATTTGATCCTCATTCTTGACCACAGATTTTGCAGCAATTTTAGAATACAGCAGCTAAAACTGCAGCTCATTTTAACACTTCAGTCCTTTAACTATCATAAACTCAATTTCTATCAGGACAGAGTAAAAGCTTAGAGATGACTGGTTACAGCTGAAGAGCAAGGAAAGCAAGCCCATTCAAAGGGGTTTGCTACATGAGGACACCAAAGAGATTGCAAGAAACATTAATATGAACCAGAATTCAAAACAAAGCAAGAGTGAAGCAATGAAAAGCCTCAGGCAAGAGAAAACATTGCAGAAAAAATTTTCAAAGTGCTGTGAACAGGAATAAACACTTCCTGATGCTCACTAAATTATTTTAGCATAATAAACATGTGTGATTTTATCACATTCAACAGGAACAATCTTAAGCTAATATATTAACAAAATTCACACCTGCTTCAAGAGTGCTTCTTGAAATGTGTAGCACATACTCCCTATTCTAGTGTCTCCTCATTTGGAAGTTTCTCTTCTCCCACTGGCACACACTGGGGTGTATTCACAAGCAGCAGTTTAAATGCATGCCACTAAGCCTTTACTTTTGGTAGGTCAAATGAATCTATTTTATTCTCCTCTCACATGACAAGCCTTGTTACTCAACAAAAGAGCTGAGTCACTCTCCTCTGCACTCAGCCCTCTTTAACTTCTCTGTTAGACTAGAACTGTGCCTACCTCCTGTTTGGTCTGGTATTGTTCCAGCTCAGCCTTGCTGTCTCCAATACCAAGGGACTGTCGCTGCCCAATGAGTCGATTTTCAGTCTGTGTAAGCAAATCACAGATCTCCTGCAGTTTCTCCTTGCACTCCTGCTGCCGCTCAGCCACGTCCTATATTAGAGCCAAGTACAATTGAACAATAAGAAAAAAATCCTCACTTCAGGAACCAACACTCTAATAGATATTAGAAATCTTTGAACATCAATTTTGCAAAGCAATTATTTTTCAAGTATGCTGTAAACATGATAGCAGTGGTACAAAGAGCAAGATGAACATACAGAAGTTATGGATAAACTTCAAATATGTTTTAAGTAAAAGAGACCATGTTTGATGGAATTGCCCAATAGAAGTCTGGCCATGCACATATGTGAAGGATGAAATCTCCAAACAGCAGGAGTGAAAATCCAGTCTCTTAACCACTTGAAACCTGTGATAAACACTATTAATTCTGAAAAAAAGGACATCAAAACAGAGGTTAGTTGTGAATGTGAGTTAGCTCTTTTTGGTATGCATAACATGTTACCTGAATAGAAACTGTGAACTTTTTAAGCAGTAGAGAAGAACAAAACATGCAAGCTCATTATTGTTACAAAGTCCTAGAAAACTTATCTGTGCCTTTCCTATACTCAATTTTATGCTTCTTTCACAAAATATAGTAGAAATAAATGTTCTTGGAATGGCAAAATAATACAAAGCCTTCAGAATATTAAAGCACTTTTATTTACACATAAACCAGGGGCTGAGGTGGTGATTCTGAGTCCTACCAGTGCTTCTATGAAAGAAGAGGAGGTGCTGTTAACCTGCAACATCTTATCAGCCTCTTTTGACTCTACAAAGGCTGCTTACACTTGATGAAGAAGTAACTGGCCCAACTTGACTCACAGGTTTCCCAGTGCCCACACCTAGAACTGCAAGTACCTTGGCTGATTCACTCATATATTTGTCCCTCTAACCCATCTCAGTCAAAACAATCCATGCTACACGGATTTTAACAAATCTCGTTCTTGGACTAGAAAATCTAGAGAAAAGATCACATAAGCAGATGACCTGGCAAATTCAAGAGAAAGAAAATGTTCAGCAAGACCAAAGTGTTATGGAATGGTGCAATAGCAAATTCAGTGATCAATATAGCTCAGATCAATTACTGATAGAGCTGCTGAAGAAACAACACTTGTGAGAAACCTCAAGTAAATTTCTCTCATTGCTAGAAAGAGCAGACCTGTGTCTGTTCTCAATTTAATATGCTGTTTCTGTGAGTATAACAAAGAAAGACAAAAATGATAATTCACCAAATTTCATCAATATCATTTTTGTAGAGCTACAAATGTATCTGTAGTAAAAAGGGAAAAGATAGAAATACACTCAATATTGCATGCTGGTATAAAAATTCCTCATCCATAGACAGAAACATTCAGCACACATTTACACAGAAAGGCAAACCTTCTGATCACCCAGCTCTTGCACTGCCTGTAACTGAGTCTCTAAACTTTCCACTTGAGAAGTTACTGCTTCCTGTGCTTCCTGAAAAGATTTCTGGGTGGTATTTAACAGCCTCAGTAGCTGTTTGCTCTGATTAGGAGAAAGATCTTCAGCATGTTCAGAAATGAAGAACTGAACATCAAAAGCAGTGGACTCCAGTTGCATTTTTTTACAGCTGAGCTCTGCAGCACTGTTCTGTAAATGAAGTGAAGGGAATTACTAGCAAGAAAAATTGAGTACAAATAAACCACAAGTATGTCTACCATCTCTTCTTAGCCCTTATCCCAAAATGCTTTTGGTATACAATTTAGCCAGGGAAAATCAAAATTCAGAATCATACTGCCACATTCAGGTATGACATAAGAACTTCCACATGGTTTGCCTCAGGACAGCTTGGGTCCAATGAATAAAATACGTGATCTTGTACATCTCTATTTCTTTGGCCTCTCATAGATTTTTGAAAACTGACTGACCTTCAACTCTAAAAGATTTATGGCAGGTTAGATGTAACATTTCTAGGTGACATCTGGTCTGAAGATCCAGAAATTTTAAAATATATACTTGAAATCATTCCTATTCTTAACTCCACAGCAGGAATGTCACCATTTCTAGCAATGTGGCAAATTCTACCAGCAGCTACATACTGTGGAGCCCCTATGACCATACCATTTCTCTGGAACTCTATTTAAGCACATTAAAAGAACTAAAATAGATTTTATTATTAATACATATAGAAGTATATGAACTTTACTAAAATTTTTATCTGCTTTGTTTGCCATTACTCATTTTATGAATTGTGTTATGAAGAAACCTTTTTATCTTTTCCCATCTTGTGTTCTCACACAGAATTGATTTGGAAGACAATTAAACTTCAGTTAAATTCTGAACCCAATGCATAAAAATTCAATTTTAATCACTGAAATACTTGTATTATATATTAGATTTCTAAAAGGCTCAGATTTATTGCAACAAATGTAAGTAGAACCAATAGCATTCTCAGTAATCCTAACTCTATGAAACTTTATTTGCAAGTGAAAAAGCAAATCAATGATTCTATTACTGGATTATCTAATTGTTGTCCTCTTAAGTAATTACTTTTAGTCCTCTTTTTAGGCCACAGAGGTTATTGAGAAGGAATAAAAAACCTAGCTAATAATTAATAATAAGGAGCTATATTGAAACATCAACACCTGCCATAAAGAGAACTTACTTTAAGTAGCTGTAAGCTTTTCTTCATCTCTTCTATATCATTAGTATTCACTGTGAAGTCATTCATGATTTTATTTTTCTCTGTGATCCAGTCTGAAAATCTCTGCAGCTGGTTAAAAAGTTGCTGGTGTAATCCTGCAAGCTTAGACTAGAAAGGGAATTTGTATATTTATTTATGCTCCTGTAGTATACTCACATTTTCTACCATATTAAATTGAATCATACATGTATCTTTATACTAGGATAAAATAAAGAAAATCCAAATTCCTTTATTTTAGCCCAATTGCCTTGAAGAAAATCAAGGTAAAAACATACACTGCTAAAAACATACCATTTCCAAGTCAACAGCGCAGACTATTTGTTTTGCTCGTTTTGAAGATCTATCACAGACCTCCAAAAATGCTTCCTGCAAAGAGTCATAGCTTATCTTTAGCTCTTTAAGCTTCTCTTCTGGAATATCCCTGTTACAAGACTTTAAGAATTCTTCTGCCAGCTTCATGTCCTTTTTTAGGATAACTGCAAAGGTAGCCAGTCCTGATTCAAATGACTACAAAGAGAACACATCAAAAATGCTTTAAGCTACTAAACTAAAAATGTTTAAATCTGAATTGCTTTAATTACATTTTGAATCTCCCTTTTTAAACCTAAGGGCTATATTTAGCACCCATCACTGAAGTACAAGCATAAAGAACACTTTACTTACCTCTAGCTGTTCCAGTTCAGCTTTTAGTATTTCCAGGCTGTTACTAATAGGCTGCTGTTTATCTAGGTGGTTTTTCATATCTTGAAGCACTGCCAAATGTTCTTGCATTTTCTCTGTTAACTTTAAACATTGCTGTACTCCATCAAACTGAAAATGAGTTTTAAAAATAAGATTTTCCCAAATGACTTGAAAATAAGTAATAAAATTCCTTGGGTTTATTATGATTTATTTTAAATTTATAATCTAATTTTTCAACCATTTTTCCAGTTCAATTGTTCTCTCCACCACTTGGAAAGATCCATGCAATTCCACTAACACAGGACACTGAACACATTCTTGTTACTTACCATGCTAGTGGGGGTGTCTCCTATGACTGTTTCTTCTGTTTTCAAAGCAGGCTCAGTAAAGCCTTTGGACAGGCTTTCTGTCTTCCCATGCTCCTGGTCACTTTCCCAAGTAGTGGTTCTGTTATATGCCAATGCTTTCTCTTCATCAATTTCTGATCCAAGCTCTGATTGTTCTGTTGAGGAAAGAGAATAAAGCCCATCTCCTTTGCCTTTACACTCATGCTCTGTGGCAGTACCAGCAACCTGTGAGCTCCTAAGCAAACCATTTATCAGCTCCTCTAACTTGCTTGTACTTTCATCTCCAAGTGAGTTTTGAAAAATTTCCAGAAGTTCATTGGTAGCAAGCTTGGGAACAGGAGCTTTCATGTCTGTTTCACTCCTCTTTTCATCTGAATCAGCTGTCTTTTGCTTGCAGGATTCATGCTTCAGAATATCATGAAGAAGATCAGGACTTCTGCAATCAGGCCAAAGCAGTGAAGGAGCATCATTGTCCTTGGGCTCTGCACACAGTGTGGTGACCATTAATGCAGTTCTAACAGCATTGCTTATTTGCTTCAGATTTGACCCACTAGACATTTCACTCTCAAGCTGAGTGCTTCCAACCATTTTAAGTAAATTTTGCATTAAAGTTCTGGTATCAGAGTAACTTAGGGGTTCACCTTCCTGCTTGCAGTAAACCTGTCCCATTTTCAATTTCCTTTGTAATATACTCTGTAAGTCTTCCATTAGTGTGTCAGACACATCTGCTGATTGTGAAATACCTTCCTTTACTTGAAAATCTTTGCAGGGTACCATTTCTTTTTGCAATGACTCCATGGACATTTGTTTTTTGAAACCATTTCCAAGGGAGGAAGTGTCACTGACCATGACATTTTCTCCCTTTGTGTTTTTCAGCATCTCATGTTTGTTCTGGGCACCGTAATTCAACTTAGTCCCCATGCTACTCAGAATTGCAGAAGAAACATCAGTGGTATGGGTATGTCTCCCAGTAGGTTGCACTTCACTTCCATCTCCTAACTCTTTGGCATCCTCAATACTTCCTAAAGCATCTGGTTTTGTGGGGGAAATTTCACTATAACTGCTGCTTTTGTTTTCTGGAATGTCTTTCAGAACATTGTCGGTATTTTGACAGTTAAGCCTCTCTGTTTCTTTAGTTATGCTAATCTCCTTTGGTTTCACTGTATCAGGTGGAGGAAAAGAGTAAGTGTTACATTCACTTGAATGGATTTCTTCCATATTTAGCAGAAAATCCTTTTCATTTTGTATACCTTTTCCCCCTCTTTCCATGTCCTCAAAAAAGAATTCAATTTCACTGTGTTCTGAATGGCCACCTTCTTTTATGAATGTTGTATGTTGTTTTAAAGGAGGAGAAA